TTTCCGCAAGGCAGTATATCCCTCAGGCCAGATTGATTTGTCGTCCTGGAAATATTCAGAATCCTTCACAATCTTTCCTGGGGATATAGACAAAGGGTTCATATTAGAAGGTGAGCTTCCTTCAATACCCAGCAAGCAATCAAAGATTTAACAAAAGCTTGCAATTACGTCCATCCCAAGGAAAGTTGGAGGTTTCAAAATTAAATGATCTAAACATGTTCCGCTTTCATGCATGGGTTAGCTATTAAAATCTGCAGCAACTGACAAGCAAAAGTGTGATAATTTACCACGATACCTTGAGAATCAAATATTTGGCATACTCTAGAGTAAGTTAGATTGATGGTGACAAATATGGAAACGCACATTGCATTGAGAAAATCCGAAATAATTACCAAGGTTGATGATCTGCAGATCCCCGATAACATATGGAGAAGTTTTTAGGCCCCTCAATATCCTTTGTATCCCTTCATCTGCTATATAATCGTCACCAGAATCTTTACTCCCTTCATCATCACTGCTTGCATGTCCACAACTATCAGTATTCATACTATTTCGCAGCTGTAACATTCTAGCAGGAAGCTTTTGTTCACTCAAATACCTGTCAAAATAAAATTACCAGTGAACAAAAATATAGACGGTTCTTGCTGCCACACCATTGGCGAAGTCTTCACACAATTAGTCATTCCACACTCTTATCGGCTACTAGTAAGTATTTACGGAGAAAATTAATGCAAACTTAGCTGTTACAAACTTATGCATCTAGAAGTTCATTTCAGATAGCAACCAAGGTGAATAATAATTCAGGAAAGGTAAATGTGAACAATAGAAGTAAATTCTCAAGGACTAAAAACTGTCGCCAAACAGGAAATCCTGGATGGGGCCTTAGGTTCTACCAAAAGGAGTCACCAATACTAATGAACATTTAACCGATGGAAGAAGGTTGTAGTTCATACCTCCTTTCAAAGGTTTCAGACACCAAAGAGTGTCAGCTAAGAGGTCATCTACCAAATGTTGTTTGCAGTAACCCACACATAAGAGTGATGTCAGAATACTACAATCTAACCGAACACACAATATGAACACTGGGACATTGGCAGTTGATGCACTACAGTCAACACACCAGCTAATATCAGCATTATGGATCTTTCATAGTAGAACAACACCAATTAAGCTTACATTTTTGCTTCTTCCAAGCTACGAGTAAAACGAGGTTGCTTGCACTTCAGATGGAGAGAGGAAAGAAGTCCTTTCAGAAATGAGATAACCTGGTTTGATTTAATTCTGCATGGCAACGAGTTAAAATGCACATCAGTATCCTACATTTTTTACCATACAACAAAATCCCGGGCAGACTTAAGAATCGTCTACCTAGCAAAATCATGGGTACCAAAAAATTGCACAGGGACAAATCTTCCGCCCAAGTTTGTCTTTAAACCTCTACTGCTGCCAATAACTGATTCATCAACAACAATAGCCGGCCAAATAGCATGACCTGCACTACAACAATCAACGGATATAGTCGGTGCAAAACTAAAGACAAATTTTATACAAATAAACTGTATTTACCAAACAAGATATGTGGTACACTTTCCAAAAGAGAATCACAATTGAGGACAAACAGAATCTGGAAAGCTTAGCATCCAGAAATATGTTATGGAATTATGGTATCATATCAGCTGTCTGCTTTTCCTCATAAATTGATACTTGTTTACCACTGCAGTAAGAAAACTACAGTAAAATAACAGGTAAAGGCTCATGACAACAAACTCATTAGCACTAGTTTCTATCTCATAACCATGATATTGTAGGAATTTTTCATTAAGAAACACATCCTGGCTAGTTTCTTTTAGATGATGAAAGAACTTCATTAAATCCTGGCAATTATAAGTAAAGAGAGACAACAACAAAAGGATATGAAATGAAACGAATCTTAAATGATGTATGGGATTAATTTAGTGCACACCAGTTAGTTTTGCCCATATGACATCTCCAGGTTCAAGTTCTTGGCAGTCATCCAAACTGGCAGCTAAGACAACCATCTCCTCGTATTCCTGGCTCCCATCACTGGTGCTTCTTGTAATGTAACTCAGTTTCAGTTCCTCCATCTCTTCACGAGATACAAAAAATTTAACCTTTTCTTTTGAAAGCCTTACATACTCATTATCTCCATCCTCATAGTGTATCTGCATATGTTCATTCCAAACAACAGAAGAAACTCAGCAGCTGCTATATAATATTCCAGGAGGTCGAGTGAAAAAGTGAAATGGACTCAAACCCTACTTGATGCTGATTAGTCCCAGAATTGTATCCAATAATACGCCCTGAATACCAGTCAACATCCAAAGGCCAATACACCTGTAGAGTACCATATTAGTTCCACAATCAAAGATGCTCATGAGCCTATTCTTCGGAACGATTGAATAAAGTAAAACTTGCCTTGCATTGTAGCCCGATGAACGTTTTTGGATCGACGCCATCAATGCCCAACCTGTTAAATCCAAGCATTTGCAGGCAACAGAACGGCATTAAGTTCAGTGAGAAATGCACACGAAATGATCGCTTCACGTCCAGGTAGAACATTCAGCTAATGATGTTCCGACAGTTATCATCCAAAACAGAAGGAAATTCAAGTACACCACTCTCGTCGGAACAGTAAACCAAGTGGAAATGAAAAACTAACCTAGCCCATCTTCTGGTACTTGGTGGGATTGAAGAAACTTTATCAGAGTTATGCATGGTATCACTTTTCTTCTTCTTCTTCCGAACCTTCTTGGTCCCATTCACTTGATGATTCCGGCAGTCCCTTAATCGCGGGCGATCCAATCCTTGCAAAACACTGGAATCAACCCCCAATCTAACCAACTCACTGCTCCCAATCCTCCTCTTCTTCGCATTCCTCCCCAAATCATCCTCGACAAACTCCCCAAACTCTTCAATTTCCTCCTTCACTTTAACTTCCAGGACCGGCCCCACATCAGTCCTCGCGAGCAACGATTCTACAGATGACTGTTTCTTCTCGACAACGCGGGACTTCTTACACTTGCGAGAATACACATTTATAATAGGCGGCCGATTGGAATGCCGATCTTCCTCATCGGAGCTAAGCTTCCGCGCTTTCACCTTCTTGGGCAAGACATTCGATCCCCCCGAGCTGACACACAGCGACGCCGCAGTGTAGACCTGGTCCAGCGACACGTAACGCACTGGTGCGTCGGTCTGGTTGTCCAAGTTGATGTCCCCGTCGTCTTCAACGATCGGCATCAGTACCTTCTCATCGCTCGGTTCTTCGACCAGTGCCATGGACTGAAAGATAACCGGATAAAATGCCTGCTGCGATGAGGTTGAGAGAGCGAGAGAGAGTACGAAATTGGCCGGAGCGAGCTTCTGCTCTGCTCTCCCGCTCCGCTTGTAACAGTCCAATTGCGGCTCCGTGTGTTCCGGCGATCGGGAATCCCCGGAATTCGGGTGAATTGTGGGGAGTATGGGATGCAGAAAGGAAGCAAGAGAAGGTTAGGGTTTAAGGTGGGTGGAAAAAAAGTGACGAAGAAAGGGGGGAAGTTGGACAAATTGGATCGTTTTTTTGGAGGGAGGGATTTTTTCCCCCCAAATTATCAGTTTCCCGCCGGGTGTTAACAATGGCAGATACACGCACGAGTGGAGGTTCGGGATATCTGTGGTGAAAAAACTACATGACAAGGGTAGTTTGATATTCGTGATTGTTAGAGTTGTTACCTTTAATACTCGTACTTGTATACATTACCCGTAGGTCGGGTCGAATAATATTTGCACGAATACAGGACAGGTCGATCCGCTTTTTATATGTTATTTGAAAAAAAAATATTATTCTTTACCTTCTTTTCAAGAACAGATAGAGAAAACATTCTATAAATGAATGGGAAATATAATAAAAGGAATGATCGAGTATAAATAATTGAAAGATAGTGTCTTAAACTTTATTTGAGATGTCAAAATAGGAGAAATACATGTAGATATTGAACGGGAAGGGGCAAGTCGAACCAATGTCCATGCCCCGCCCACTCTACTGTTGGTCGGGTGATAATCGCCCTAAAGTCTAAACAAGTTAGGACAGGTCATATTGCATGGGGCCATATAAGAAATTTTCAACACGACCCTCAAACAAGTGTGGTTAGTCATACGACATTTTCGCAATAATATTTTGTTGTAATGCTTATGCAACAAAATATTATCTACTTTCTATTACCGTTAATAATTTTCTAACTTTTTTCGTAGTTAAAATACTCAAATTTTGGAATGTTGACGAATAAAAAGAAAGTTTTGACTAATGATTAATGGTTAGTATTTACCCTAAATATTTCTACTATTTCCCCATTAATAACTTTTATTATTAATTATGTTATCGTCTGTTTTCCCCAGGTAATTATGTTATTGTCTTTTGATCATAGTTAGTAAATACTCCGTTTAATACACGTATATGTACCCGTACATACTTTATCCGTTTAAAACTTCCGTATCCGTATTATTGTCAAGCCGTTTCTTTTTTTACCGTTCATTTGATGGCTCCCGTATTAAACACGTTTAAAACCCGTATAACACGTTTAATATCCGTATTTAATGAATCAAATTACGAACTTTACCATTATTTATATTTTATTTATTTTAAAAATAATAAATTTTATATATTTATGACAATTAACGTACTATTAAACGTAACATTAGCATAGAAACGAAGTAAAATACCCGTACGTATTTTATGCGTAACTTTCCCGTACCGTATTTTACTAACTATGCTTTTCATTGCTAAAAGCTTTGTTTAGTTCAACAACCGTAAACCCTAGTGATTTATATACATTCCTCCCCGCTAGCTGTCTCTCTCCGCAACTCTCTCCGTTCCCAGTCTTCCGCAGTCGCCAGCCTTACTTACTCCCGCCTCCCCATTGCCACCACCCGCTAGGGTTTAGAATTGGCGATCGCCGCGGGAATTCCGATTGCTCAGCATCGGAATTCAACTTTCCCCGACCATGGATCTTCCGAGCCTCGCCGCCGTCCTCCAAGCTGCTCTCAGTCCCAACCAGGACCAGCGGAAGGCTGCCGAGCAGAGTCTCAATCAGGTTCCCTCTTCTCTTCTCAGTTTCCTTTTTCCGTTTGGCGCTGCTGATTTGCTCATTGAGTTTTCCTGCTAGCTAACTAGCTACTGGTGTATTTGTTCGTGAGTAGACGACTGTTGCATTCAATTAAGCTGATTGGCAAATTATCGTTTTGTCGGTGTAACTGCTTGGTCGATTGAGTTTGTGTCTGTTGAGATGGTTGAATTCCTAAACGATGTGGATTTTTTTGTTTGTCTACTTATGAGCTAGTGAAGGAGTGGTTGTTTGCTTATGGTTGAACGTATGCCAATATGTTTTTTTTATTTTATTTGGTTGCAGATACAGTTCACTCCTCAGCACCTGGTAAGGGTGTTGCAGATCATCGTCGATAATAGTTGTGACACGGCGGTGCGGCAATTCGCTAGTATCCATTTCAAGAACTTCATTGCTAAGAACTGGGCTCCTTACGACACTGGTACTTTTCTTCATTTTGCAGTGATGGTTTGGTATATCTATTCTGCTAGGCGGTGTGAGTCGAAGTATCCCGTGTCATTTATGGTAGACTTATGTTGTTTTGTTTTATTAATTGATTCAGATGAGCCTTCGAAGATTGCTCCGAGTGATAAAGATGTAGTCAGAGATCACATCCTCGTTTTCATTGCGCAAGTTCCCCCAATTTTAAGGTACAGTAATTGCTTTACAATGTTTGCACTTGTTGCTTATTCCCTTTAGATTAATGACCCGTCTAATTGTGTTACATTGCTACTTAGTAGTATCTGCTCCTTTTTTTGGATGGTTTGTCCACTCTGTTCCTGAAGTTGGCGGATTATCTTAATCAAGTGATATATTGGACGAGCAATAAACTAATTAATATTAGTGTTGCTCTAATATAAGATGCTTATAATTTGCAGAGTACAACTAGGTGAGTGCCTGAAGACAATCATCCATGCCGATTACCCAGAGCAGTGGCCACGCTTGCTGGAATGGATAAAGCATAATCTTCAGGATCAACAAGTTTATGGGTCTTTGTTTGTTTTCAGGATTCTTTCGCGAAAATATGAGTAAGTAATTGTTGGTGAGTCATTTATAGAGTAAATGAGATTGCATGGAGATTCGTTTTTTTTTTAATCTTCGGATACTTCTCTGCTGTAGGCTTCTTAAGATTCTGAATAATGAGCTCTTGGTTTGAGTATGGCCATTTTGTTTCCATTATTGATGAACATGCATGAACCGTTAGGATTTATTCTTGTATGCAATTCAAGAGATCAGGGCAAAATAAATATAGTGGCAATCCACTTTCATTTTTTTATAAGGCTGATATAAGTTTGTTTTAATAGTTTGCTGTTACTTAATGGATTTGAACATGAGACCTACAGGCTCGAGATCAGTGGTGGTAATACCACTGGACCAAGCCCCCTTCCCGCTTGACGAACTATGCTGTAACTTAGGGGAGAGAACTCTCTATCGCCTTTGTTAATTTATTATTGCTTCTTGACTCGAATGCTTTCAAGAATGTGTTAGGCTTGAATGGCAAGTTATTCTTTCTTGGCGTAGTTTGCTGGTTCTAATTCCTCCTGATTACACTTCCCCTGATCTCTTTCTGCTCAGGTTCAAGTCCGACGAAGAAAGGATTCCTGTTAATCGAATAGTTGACGAGACATTTCAACACCTTCTCAACATTTTTACTAGGCTCGTGCAGATTGAGAATCCATCACTAGAAGTGGCGGAGCTAATCAAGCTTATCTGTAAAATATTCTGGTCATCGATATATGTGAGTTTTCTCCTGAAATATTGGGAGTCGTGTTTATGTTAATTATTGTTTGAGGAGATGCTTTGACGCAAATGCTTTTGATACAGTTTGATACTTCCATTTACATTGGGATAGAGTTTAGTAGGTTGCTTTACATTCACGAGGTCTCTTATATCCTACTAAATTTTCTTTTCAAGTAGCTATGAGTGTCTTGGGATCATGCACTTTATATGAAGTTTCATTTTGTTTTACATAAAAAAAATGATAAATGCTAGGTTCTTTTGAATACGGATGCAAAGTTTAAATTTGATGCAAGAATACAAGCATATTTTTAGAGTAGATTAGTCCTTTTTCCTCAGATTAAAAAGTCTTGTCTAAGTTGGGTTCACATTTGTTTTCGAGCCGTTGATATCAACAATATATTGCTTATTGTACCTGTCTGGCCTTCATCATTCCTTTCTTCACAGTTGGAGATCCCAAAACAGCTCTTTGATCCGAATGTCTTCAACGCTTGGATGCTTCTCTTCTTAAACGTTTTGGAGAGGCCTGTTCCAGTAGAGGGGCAGCCAATAGACCCAGAGATTAGGAAGTCATGGGGATGGTGGAAAGTGAAAAAGTGGACAGTCCATATCCTAAACCGGTTGTATACGAGGTCTATAGTTAACGCTTTTTCAGTGCTACTTAGTTGGGACTGGCCCCTTTTCCCGGAATGATTGTGTGTATTGACAATTTAACAGGTTTGGAGACCTCAAAATACAGAACCCAGAGACAAAAGGTTTTGCTCAATTGTTTCAGAAGAATTATGCGGGGAAGATTTTGGAGTGCCATTTGAATTTGTTGAATGTGATCCGTGTTGGTGGGTATCTACCCGACAGAGTTACCAATCTGATTCTTCAGTATCTGAGCAACAGGTCATTGATCTTACCTCATGCTTCATCTACATATCATGTTAATAGGTCTTCGATAGGTGTCTATGGTTCATGTTAATAGCTTATATTTGTACTCTTTAAGCAATATATTTGCCAACTGGACTGCATGGTTTTAATGGTGCTCTGTTTTCGTGAACAAAAATGGTTAAGGACTACAAGATTTTACTTGGAAGATATTGTCATTTGCTTGATTCTGGTTGGTTAGTAAGATTGAAATTACTTCAAAGCATTGATGCTCCACTATGGATTTTCAAGTTCTTTTTCCGGATAATTATCAATAAACTCTTCCGTTATGGATTTATTGAAGCATCCAAGTTCTATGGCTTTTAAGTGGCGAGTAGTGTCCATTAGCCCCTGTTTCTCTCTTCTGCTTTTGTTAATTTTAAAAGAATCTCAAGCTTTTTAACGAATGGAGAAAATAGGATATTGTTCTAATAATGAATTTTATTCACTGCAGCATCACAAAGAATACCATGTATACTTTGCTACAACCTAGACTTGATGTTCTTCTCTTTGAGATAGTTTTCCCACTCATGTGCTTCAACGACAATGATCAAAAGCTATGGGATGAAGACCCACATGAATATGTGAGGAAGGGTTATGGTTAGTCTGAAAGGCCGATCTACTGCTTGAACGACCTAGACTCCGTAAAGTGACTAATGTCTTTTTTTTTATTGTCAGATATCATTGAAGATTTGTATAGTCCAAGGACTGCATCTATGGATTTTGTTAGCGAGCTGGTTAGGAAAAGGGGAAAGGAGAACCTTCATAAGTTTATCCAGTTCATTGTTGAAGTTTTTAGAAGGTACTTTTTGTCTTAAGGTGCTTGTTAAAGGTCAGCGGTCTTGTTAGGTTGTTCTGATTAATTAATTTCGATTTATATTGTTGTGTAGATATGATGAATCCCCCATCGAGCGCAAGCCTTATCGTCAAAAGGATGGTGCACTGCTTGCCATTGGAGCCCTTTGTGATAAACTGAAACAAACCGAGCCTTACAAATCTGAACTGGAGCGTATGCTAGTGCAACATGTGTTTCCTGAGTTCAGCAGCCCTGTTGGTCATCTTAGAGCAAAGGTGAGTTAATTTGTTCAGCATGCAAACTTTCCCTTACTAATTTGCTCCTCTTTGTGTATTGATCATTCTTCTTATGAAATAATTTTTAAGTCGGAACACTTTGTGGCTCTCGCTCTTGGTTCTTTTTGGAGGTCAATTGTCCATTTACTTGTTTTTCGTGTTTAAATTTCTTGGAATTTAGGCAGCTTGGGTTGCAGGGCAGTATGCGCACATCAGCTTTTCAGATCAGAACAACTTCCGGAAAGCTTTGAGTAGTGTTGTATCAGGCCTGCGTGATACGGAGCTTCCTGTTCGTGTGGATTCAGTTTTTGCATTGAGGAGTTTTGTTGAAGCCTGCAAAGGTGTGTAGCTTCTTACTGTATGTTCTGTCTCTTTAAGTAACTATGCAATTTTGTTGAGAATAAACTTATTATGCTTTTACGAATGCAGATTTGAATGAGATACGGCCTATCCTCCCTCTTCTTCTTGATGGTATGCTATTCTGATTTCACCAGTGGTCATTTATGTTTTAATAAGCTTTTTCTGATGCTGGATTTGGATATTTGTTAATTAGTCATTTTACTTATCCAACTTGCTAGGAAAAAGTCTTGTGCTGTTGTGCACGATGGAAGTAGGATATCTTTACTTAACAATGACTGGTATAACTAACCTTCTTCTTTCTCTTTTCATTCCAGAATTCTTTAAGCTCATGAATGAAGTAGAGAATGAAGACTTGGTATTTACCCTGGAGACTATTGTGGATAAATTTGGAGAGGAGATGGCTCCCTATGCTCTGGGTTTATGCCAAAATCTGGTAATAGTCTCTCTGATTCGTTGTTGATACATAGTTAGGCCAACTTGAGTTACAAGACTATCTATGCATCTTAACATGCAGGCAGCTGCCTTTTGGAGGTGTATGAACACTGCTGAGGCTGAAGATGAAGCTGATGATCCTGGTGCCCTGGCAGCAGTTGGTTGTTTGCGAGCTATAAGCACTATTCTAGAGTCTGTGAGCCGGCTTCCTCACCTTTTTGTTCAAGTCGAGCCGACGCTGCTCCCCATAATGAGGAGAATGTTGACAAGTGATGGCCAAGGTATACAAACTTTATGCCCATATCTTTGTATTGCACTAGTAATGAAGATAAGCGTGCTTTTGCTCCTAGTTTGATCTATGCTCACTTGCAAATCCAGTTTTTGTACTGTTTGCGAGGGAATCACATTCGTGTTAATTATATGTTTTATTTGTGGTAGAAAGATGGTCACTTTTGGTATATGTTTGTACGTACAAACTAGAATTCTGCGGTTGTTTTAAACAAACTTCGTTTCTGAATATAGAACACGGTTAATATATGCACTTTCAACTCTGCTACATGCTGACTGCACTCTTGTATTTTTGGTTTGTTTGATTAAACCCTACCATTTAAGAGTGCTTCTTATATATTTATGCAGAGGTGTTTGAAGAAGTATTGGAAATTGTTTCTTATATGACATTTTTCGCGCCCACAATATCCTTGGAGATGTGGACACTTTGGCCATTGATGATTGAAGCACTTGCTATTTGGGCTATTGACTTCTTTCCAAGTATGTAATCTTACTGAGCACTAGGATCTTATATCTTAATTTACTGTGATTCATAGAAGGGAATTATATCATCTTATTCTTGGTTCATTTTCGAGCGTTAAGTTATGTATATATGTCTAACATGATACTGCAGTTTGCTACCTAAGAATGAAAGCTAAGTTTGTCTGAAGATAACTTTTTTTTATATGCACCGCATTCCAAAGGTGGCTCCGTGATTTCCTTATTGTTTCTTGTGCCCTGCAGATATTCTTGTTCCCTTGGACAACTATGTTTCCCGGGGGAATGCACATTTTCTAGAGTGCAAAGAACCAAATTACCAGCAAAGCTTATGGAACATGCTTTCATCAGTGAGTGAACATGCTTTCATCAGAGCTTTTAGAATGTGGTTCCCAGTAGTTCCATGGTTCTTTTGTTTGCTATTCCTTCATTCTATTTCTCATTCGCCAGATAGTGTCGTGATATTTTCCCCTTTCATGGTGTTTTCAGATCATGGCTGATCCGAATTTGGAGGACAGTGATATAGAACCTGCACCAAAGCTTATTGAAGTGGTCTTCCAGAATTGCAGAGGACAAGTGGATCATTGGGTAGAGCCATATCTTAGAATCACTGTGGAGAGATTGCGTCGATCTGAGAGGCCGTACTTAAAGTGCCTCCTAGTTCAAGTGGTGAGTAGTCTACTGCTCCCTACAATATGGTGGGATTGAAACTTTTTGATCTTTCAATAAACCATTCGACGCTCCTTTCATATATATCATGATCTGGCACCTAAATGAATTGTCTTGTGTGGTTTCATTTCCGTGTAAGTAAATTAAATGTGTTTTTTCAAACTTGAGTGTTTTGGACTTTTGGAGAAGGATTTTCAGAGGGAGTTAGGGCGAAACTGTAGTTCCACGCACTACTGGATTCTGTTTTGGTAGATCTTTCCTTCTTTTTAGTGACATTCTCAACATGTTTATAACTGCTCCTGATTGATTAGAAATGTTTCTGATGTTCGTATTATTCAAGTTTGAAGTCTTATGAAAGAATTGTTTGTGATTTTGGTGCAGATTGCAGATGCACTTTACTACAATGCACCTTTGACGTTGAGTATCTTGACTAAGCTTGGTGTTGCAACAGAGGTTTTTGGCCTCTGGTTTCAGATGTTGCAACAAAAGAAAAAGAGTGGCCAAATGACCAATTTCAAGAGGTATCATCAACTGTGTTTAATGGATGCTTGGCGAATTGGGAGTTGGAATACAAAGATGATCCCAGTCTTCTTATGTGTTTGGAACCTTTGTTTGCCATCTATGGTTATCATCTGATATGTTTTATCTGTGAAGCAGGGAACACGACAAGAAAGTCTGTTGCCTGGGGTTAACATCATTGCTGGCCCTTCCCGCGGATCAATTACCTGCAGATGCTTTGCAGCGTATTTTTACCGCCACACTTGGCCTCCTAGTTGCATACAAGGAACAGGTTGCAGGTATTGGTCAGTCCTCTGCTTTCGTAATTGGTGCTTCATCTTTACATTTTCTGGCTTAGCATTTTGATGGTGCTGTGTTAATGGTGATAGAAGCTGCAAAGGCAGAAGAAGCTGAAGATGATGATGATATGGATGGCCCGGAGACCGATGATGACGATGATGAAGATGCTGATGATTCTGACAAGGAAATGGGAGTTGATGCCGAGGACGGTGATGAAGCTGACAGCATCAAGCTGCAGAAGTTAGCTGCACAGGTGGGTTTGTTATAGATGATTTTTCTTAAGATACCACATTTATTCATATGCAATTTGCATATTTTTACCACTTGTCTTGATTCTCATCTGCAATCTGTATATTTCAGGCGAAAGCCTTCCGCCCTCATGACGAGGACGATGATGACTCTGATGATGACTACAGTGATGATGAAGAGTTGCAATCACCAATTGATGAGGTGGACCCTTTTGTTTTCTTCATGGATGCTGTCCAAGGTAATAATATATTTCCTCTCAATTCTTAGCTGCTCGACGACAATGACATAGTTTCTTTCCCCTGTAAGCTTAAGTTTTTTCTGATTTACCTTTTCGTGATGATGAAAGCCATGCAAGCATCTGATCCAGCACGGTTCCATAGCCTCAAGCAGACTCTCGACTTCCATCATCAAGCTCTAGCAAATGGGGTCGCCCAGCATGCTGATCAGAGGAGAGTGGAGATTGAGAAGGAAAAACTGGAGAAGGCATCGGCTGCTGCCGCCGCCACATCATAACGAAAATTTCTTGTCATATTAGTCTTTGCATTGCTATACCCCCCTCCGCCCTCAGTTTGTCGCTTAGGTGCAAGTCATTGGGTCCACCTCCAGTAAAAGCACACGAGTTGGTCAGTGTGATTGAACCATTTGTGCGCGGTTCAGTCTGGTCGAGAAAAAAGCATTGTGGGGGGATCTTCTGTAGGGTCTGAGGTTCGAGTTCCCCCACGAGCTGAGCAAATTTGTTGATATCAAGGGTGGGGAACTCACGACTCAGTCGTGTTCAGTTCGAGTCATTTTGGGTCTTGGCAAATGTGGGGGGGATTCTACGTCGGAAGGCCTCTCTTGTCAGCTTGTTATTGTGTTCTGTTTTCTAGAGAGTGAGCACAAGAATTCTTGCAGCGTCTTGCCGTTTCTAGTGAACAGAGATGGATATGAGTTGGGGAGGGATAAAGGAAGTGTGAAAGTGTTGGTTGGTTGTTCATGCTCTTGAGGTGCGGCATGGCCATACATATCGACGATTCCAGTCGTTGATTGTCACAGTGCTCGTTCCGATAATTTTTGGCATCAGGGTAACTAAGTTCATATTCTTTTTGGCGTCGGTCCGCCACATCATTGTTGTGGTCGTCGGTTAATTATGTATTGAAGTATAGCCATGTTTGAAGGAGGAAAGCCATGTTGTGGCCGTCTTTCGGGTTTGGCTGCTGCTGATTTGTAAAAACTGTTGCTACTTGGGAATGCAGAAACAGTTCTTCTGTATAAATGGTTGCTGTATTCTCGTTACATTTGACTATTTTCAAGTTAGTAGCTGCTATGGCATGTTTTTCCAAGCTGGTCTCGTCGATAGGTTACTTAGATCCTCTCTTGGGCCTGTGGGATCTGCTGGTTGCCTCAACAAGCTTGGGCCTGCAAGTAATACTAGGAAACTAATTGTGGGCCTTTTGAGCCCGTTCTCTACAATTGAATCTGGGAAGAAGCCCATTGGTATTAGACCGAAAATAAAGCCCCAAGGCGCGTCTCATAGCACTTTATGAATTTGTGCCGTGCCATTGAGCAAATTTGCAGAAGTTCATAAAATACAATCAGATCGTAAATACTTTTGGCGTAAACACTTTTGTATGCAATCGAACCGATGATTGAGATCATTTTGACACAAATCGGAAGATGAAATCGACAAGAATGGTAAACTCACCAGCAACTTGAGATTACTTTTTTTTGTTTTAAACGTTTAAAACCCACGCAGAAGAAACAAGCCGACATTCATAATGATAGACATTTACTACCTCGTTATATTATATAAAGTTGAAGATGGTTTATTGCTCCCTAACAACATCTCAGGTATAGTTGTTTCTATTTAATTTTTTGCACTTGTGTCATCTAGACCATTTGATATTTTTAGGGGAAATCAATCCATGAATCCACCAATCTAATTACAATTTAGTACCTATACTTTTATATTTTACATTTGATACCTAAATCTTATTTTTTATACAAATATGTCATTGGAAAAATACATTTTTGGTAACTAAATTTTTTCATTATGACATTTTAGTATCTAGACTTGACAATTTTAAATATTGGTTCAAGACTTGGATGACAATTGGATTCATAGATCAATCCACCAATCCATATGATCCAATCCATGAATCCCATGAATCTTTCAATCCAATCCACCAATCCATGGATCCTATCCATTTGTTACCTCTAGGCATAACCAATTGTTTTTGTACACCCACATCGCATACTTATCCATTATATTTGATAAAAAAAACTCTGTATCGGCCCATTTCATATGTTTTTTCGATGCACTTCTTAGTTCAAGAACATTGATGTACTTGGAACCGGAGGCTCACCATTGTCATTATCTTCCTTAGTGAGCTCGTGTCCTTTTTTTCAACAAAACCAAAATCTAAACCTACTATTTTATGTGCTTTCTCAGTGAGGCTCACCATTGCAATTATCTTCCTTAGTGAGCTCCTGTCCTATTTTAACAAAAACAAAATCTAACCCTGCTATTCTATGCGCTTTCAATGCATATTCGTATTTCAACTTTGAAAAATTAGGGTAATCAAATAAACATTTTAAAAAAATTATAGCTAATTGTTTAAAGCGATATGATATCACTTGTGTACTTAATCTAATCATGAAATTCATTGCAAAAACTCTCCTATCTAATCCAACCCGTCCGTCTAGACCAACTATAATACACCGCGACGATAAAGTGCGAGTGTAACTCCCCGTTATAATAATAATAATGATAATAGATGACGAGGAAATGAAAAGTGTGAAACCTAGAGGTGAGTAGCAGTCACGTACATATATAACTACCATAATAATTAGGAAGACTCTATATGGGTTATGAAAGATAATGACATCTTGACAAACCTATTATTATCATTATTATCATATCAATTTTCAAAAGTCACTTCTCTGCCTAACAATATCAATTATAATGTACATATATCATTCTATAAACCTCTCGTCCTATCACTTTTAATAATGCAATTTGTTTTCAGCTGGTTGCTAATGTATTCATCAAAGAGAACCATCATTTAATTGGGGACCGTAAGTATTTGACTTCCAAGGCAACCTTCTCTGCCTAACAATACGACGCAATCCGATATGTATTTGTTTATTTATAAGAAGAAGACTTTTGTTAAATACAACATAGTATTTGATCTCGACTAAATTAAATCTATATGAGAAAATGATGTGATACAATTTTTGACCGCATCCCGTAATTTGTTGGCAATCCTTGGTACACGTCAGCAGCACAAAAAGTTAATTTGTGGGTCCCGACCCTGCCTAGTTGTCATAGTAAAAGGGTTGAGTGCACTTCTAACCTTTTGCTGATGTGTCCACATGACTCCTCTAGAAAGAACGTTAAACATCGGTAATTCGATATATATAATAATGATTTTAATAATCGAGCGATGTTGACTTAGCGCACAAGTGGCAATTAAAAATTCGACACGCGTCGATTCTAGATTGGCCCCCGCCCTCCTGAAAGATAGGAACATGTGTGGGGTCCATGCATACGTGTACATATAGGTTGAAGATGATTTCTGAGTCATTTCTAGCAGCAAAAATAACTGTGGTATGTGGAGAGCTTCTCATCAATCTATTTCATTAGCTTCTCCATAGTTAACAGTAATGGTTCTGTTGGGATTTCTAATCAATTATGTTGCCATCTCCTAATTGGATGGAAAAAAAAAGGAATCATATAATTTAATTCTCCATTCATTGATTGTTATAACTTATAAAGACCATTTGTTTGAAAAGTTTGAGAAACTAATCGTTCGGAAGTTGTGATTGTTAAATAAATGTATTATTGAGAATGCATGTATAATATTATACATGTATTGTCTAATTTGATGCATTGTAGAATACAACGTTTGGTATGTGTGATTGTGTATGTCGCATAAGCTAAAAGTTTAGACAAAAACAATATCAACTCAACTATTTCAACAATCACAACTAAAAGTCGAGATATAACAATAACTCAAAATGAGTGATAGTTTCTGTCACATCACAGAAACAATCCATGTATTGTTTCTGCTAAAAAACCAAAAAATTATGCATTGTAAACAATACATGCATAATGACAATCTCAACAAAACTATCGCAACTTCCAAAAGACCCTTAAAAGGTGGTAATAGAGTAGATAATATGTGTGTCATGGTGTTCAGATAAAATGTCATCCTTCCACAGTTGTTGTTAATTTCATCGAATGATATCCTTCGTAGAACGTTGTTTTCAGCATGTACTTAATTATCTACGTTGTTATCTATACTTAAATTTTATGTTATCCTTGGTAGAAAAAAGCAACATTATATATTCATGATGAGTACGATGAATAATAAATGGAGCATTCTTTTGATAATATAGAAATGATTTCTCTTCAACCAATGGATTTGATTTCTAGATAATCGATCGTCATATTATTTGACCACTGAGGTTTATTATATGTACGGCAACTAACTTGTGTAGCTGGGAGTCTATTTTCTATATGTTTACTATGTGCATGGAGATTAGGTTTACATAATTATATGATATATATTGTGGTCAAGTTCAGATATAATACAATGGTTTATTCGACATAGGTATCAATATCTATTGCATGTACGTTTACATTGGTTTGCTAGCGAGAAGTACAAGTTTGAGTAACCAGTAGTTATGGCGGCAGAGCCAAAAATCCGAACAAGTCGTATTGCTAAAAGAAAAATTCTTGAGAATTTGAATTAACGAAAAGGTAAAGTCTTATCAATTGCTATATTTCTCAAATTTGTTACTAAATCTACATGATTTTGAGAGTTGGGGGGACGTCTATAACCTCTCTGCCATCTATGTAAGTAACTCCACCACTATAAATAAATAAGTTTGATTGCATTACAAGGTATCCAATACATCCTATGCAAACTTAATTTCCTCTCATACATCACAAGCAAAACTAATTTTAAAGACTCCATTTGGTAGCCTCCAAACAATTCCACTATATCCTCATGTGCAAGATCACACATATCCCTCTCGTTATACCGATTTTTTTCACATGCCACTATGTGATTTCTAATAGAGTCATATTTCGTATTAGTTCGAGTTTCCTGATTTCTCTTCCGAAACCAAAAGGTTTACAAAATTAAGGAACTAAAATATGATTATGGTTGACAAGTGGGGATGTATTATATCTCCTTCAACATGTTGTTATTATTATTAAAAAAAAGGTGGAGCTCCTTTGAATTGTTGCTGTTTGGGCGTGCCATTCAACTGCATGGTTGTATTGTCCACTTCCATTATTCTTTCTCCACCATCGACAACGACCTCTAAATGATACCACCAATTATCTACAACCCAATTTGAGGTTTTCATATTGACAAACGACTGCAAAAATACTTGAAGTCCAGCCACTCATTACAGCCAGCCCACTTTGTTTTGTCGATCATTTCAATCCACCCATTGTCTTTTAGAGGTCACGGGTTCGATCCTCGCTCATGAGCATAACGTTTTTTCTGTGGTTGGTTATTGATTGTTTTATATGATCATTTGTAGCACCGAATATATATCAAAATCCTCCGATACAACTCAAGTGAATCGAATTGAATGGAGTGAGCAAAAGGAAAGAAGCTTTGTAATATTACAACAACTATTAATTGCTTCAGATACATACTAACACTTGCATAAAAATGCAGGACTCACTCGCGACGATTACATCATTTTTGTTGTAAAATGATAAGCACCAAATGTAGAATATATGTACATTTGCATATGAGTATATATGTATTCATGTAGCCCAAACAAACCCTTTAGGCAAGAAAGTATAGAAGGTTAGAAATGTAAAAAAAAAAAAAACACCCACATGAAATCTACACCCAAAACCCTGCATAAGAAAGTACCCTAAAATATGGTTTGATCATTTTGTTAACCGATCAAACCGGAGTCGAACGCGACTCCGGTCGAGGGCAGCCAGGAATTCCCCGTGATGAACTGCCCGACGGTGAACTTAGACGCATCCAGCGGTGCCAGGGCACGGTGGTACCCGGGCCAGCCGACCCGACCGGAAGTCCCGGCACCCGGTCCGGAGTTTAGGTACTCCGCGTAGTAAAGCGTCTTGAGCGCGAACCCGCCCGACCAGGGGAACCACCCGGCCGGGTTGATGTGCCCGCCCAGCTGGGACTGCATGATCACGGTCCTCGAGTACTCCTTCCAGGGCCTCCCCAGGTACGTTGACCTGGATCCTCCGGGGAGGTCCGGGGCTGCCTCGACCCGACAGTTGTGGATCGAGAAGCCCGTGTTCTGGTACTCGCTGGACCGCCCCTGGGCAGTCAGGAAGTTGTTCGGGTACGACCCGCCCTTTCGGGCGAACAGGTTGCAGCTCTGGAACACGGCCGCGGCGTTGCCGAAAATGAAGTCGATGGTGCCGTAGACATCGGTCTCGCGGTAGAACTGGCGCTTGGAGAGGGCGTAGAGTGTGTCCTGGTAGCCCTGGATGGAGCACCGGAAGATCACGGACCGGTCCGACCCGACCCGGAGCGCCACGGCCTGGTGCTTGCTCGGGCCGGCGTCGTTTATGATCGTGATGTCCCGGGCCATGAACCCATCTCCCATCGCAGCTGTGGAAAATGAAAAACAATTGAAAAAGATGCTTCAAAAAGGGGGAAACGACGAGAGGAAGATTGACAAAGTGAAGGGAAGTAAAGCGGTCTTTTTTTGTAAAATGTCATTTTCTAATTAATAGTCTTGCTAAAAACAACAAAAGAAGTCATTTTCTTAGGTCATGTACGTATATAAATTCCTTGGATTACTAGGTTTGGAACCAGAATACACTCTCTAGTGGCATTTTTTTTTGGGTTCTATAATCAACTATATATATTACCGTCTGAATATTGAATATATGCACTAGTACTTTTGGGTAAAATACAAGTAGGAACAAACACTAGCAAATCAAACGTAAAAAAGCTAACTTAAAGTTTTACATAAATAGACTCTAAACTATTTTTCAATACTTACATGCATGTACGTAAAATACGTACATGCATATAACTTCCTTTTCATTTAAAAAAGAAATCACGTTTACAATTAAAATAACCAAAAGAAACAGCAAGTTAATTAAGAATCAGATGTATGACTCGAATCTGATATTTACGAGTTACAAATTATTCGTTATACTCTACCATGGTATGATATTAACAATTATTTCTATCAATGAAGTGATCACACTTATTCATGGACCCATGCATATTATAACTAGCTAGCTAGACTACTCTTCATTATGGCTGGATTATTGATGCTATTCATTACGAAAAAATACGTCCCGATTCAATCAAATTAATATCAATCTTAGTCTCAATTGTTGATTTGGATAGTCTATTGATAATGATGAACCAAATTAATATAAACGTTGACAAATAATCAACTAAACAAGAAAAAAAAACGTTAATACCAAAATTAAAATGATCATATCGATTGTCACTCTTACCAACGGTGGCGGTTTGATAAGTGGTAGACCCGTCGTCGGCGTTCTTGCTCCCCACAATGACGGTCTTGCCCTTCCCGTCTCCCATCAACACCACGTTCTTCTGCTTCGTCGGAATGTTCAACGTCTCCTTATATGTACCGGCCTTGATGTAAATCACCGAACTACCCCCGCCGCCGCCGCCGGATCCCATGGTGGTGACACCACTCATCATCACCGCCTTCAGCGCCGCCGCTATGGTGGTGTGGGTCCCACTCCCGTCCTTCGCCACCACAGCATGGACCTCCACCTCGTCCACCGAAGCTTCTAGAAGCTTCCTCTTGGCGGCGGGCAGCCACCCGGGGAACTTGTTATTATTATTATCATGGCCGGCGGATGACGTGGACAAGAGCTTCCGGCCACCGCTGGGGGTGTTGGAAGGGTATTTGTGGTATTTAGGGCTCATGAAGTGATGACGTGGGTTGTTGTTGTTGTTGTTACTATGGATGTGGTTGACGAATAGGGCTAGTGAGGCTTCGACGGTGGTGGTCATGTTTTGAGCCAACGACTGAAGGAGGATGGCTTTGACGGAGTCGACGTGGCGGTGGGGGGAATTTTTTACGGGCGGCGGGGTTTGGAGGCTCTCCTTGCACGTCTCTTGGTTGGTGAGGGCGGCGCTGAGCCACGTCTGGACGTCGTCGTGGGTGTGGGCCGGGTTGTGACGTCGGTATGCCACGTTGGACAGCTGGTCCAACGTGTCGTCCAGCAGGTCCATGCAGTCCAGCACGGGCCCACTGGCACCTGTGGCTGGTACGATCGTGGGGTCATCAATGATGTTCGTGGTGATCAGGGACGAGGCCATGTTGCTGATGATGGACTGAGCCTGAGTCCGGATGGACTGAATTGAGTCGTCAAACAGCTTCTCAGGGTTCGAGATGACTGACGACGAGGATGGTGATGATGACGGGGATCTAGACGACTTGGAGAAGTGGAGTGGGGATGAGTTAGGGTTTGTTGATGATGAGGTTGTGGCTAGGATGAGGAGTAGGAGAATAGTGGTGGTTGCATGGGGGAAGAAGGTTATTTTCGACATATTTTTCTTCTTTGGGAGAAGATGGTATTATGAATTGGTTGAATGTTGAAAGAATTGCTTAAGGAGAAATGGAAGTTTTTGAGTGTGTGCATGAAACCCTAGTGGCTTGGTGGCTATTTATAGTAGTTGCCATGCACTTGGGTTTTGAATTGGAATATACTCCACGCCATGGATGACGTGTACATGAGTATATATCACTGGATTATATTATCACCCATTAAGAATACACTAGTGTTTATTTAGTTAATATCTTATTACGTTATTGGATATTAAACCTATAGAAGTTCGTATATCGGTCTTATATTTATATTTTTTTTGAAAAAAAGATAGAACCGACCGATCTTTCAATCCCTAATCCAAAAAGTTATAACTTAATTAAATAATCTACGACGTAATTAAGGTTGTTGACAGTGGCGGAGCCAGGAAATTGGCTAAGGGGGTGTCTTTATCATATCATAAAAAATCACCTATACAATAGAAAAGTCAACTTTAAATTAAACAAAAAGTCAACAACGCAATACTCTAAAGTCACACAATTACATTAAAATAGTTTCACGTACACCGGTTACAACGTCAAACAAATAAGTTCAGTACATACAAATCAAGACTTCCATTCATCAAATATTACAAATTAGAACTGAGAAATACCTTGGAATTGATTTTGTGAAACAAACAAGTGAACTTCGATTGGTACTTCTTCACTTTCAACTTTGTTTAAACAAAAGACAAGAAATTTCTCTGTTGTAGAGCTACAAAAAAAAAAATGAGCGAGTTTAAACAAAAGACAACAATTTATTACTATAAATAAAGACGAAAGTGCATTACATAACAAAACTCACTCGATCGAAATGATAAGAAATTCTTCCTGCAACAGAATGGTCATTGGTTCGAATTTGTATATACCCCTACTCGAAAAAAAATTCTCCAAACCCTTGCACCCCCTCCTCTCCAAGTGGCTCCGCCACTGGTTGTTGATCGATATGTAGATATGTACCCAAAAATCTAGCATATAGAAACTTCTAAAGCTGGGTAGAGGCCTTGTGTTAAATTTTGGCAACATACAGCAAAGCAGAAGCCTAGTGGGGGGAAAGGGAATCGAAGGTGAACAAACACCAAAGTCAAAAACTGAAAGTAGTGGAAGTCCCATTTTAATTGATTAAAACTAACAGCAGAATGCTTCCAACACCACCCAGCCAACAGAGAAAGCAGCAGCCATCCTTGATTGTGAATATGTAAAGATTTTGAGCATTTGGTTGGAAGAAGAAGTGAAAATTATGAAGTAATTCGATTCGCTATAGATATTCGAGCACAAACTGTTTGATTAATTTGCATTTTCTCTAGATCTCTACCGTAAATCAATCTAAAAGACTCTACATCCAAAACACGGTAGAATCCACACCCTTGTATATCGAAATTTCGTGAAAGCAGTACATCTCGCGACCCGGTTGGAGCTTTCGACGACGCGTGCAAATTACTATTCTTGTGTGATATGATGAGCAATATTGCTATCCACAAATGGAATTTTAATTTAATAAGAAATACTAAAACTATTAATTATGTGTCAACTTCATCTTCTATATGAATATGAGATGACGATGGGATTTTTCTCAATATATCCGTGTACTTTGAAGGGTTCAAACTTCAAATATTTCTATGGGTACCCCCAAACCCAAAGGGCCACAGCCAAAAGAAAACGACTTATTATTACAAGGACAAGATATATATAGTCCTCCTCTCCTCTTATATATAATTATGTTTCTTTCTTAATTCTTCTTACGCCAACTGATATATTTTTAGTTTCAGGGAGAAGCTTTAATTTGTGGCTGCCAGCTGCCAATACTTGACGTCTCTGTTGAATGTCTTTCGTCGTCTTTAATTTGACAATAAAAGTTTGATTATACAAATTCAGATACGCAAGTTCACGAGTATTCAAGAGATAAATTGATTACGTACGTACAAAAGAATGGATGATATTCAGAAGCAATAATAATAATAATAATAATAATAATAATAATAATAATAATAATAATAATAATAATACAGTAACCAGATCACTGTGCATGTATACGTAGTACGTAGGCGCAAAGCAAAACCAATCAGCACCATGCAACCGTCCTTTTTCGATCATGCACATCACTTAATTAATCGTCTGATTATATCCGAATCAAAACCCCACTTCTGGCTAGTTGTGATAACCAGAGAAATTATGGTATTACTATATCCCTTCTAAGATTCTCCAATAATGGAATTATTGAGCCAATGGAAACCCCCAACTTCTTTTGTGGTGTAAACACCTAAAGCTAGTAATGGCTAGTCATATATCGTGTGTTCCGATGACCAACCGTTTCAAGATTCGAATCGATTCAGTACGCAAAAGATCTGATAGTTTATTGAAAAACAATTAATCTTGCGGTAGCACATGAGTCGCGTTGGAAGAGCGAGCGGTCCATGAATATATCTGACATGATCATTCATTTACACGAGTTTTACGAGACTCTCTGCTGGTTCTGTCGGGGCCGATGAATATTCTCGGTGGCAGAGCTAAGCTGGAGACGGATGTTTTTAAAGATAAGAAGAAAAAAAAAACAAACCATAATTAGCAGGATTCGAAACTAAGTTTTGTTGGAGGAGGCAATTGCTTACTGCTCGCGACTATCGCCTAATAACGTATCTCATCATTAATTACAATGCGTCTGGATTTAAAATGAGAAGGGAGCCAACACGATTTCATGCCTTCTACACAGCTCTGTCAATGAATATTCGACTAATTCATGTAAGCAGACAATTCGAATTTTTGTTATGGATAACAAAAAAGAAAAAAAAAACTATTAAGTATTGTTATATGGAATCATTTCCCAATCAACATTAATTAGCTTTGCTTCACAACCAAACTTATGTGATGATGATCTTCTATCTATCTATAAACAACAGCCAAGAATTATAAGCTCTAGTTAGTTAGTGGCGGACGACCCTTCGTCGATCATCAGTCACCCCGATTGCCTAATTAAGTGGCCCCTTAAGCTGTTAATTGACATCCTAATGCTTTTTTTTTTCTCAAATAATAATAACAGGTGCCCTCTAGAGTATTTTATGAAACTAAACACGTATAATTAGACAGTTTGTGGATACACATCATCATTAATTAATAAATTTCATGGAAGTTTTTGGTCAAGTAATGAATTATTAGTTGAGAGGCTAAAATTACATCATACATAATTTGTATGCATGCGATTGATTAGTACAAGTGATTAGAAGTACTAACCGACTAGTGTTAGAGCCACAGAAATTAGAGGCTACCCTTGCTAGCACCCATTATCGATCAAAGCTTTAGAGTTATTTTCATCTGTGGGGCAGTCTATATATACAAAGTTTTGTGGCCTGCAATTAGTCTTCCTTCGTCGTCCTCCTTTATGGTACATGTCGTTTTTGGATCCTAGCTAGGTGTTATCCCCTCCCCATAACTCTCTAGTTTGTTCACTAATTAAAGTGTGGGAAAGTGAAAGGAAAGGCGACTGAGTTTTGTTTGGGTAAGAGAGCGTTATAAAAGATCTGTAGTTAATCCTATTCGAGTTATTGGAATCATACGGTTTATGACACGATAATTGTATAAATTTTCACGACCTCGATATTAACGGTTAGCTTTATTGCACATTATGGTGGACACGGGCAAATTTCCGAAGGTTTATTATTGATATTATATTACGATTTTTACACGCCCTCTCATTAAAACTGAAATTCTAAACTCGTAGAAAAGTTTGTCCATGATAGTAGGGGTCGAATCCGAAATAGGGAGGCGAGAGAGACGATAGAATTAGGGGTGGCTATACGATCCGGTCCGGTTAAATTGGACCAAATTGATCCGGTCCCAGTCCGGTCTTTTTGGGAATATAAGGACCAAAGATTGAATTGGATATAGTCCGGTCCCAATTTTATCTTGATTTTAGGTGTTGGGGGTCTCTTATCTGGTTTTTTACCTCAAATCTAAGCCCGAATATGAGATTACATTGTTTGCTATCCGGTCCCGATCCGGGTTATACGGTCCGGTTTCGGGTAAAACCAAACAGTCCGGGACCAAATAGCCAGCCCAGATAGAATGGCAACGATCAGGCTTAGTATGTACTAGTAGTGATTGTATTGGGCCCTATATGGAACTGGCCCGTGAACAACACGAGGTGTGGTATTTGATTTGCGGGTTAGTGGGCCTACATCGGGAGCTCGATAAAATGACTTGACTTTATACAAAGCCCAGGTTTAGTTGCTGGAAATCTGGCCCATTGACCTCGGTCTTATAATTATAAATGGGCCAGCTCCTTTTTCTTAGCCTTTCATTCTTTGATTTCTTTCCTCGATCTTAAACCTTCACTTCTAGACTTCCATAGTTGTCATCTTTCTCAACTATGGTACTTATTCATGATTTAATTCTTCTTTCCTACACAAACCAAATCAAGACACTAATTATTTCCAAAAATGCTCATTGTCCAAAGATCACTCAAAACTATTCCCCTCCCCCAAACACAATGATAACATTGCATCGTCTTGTGCGTATGATAAAAAAAAAAGGGAACGTCAGGCTGTCATTTCAACTTCGGGTGAGGTGTCGATCGCTGACTGATAATAATAATAAAAAATCATTTGGATTTTAATGAATTATCAATTAGGAGAAAGGGAATGTAAACCTAACACCATAAACAAGTGAACAACACACCACCCATGAAAAAAAAAGCATCTAATCACAATACGGGGTTGCTAAGCAAAAGTCATAAACCAAGAAGATTAGAAAGGAATAAAGAGAGGGTGGGGAAATTAAGAGAAAAAGAAAAGAAAAGAGAGAAGGTTCCCATCATGAGACAAATGGATTGGGAAACTCAACCATGTGCCTTCATGTGGTAGTTAGCCCATTATGGGTCCCTCAATCCACTTCTCCCAACTTCCTTGTGGAGACAAACAAAAAGGCTTGGCCCTATTATCACTAATCCATCCCACACAAAGTTTTAACTAAAGATAATAATCCGATTAGTAACTAAAAGGTTGATCTAGTGGTAATTTGTCTACCACTTGAAATATATAGAGATGAATTAAATTGGGTGCTTATTTGATCGACTTGTTCCTTTTCCATTTGTTTTGCTGCCTTTTTAAAGCAAAACATGTGGCCGCACATACGTCGTCACCCACGCATGTTCATCACACACAAGAGACAAAACTCTATGCGTGAAATCGACGTTATATATATATATATATATATATATATATATATATATATATATATATATATACACACTAACTTAATAACCCAACCTTTCGTTACCACCATTGATTGATATATATTTTAGCAGCCTATCGCCATAACTAGCTAGCTAGCTAGATGCATGATCAGCCTTTCACCAACTAGCTAGCTAGTGGTAGTGGATCAATAACCAAATACTATCAATCGCGAGCTTCGGTTTGCGATTTGATTGCTACGCGTTATGACAAATTTTACTATACACACATATAATCACGGCTTAATCTGCTTGAAATTTAATACCATTGCATATATAATCAGCCTTTCACCAACTAGCTAGCTAGTGGTGGATCAATAACCAAATACTATCAATCGCGAGTTTCGGTTTGCGATTTGATTGCTACGCGTTACGACAAATTTTACTATACACACATGATCACGGTTTAATTTGCTTGAAATTCAATACCATTGTTTTGGCATGCATCACCATGTTTAAACCAAATATTAAACACGAGATAGATATACATAATTTCCTGTAAATTACACCTAACTCCATCACTAAACCCACATTTACTCCGTAAAATTTCCTTCTCATATTCTTTCCAATCTTCCATACTTCCTTTTGAACCGAACATGGCAGGCAATGAAACAAAGATGGGACCGTTCCTTCTTCGCTTTTCTCGTCCTTTTATTTCTGTTTATTATTTGTGTCAGAAGAGAAAATCCTAACCTCCCCCAATTCCTTCTTTCTCATTTGTCCCTCCTCTCTGTTGGTATAAAGTTCTCCCTCGTTTTCCATCTTGTGTCAGAGAGTTCGTTATCCATATTCCTCACCATTTCTCCCCCTCCAAACCCTAAACACCGTCTTCTCTCTTTCTCTCAACCATGTCTGCAACAACACAACAGCTAGAGAGAAACTTCACCCACAGATTCCTCACGTCCCTCCGCCGTATGAACTCTCCGGACAGCAAAACCACTACCACTCACGCCGCCGGGCTTGTAATACGTCGTCGTAGCTTGAGAATCAAGCGGGCCGCCTACTCCTCCATGGCCCGCGCCGCCGCGGGGAGCCACCGAGCGTGGACACGTGCCGTCCTCTCCCGGACCAGGAGCCAACGACGACGACAACAACATGGTGTTCGTCCTAATTATATTATTCCTCCGTCTCAGCGGAGAAAGAGCGTCAAAAGAGCGGCGAAGTTGAAGAAGAAGACGAAGAAGAAGAGCGTGGTGAGGAGGTTGGGCCGGGCCGGGAAGCTGAGGGAGCTGGTTCCGGGGGGAAGCCGGATGGAGATGGGCCAGCTGCTGGAGGAGACGGCCCATTACGTGCAGTGTCTCGCCGTCCAGGTTAGGGTGATGCAGGCCGTCGCCGATCACTTCTCCTCCTCGATGTGAAAAACAATTAATTAATTATGAGATTTTTACTATGTATATACAGCGATATAAAGATACACACACCCAACGTCAAAGTATGTAGGTAAAAAAGAGGAGAGTAAAGATCTTTATGTTATGCTGCTTATACTTATGGTTTATTTACAGTTTTCATCTTGCTTTTTTGTTTACGGCTTCTGTTTAATCAATTTATGTACATATATATATATATATACACAGAGTTATATGATCGTTTGTATGTATACAATATGAGAGTGGGGAGTTAAATTTTTGTGATGAACTGTGTGGCCTGTGCTATCTATATCTCTGTCTGCAGCCATGGCGGGTTGTGCTCTAGCTCCTTCTGTTCTTCTCTTATTGTGGAATCGATCTCTTGGTCTTGATGATCACAGGATAATATATATATACATATACGCGGCTTTGTTTTAAGACTCATCAACGGCGAATAATGGAGACAATAATATCTGCATTATGTTGATTAAACATTTAATAATGGAGACTAATATTCTGTTTAAATACGGAACAACCCACTCGTAGTTCAACAATATCATGACAGCTGTGTGATTTAGTTTATGAATTCTCATAATTTGAACATTGTTTTGCGATATTGTGATACTTAGAGGATGGCGTTATAACAGCCAACGAGTACTTAATTAAAACCATGGAATGAACATTACCTACAATAAAACGAACTTTCAACTACTTGTGCTGTTGGTGGTGGGTGTGCTTGCTTTAGGGGTTGCCTCGGCTACACGTTTTGTAGGCATTAATTCTCGACTTTTAGACCTCAATTATCCCCTAAACCACCAGACTAATTAAACTCTCCAGAAAATTCAATACATTGCGGCAGCAATAAGCATCATTTGGGAATTGGAATGGGAGAGGAAGAAGAAAAGTGTGGTCTCATTTCAACTGGTTTTGTTTATTAGTTTTGCTGGTGTTTGTTTCATTTTGTCTGGTTTCTGTGCGTTGAGTTTGCTTATCGATGGTTCAACCTCCTTTTATGTTATGTTGATTGTGTGAGGAATATTGTATAGGCTCCTTTTATTTGAGAATATTTATGGGACAAAATATCACTAGATCTCAGGTATTGTCGTAAGCAGAAAATTTCAGCACACTAATTCATGATGGCCCAGTTTTTGGCTGTCGAAGAACCCATTGGTTCTGGGCTATTATTCTTAACAGGCTCATAGTTCTTCGGATATCCTCTAATCCATAAAAACAACAAAGGCCCACCGTTTCATGTTCTCTATGGACTAACGAGGCCCAGCATTTACATGCTTCTTGACAAGTCAAACGAACACACCATTTTTTATTTTTTGGTCCATAATATTCCGGTCAACACCTTAATTCATTCAGATAAAAGAAAATATCGCATAAATTTTATTGGTGACTAGTAACAACGTTTTTTTTGCATGGCTGAACGCCTTAGATCAAGGTTGTCAAACCGGTTTATGCTATTATACCGGTTTAGCAATTGGAATGGTTCAACCGGTGGTACATATCGGTTTGTACCGGTTCATGTGGGTCAGTATTACAAATAAAATTATAAATACTCATATTTAAATATGACATTTAACGTTAATACCTTAACATTTATACTTGAATCCAACAAATAACATCAATATTTAACTTTTATACTCATAAAATAAATAATAAAATAATTTTTATTAATTCAATTCGTTAAAATAAGATCATTTTACTTAGAGATTTGTATATCGATCATGCCAGTTATACTAGTAGTGTCATGCCGGTTTTACGATCGGTACCGGTTGAACCTGGTACGACCGTGACAACCATGCCGGTCAATACTAATGGTGTCACGCCGGTTTGTTCGGAAACGCATTTCTATCAACAATTGGCTTTCCTCAAAACAGTACCGAGAAACTCATCAATACTCCTCACCGAAGAACCCTTCTCATCCTCACCGTCATCATCTCTCACCGCCATCCTCAAACCCTCCGCAACCGCCGCCGCCTTCCTCCTCATCTCCGCCCCCATCGCCTTCTCCACCGCCCTCTTCACCTCCGCCGTCTCAAACCCCGCCAGATCCACCGCCACTCCCATCTCCTCCACCAGCATCTTCGCGTTGAACCCTTGCTCCGCCGCCAGCGGCCACGCCACGATGGGAACCCCCTGGCTCAAGCTCTCCAGAACAGAGTTCCACCCGCAGTGGCTGAGAAACGCGCCCGTCGACGCGTGGGAGAGAATCTCCATCTGCGGGGCCCATTCGTGGATCAGAATTCCCTTCCCGGACTCGGACACCCGGCCCGCGAATCCCTCCTCAAAGCCCCGCCCGGCCCAAACGAAAGGGACCGAGATTTGTTCCAGCGCGGTGGCGAGCTGGATCATTTGGGACGGAGTTGGGCTGTTCTGGGACCCGAAGCAGATGTAGAGCACCGTTCCTGGGCCGTGGGCCTGCAGCCACTCTCGGCACAGGTTACCAATCTCGTTCGGCCCATTTACCACTGGAGGGACCAAAGGCCCGACGGCCCAAACCGGACGGTTCACGAATCTCCGGAGAAGCTCCAGACCCGAGCCCTCGAATTCCTCCACCGTGTTGCACAGCCATCCGGCGGACTCCATGGACCCCGCAATCTGCGGCCGGAAGAACTCCGACCAAGGGTCCTTCCCGTCGGCGTCTCCGAAGATCTGGGGAAGCTGACTCATCCTGAACCTGTAATTTTCAGGAAACCCGGGAATCGAAAAGTACTCCTCGCCGTCGGCATCGGCGATCCTCTGTTTCCGGTGAGGCAGATTCATCCACACCGACATGTACCCCAAGCTTCCGTACGCGCCACACGTCGTGAAGGTGAAATTCTGAATCCCTAGACTCTCGGACGTTGCTGTGGCCCACCCGAGGAACACGTCGGAGATCAGGCACCGCGGGGTTAACCGGCGGAGGAGATCGCGAACAGGGGATTCGAGGTCGAGGGAGGCGCGGTAGAGCTTGAGGCGGGACTCCGGCGTGCTGGTCGAGTTGTCGGTGAGGAGATCGGCGGGGAAGGGAAGCTCGGCGATGTGGATGTTGGCGGGTTCGTCGGAGAGGCTGCGACGGAGGGAGTCGAGGTTGATCGGGGTGGTGGCGATGGTGACGGTGGCGGTGGCGCGGCGGCGGATGATTTGTCTGGCGAGGGAGAGGAAGGGGATCAGGTGGCCTTGCGTCATTAACGGCAGCATCACGATGTGCTCGCCGGAGGAAGAAGAAGAAGAAGAATACCAATTTTTGTTCTCTCCCATGTTTTTCATCCATGGTGGACGGTGATGTTTGGAATGAATAATATATAATCACAATCTGAAAGCAATGATCTTTTCCATGATCGCTATGTGCTCGTCGAAAGTGGTACTTCGCATTTTCTCTTGATGAATTTTATACGGAAAGTAGGAAAGTTTCTCAGGAAATTTTGATGTTTGTTGTGGGAGATCGAAGAGAGAAAGGGCGAATGGAGTGAAGCTCGATTTGTGTTGTTGATCTGTAGGCCATCATTTTGGGGAAAGGACCATGAACTACTTTCCTTTTGTACGTGAGCTCGGTCAATTATATGGGTTTCTAAGTTTGAACTAATTTTCAGCTCCAATTTGGAACAAGGTAATAAATTACATTAATGGTCATCGTGCTTTTGAGTTGTTTCGCAACCCAGCCATAAATTAGCGAGCCCAGTTGTTTCAATCGAAATTATTCCGTTAAAGTTGTTCATGCCAGATTTGATAGCATGAAGAAAATCGACATGATACAATTCGACTACCATAGTAAAAAGAGAATGTTACATGACTACAAGTTTGAGTGACTTTCGCGAGCCGGTCATAATTGACTCATGTTATGTAAACGTATTTGGTTTGTATCGAATGTGTAGTTAGATACAGTTGACCGTACATACAAGTTATTCATAGTTTCGAACACCTCTTTTGTTATGGTTAATATCGGTTTATTAATACTACAATTTTATCTAGACAGGGTGACTAAAACCCAATAAAAATGACAAATAAAGTATATATGTTACGCTCATTATACCAAATTTGTATATGAAATTCGTGACCTATGTAAATTCACCCACACATGACACAACACATACATAAGGAAAACACCATACATATATATATATATATATCATAAAAGCCTTCAAGAAAGATAAACCACACCACACAAACAACACAGAACTGAAGCACAAGTTAATAACCCAAAAGTGGAAATTAAGAGCACTACTTAATAATCATAATCATGGAGATCAAGTTAATCACCGTTGTCTTCTACAGACCATACAGATCAGATTAACAAGGGGGAGACTTAGAAAGCTTGCACTTGGCCGGGAGCTTGAAGGCGAGCTTGGGGTCGATCCCGAGAGAAGGCAGCACCGGCGAGTTCTTGAACGAGCATAGACACTTCATGTCGGCTTTCGAAAGAGCCGCGCAGCACGCCGGAGTCGGGCGGCTCGGCTTGGGCGGCGTCACGGCCGGCTTGCAAGCCGTCAGCCCAGAAACCGGCATTTTGCAGATCGTCGACTGAGCGGACGAGACCGGAATCCCGCCGGCCACCAGCAGCAGCAGAGCCAGGGTGGCTAGCACCAGCCGTCGGTGATCGACTAAACCTGATCTGCCCATTCTTAATTGCGTGATTAGTGGGGAGGATTAAGGAAGAGAAAGGTGATTAGTGTTGGGTTTTTGTTGTAGTGGGTGTTTGATTTGTTGTTTGTATATATAGGCAGTATAATGCATGTTAATTAAGTTTCTCTAATGTAGATCACTGTGGGTTCACGGGTCTATAATAGTAAGATGCATGTGGGTGACAGAATAATGAGCAGATTTTTGACAACTATATTTTTGTGGTTTTGGCCAAATATTAGTTTGTCATGTTTTAGATCTAGTAATTAATTAAGAGTTAACTATTAGTCACGGGTTGCTAGAAAGGAAAGGGCCATTTCAGGTGGATCCAAGTACTGCTATCAGTGCTAATTATAACTACAGAGAAAAGAAAACTTAATTAGGTTACATTTCAAATTAAGTTAAAAACTTTTAGTGAAAATGGTACAAGTGGAGATGGTAAAGGCGTAGGTTTATATTTTTTTTTCTCGAAATGAAGTAACTATGTTAACAAGATAAACCACGAATGTGTTAAATGTATTTACTGATGGAACATCAGCACACCTATATAATATGAGCGCTTACATGTACAACTTGTGGTGCTATATTTTGTATACAACAGCACTTCATTCTTGTCTATCAATTTCACCATCCTATTCCTTTTTTCCTGTTGTTTTGTTTGATATTAAATATATATATGCATACAAAAAAGCACAAAAAAAAATTCTACTAAAAAAGAATGTCACCTCTATAGACTTACAAGAAGTCCAAAATCACCCCATATTAAGGTTGCTTAAGTGGCTAATCTTACATTAGGAATCTCAATATGTCCAAAAAAAAACCGAGCTCACGTTTGATTAATTACACCTTCATTCATGCACCTCCAAGAGAAGCCGTTGGGGTAGAGCTAGACCCATGATTCCACAAGTCTTTCAACTCACCTCGTATTAGCCCCAACACCACGCAAACCCCTATAGGAAAAACGAGAAGATGTAAAACGTAAACAACCAATTGATCATAATAATTTGAGTTATTGAAAGAGATTTAATCAGATCAAATTATTTTTGATATCATGTTAGCTGAATAACTTGAGTTATTGGAGAGTTCACGTATAAATCTTATACTATTATTAATACAAATGGCTTAATCACTACAAAGATGTGGAAATATATATATATATATGATTATGGCAAATTATATTGGTGTTACCTAGTGTACAAGGAACCAAGTATAGTAGTGCTGGTTGGCCATGCCCATGCATTAGATATAAGCCGAGGTATGTGAAAAAGAGGCCTAAAAAAGGGAACAAAAAATAGGATGTGATAAGTATTAAGAATTAAAAAGAAAATGATTTGATGGAATGGGAAGTTAGTAAATTAGTGTTGTGAAAATGCTCTACCAAATGCATAGCCAACCATCAACCAGATGAAATATCCACTTGCCCAGCTCTTTTTGTTTTCTTTGTCGAATCTGATTAGTGTATAATTTTTTCGTAACAGTATGACACAAACATAATGTGAGATACGAGATAAGCAAGTACCTAAAAATGTTATTTTTGCTCCGGAAAAATATTGTAATATGATACAAAGGATCCAAATTTTAGAAATTACCTTAGAGAAAAACCCACAAGCAATCCGGGGAAAAGGATGTCCCCAAATCCGATCATATCATAGCCACCCCACGGATCAGTCAATCGAGGAAATCTCAGGAGCATGGGAATCGATTCTCCACCGCTATTGTTTCCTTTAGCAACCTACATGTCATTAATAACTAGTATCAGTGAAATTTTATTCGAAAGAGGCTACGTGCATAAAAAAAACATGAAAATCCATTATTATCTGCTCAACAATTCACGTTGCAAAGATACAAAAAAAGTCCAGATAGTACTTACAGCGATCATCACGCTCTGATGAAATATAATGGGTGATAAGAACACCCAAAAGATATCATAAACGAACGCACAACAGAGGAGCACGGTAGCAACCTGGATTAATATCAAATAACAGTGAGAACCTATATAACAAAATTGTAACATATTATTGATTGTGAGACAACATAACAATATATATATAAATCTCGTGCTACCTTAATATTAGGCAACCGTGCCACTTGCAGAATTGATATCATCAAGCAAATGCCCTAATAACAAAGCAAATATTAGAACTAAGTGGTGTTATTTATGATGAATAATCATAATTGCTTTCATGTTAGTGTTATATTATATGTAATCCCAATGAAACTCACAAGAACATCTTGACCAATCCATGAAAATGATGCCTTTCGAGTGATAGCCCAAGCAATAGCAAATGCTAAGCAAAAGATGAGCACGATTAGGGAAACAATGGTCGTTTCCCCAAAATAGGGTAAGGTCACTTTCTTTTGACATGTGCAGCCCCTGCTCAATTCATCACCAATAATCAGAAACTAATTAAGTGCAAATATAAAAATACAAATAAAATAATAAAGGAGTTGATAATGGTTGCATCAAAGTGAAAAAAACTACATTAGACAATAGTTTCTTTTTTGTATCCGAAAGAATTGATGATATTTGTTTCTTTTGTTTGTATGTATGCTATGCTTCTTCACAAATATGTTCATACATTATGTTATCTATTTATTGTTGGCCGCTTTTTTAAATGTTGTCTGATATTAGTTAGAATTTTTTGTGAGGGTAACAAATTTTTGTACCCATATTTGAATCCTGAATTTAATCTATTATATGTGCATTTCAAAAAGAAACATATAGAATTTCGGGGTACCTTGAGATGAGAGTTACTATAAGGGTATGCATACCCTACAAAAGAATAGTACAAAGGAAAACAAATATAAAAAACATAGTACATTGAACAAACAATATAGTGGGTAAAAATAAAAGCTAATTCCAACCCATTTCTTTAATGTGAAAAAAAAATCAACGGTTTACCTCAACGCCACCGATGCAGAAGAGTACAATTAAGAGCCACACAAACCAGCTCGACATGAAGAAGAAGAGTAGAACCAAAAACGTGGATGCGCTAATCACAAATATTATTGCACTCTTCACATCGATGTTAATGATCTCCTCGGTGTTCTCTTTACTCGTTGCACCATCGGAAGCACTCTAATGGCAAAGACATGCAATGTTAAGAGATAGTTAATTATTGTTTAGTGGGTACGTAAATACACTCTGAGTTTAATTAACTAACATTGATCAGTATGCAGATGAAAATCGTTCGAGATTTGGAAGAAGGGTGACCAAGAAGGCTGGAAGTTTTTCTCACTCTCCTCTCATGACCCGAAAGCAAATGTATGAGGTTTAAGTTATGGAAGTACGCTTTCGGCCCCTCCTAATTTGCAGCTTTTGTTCCGTGTGGATGAAACAACACAGATAACATATTTCATGAGTTTGCTCGCTCTTTATTTCCTTTCTCTCTTGCTCTCTGCCTCTTTGTTTGCTACAAAACTCTTTACATGATATGATCATCGAAGAATGTTCATCATGATCATCGTATGCTGGAAATTCTTCTTTTACGCTCAATTCTACTTGGTTGATCAATCTTAGACGATTCATTCACTAGGTTGTGTGTATAACAGATTCATCATAAAAATGAGAGGAGATCTAGAAGAATTGCACTATCGAATTGGGGCGGGGGTAACAACATGAATTCTCATAGTGACATGTGACTCATCCAAATCGTACTTACTAATTAAGCATGGGTCAATACTCAATCCTACCTCTAAGGCTCTGACCAATTTTTATGGATTCTTAATCGAGCGATCGTACCTTTGGAGAAAAATCATCGTAACGCGGCTCTGAATCCTTTGTTTTAGCTATTTCTGGCCAAAGTGAGGCAGTAGCAACCGTCGATACAGCCATCAACCATAAGAACGCAACCGAGAAAGATACGACTGGACGATCGGGTGCCCACAATCCAATTTCCACTGCAAAGTAAACATGAAATCTCATTGAGATAAAATTACATAATGACCAAATTTGCCATATGAATGGAGAATTTGGGTTGGGGTGGACACATAACAAAAAGACCTAATCACCTTTGTGGCCCTCCTGCAATGCTTTCCTGAAACTCTCAGCAGTTGACTTGGGAACCATCACAATAGGAATGGTAATGTTCGTAGCAGGGGTATCATCGTCACAACCCATCTCGATAGTCCCTTGATTATAAGGGGTTTTAATTTAATATGCGACAAAGATAGCCAGAACTAAGTTATTTGTTTGAAAATATGATTTTTCAAGCTTGTTTTAATATAATATTTCAAGATTATTAATTACAAAAATTCAAACCTTCATCGTCGTTTATCACTAACAAAGCTTTTGCACCATTTGACTGTGCAAGATTTGCCTTTGCCTCGAAGGAACAATCTCCACGAGCAACTAAGGCAATTGAGCTAGATAACTACAAAGAAAATTATAGTGTGATTACTGACACTTATGAGACAATTTACTAATAAATAACACTAGCGAAAAATGTTACGTATCACGCGATCAAATCTTATATTATGTCAGTATGAGTGTGAAGTTCAATGACAAAATGCATAGTAACAATAAATTGGTATCTATAATAATTTTCACACCTTTGTAGATGGAGTAGAGCAACATGTCAATGGGTTTGCCACAACAGCAGATAATTTGACACTCTTATCCACCTCAAGGGGTAGTATTGCACCGAATCTTGCTGTAACACCGGTGTAAGTTTCACCAGCAACACCATTAACCCAGTTATCAACCTTTACCTGGAAATTTAATTCAAAATATTTATACTAGAACAAGATAAAAAAATGCATACAAAAAGTGTAGCACTGAAAAAATGTTATAAGATTCAAATGCTTCCGTAGTCTTGAACATCCACATGTCATTTTAATCATACATTTTATCGTAACAATTTGTTAATTTGTTACAGACATGTCTATATCATGATCCTCCTAACAATTTTCAATTTTAGTTTTTTTCCTTCATACCATAAGAAAGTACCAAACTTAACTACGAGAAATTCACACATCATTGACTCCATTTGAAGAACTCAATTATTGTTGGATTTTAAATCAACATCCCTCACATGTGAAGAGGGTTCGATCAGATTGCAAACCAATCCAATGAGCATAAATCTCATTATTCAACCCTAACCATTCGTTTTCTACTAGAGATGAAACTAAGAAATAAGAGTGATTGACCCAGTTGGTTGCAGGTTCACAATTACCATCAATTATGCACCACATTCCTCCATGATTCACAAACTTCAACCTAAGAATTAGGTTAGAAAGATAAGAAATTGGGGGACATAGATGCAAAGCTTGAAAAGATTAAGTACCAATTTGTAAGGATTGTCACAACCAGGTGCACTTTTGGAGGGATCCTTGCTAGCCCCATCGCCAAAGCAACCCAGCAAAAGGGACAACCAGAAGAAAATTGAGAAAATTACAGTACTAATTGGAAACGATAAAGCCATTGATAATTATGAAAAAGCCACCCTGTTAATTCCAAGATACTAACACCTCCTCCCTCTCTTTGGAAAAGAAAATTTCGAGAGGGATGGTTAGATTTAAAAGAGATAAATCGAGGAATAAAACTCTCAGTGAATCAAAATATGTTCATGTAATTTTTCTTGTTCTTCTTTCTCTTCTTCCCGGTAAAGGAAAAAGAGAGAAATCAAAGGAAAAATATTTTTGTATGATAAAAAAAGATGTTAAAGAAGAAAATGAATGTTTATTTATGTTAACTTTTAGATTTTTCCTCATAATAGATTATTGAGATATTTGCGTTGAGGTTTAGATATAAAATTAGAATAGAGGAGAAAAGTTAAAATTCATTTTAAAGGGAGAGCGTAAGAAACATCATTGTTGACTAGATGAACTTGAGATGAAAAATGACACAAATAAACCTAATAATTTTGTGTACTCTTCTGACCGGATTGAAAGAGTATAAATAAGTTCAGAAATAGTTTAAACCCAAAACAAAAGAAGCAAATATGTAAAATTTGACACGACAATTTTTCCTGTAACATTCATCGCAACTCTTTCTCTCTTTTCCCCGCTTTAATCCCTTCAATCTAAAATATACTAAATAAAACTAAAGGCAAAATAAGCAAAATGATTGTTTTGTTAAAAATGCAATAGTATGAGGATTTAAATGCTTAGAAAAACTTATCAAGGAACTTATTCGTTAACATTTTATAGTATAGTGACTTAACTAGCTATTACTCCTTCAAATATTCACAAACGGTAAACCTAATGGCTAGTATATAAACCCACTCCATTGCGCGAAGACGTCGCCGCCGTTGTATTCCCACAAAAGAAAAGAGGTCGCCGTTGTAGCAGAGACTCGCAATCAGGGGAGAGATATGGGAACCGTTAAAGCCGGCAAACCCTCCAAGTCTTGGAGGAACCCTAATAAGCTTGGCATCAGAAAGAAGAGAAGCAACCATGACAGCAGTGCAAAGAAAATCCAGCAGAAGAAGAAGAAGAAGAAGACGAATAAACTGCAGCAGCAAGACATTTCCACGGACATAGTCGAAGAACAACAACTACCCAACGAAGATGAGGTTCCTTCTACCGCCACCCGGCCACTGGATTTCTTTCTGAGCGAGTTCCAGTCTGCTAATGGCATTCAGCTTTCGTCTCTCGAGTTGGAATCGATTAACGGTAACCATTGCATTCTGTTGTAGGGTTTGGATTAGTTGATGTGATTGGCAGAAGTTCGAAAATGTGGGAAATGGGGTTTTAACTATGTCTGGATTTCTCGATTGACAGAGGACTGCTTTATGGAGTTATCGGAAGAACTGCCGCATGGTGTTGAGGCTCTAGGGAAAGGTATGAAGGATGCGTTCGGCAAGTCATGGAAAGCAGAACTCTGTGACGGGAAGCTTGTGGATGGCAAGATCGAAGCGGGGAATCCTGCTGTTCTTTTCATTTCTGCGTCTGCATTGAGAGCAATAGATCTTCTGAGGTAGATGTGATGGCTGAAATGAACATTTATATTAAGATGCTGCAACTCCTGTTCGTTTCATTATTGTTTGGTCTTTTTGGTTATATGAATGGTCTTCATATGATTAACAAAGCATGTTATATCACCTTCTGATAGGGGTGTGCGGTTGTTGACGAAAGAATGCCATGCCGCCAAGCTGTTCTCGAAGCACATGAAAGTCGAGGAGCAGGTGATTCTTCTTCTTTCATTGATCTTATCTTGGTGAAAGTTATAAAGACCGTGACTTTATTTGTTTTTAGGTCTGTTCTTCATTTGCTGTTACTATAGATCTGCTGTGACATTGGGATATGATGATGAGATAAAAATATCAGAGGCACTAGCAGTGCTGATTTTTTTTTGCACGTCAGTCTGATCCCATATCATTTTTTCGAGCTCAAACTGCCTTTCTCGAAATTGTTGCATTTCATAGTTGTAGTTATTACTGATTGTATCTTGAGCATTTGCATCTTTGCATGAGTTGGCACCAGAGTCCTTCATTGTCATGGGCCATCGCCTGGTTCCAACTTTTCACATGTTGTTTGGGATATGATGATGAGATATAAAGATCAAAGGCAACTAGCAGTGCTGAGTATGTTATTTGCACGTCAGTCTGATCCCGATTTAGTTACTCAAGACTTGGATTTATGTTGCAGTTCCTGCTTCCATTCTAGGTGATTGATTGTACATTGCTGTTGTGCTCTTAGTTCTAGAATTGGTGGCTACATTTTCATTATGGTTGACGGGAGATGATGAGAAAAATCGTTAAATTGTCAGAAGCGAATGCTCTGCTGATTATACTTTTTTGCACGTCAGTCTGATCCCTAAAGAAGTGTGTTAATCTTCTTGGTTCGTCTTCGACTTTGAATTTTATTTCCCCCTGTAGTCTTATATGTCAGTGATGGAACTTGGCTTTTATTCTTGAGTCAATTACCGAAAATATCAAAATGGTTCGAGGGAGATGATGAGAAAAATCGATACTTTGTCAGAAGCGAATGCTCTGCTGATTATACTTTTTTTGCACGTCAGTCTGATCCCTAAAGAAGCATGTTAATCTTCTTGGTTCATCTTCAACTTTGCATTTTCATTTCCCCATGTAGTCTTACTTATATGTCAGTGATGGAACTTGGTTTTTGATCTAGAGTCAATTACTAGAAATTTCAAAATGGTTCGAGGGAGATGATGAGAAAAATCGATACTTTGTCAGAAGCATCTGCTCTGCTGATTGTATAATTTGCACGTCAGTCTGATCCCTAAAAAAAGTGTAGGTTACTCTTCTTTTTCTCTTAATTTAGGATTAATGTAACATAGTAACACATATTAGCATTCGTTCTTGGACAAGGAGATTGAGCTTTATGCCATGATGCTGTTCTATGGGTTTTATACTTGAGTCCATGCTACATGATCACTCTTTATCGCCTTTCTGATATTGGACATCATAGGTTCTATTCATTAGTTGTACCCATTACTTAGCTTCCGGTTGTGCTTTACTGCAGGTCACCATCTTAAAGAACCGTGTTAATTTTGCTAGTGGTACACCAAGCAGGTCAGTTATTTAACCACTGTCCGATCTTGCACTTTCTCATTTCCTTTTCACCTTACCTGATGTTTATGCTTGAATTCGTACCTGGTGTGACTTAATAGTTGGTTTGTTTATTCATTTGTATTCGGCCAATTGATTTTGATTAAAACTTGCAAGGATCAAGAAGTTGATCGACATTGAAGCAATGGGGCTTTCACGGTTGAAAGTTGTCGTGCTGGATTTGCAACAAGATGTGAAGGGTTATTCCTTGCTCTCACTTCCACAAGTGAGGTCAGTCTCAGAAAATTAGCTGATGAACTTCGGTTTGTCTTAAAGTTATGCTTTCTCGGTTATATACTCTTGTCTCTCACTCATCTACTCACGTCATTTGGCAGAGGCGAGTTCTGGGACTTGTACAAGAGCCACATACACCCACGAGTGCTTCAAGGCGATCTACGGTTGTGTCTCTTCGGTCCAATACCTAACAAGTCGAATGATAGGAAAAGAAAGTGAGTGGACGAACCCCCGATGACTTATCACTTCGGTATCAATTTTGAACCCGAGTCTAAGAATCGGAAGAGAAGCTGCCGATCCTTGCTGGTCCTAGAAGTGATTTGCCCTGCTTCTGTCCTGTTCTTGCCGCATGGCTGTGTGAAATTCGTGATATGTTGTATGGAGGAGTTTGATGTGACACAAGTGTATTGAGCCACAGCAAGCATAATATGCAAAGAGTTGTGAAATTTTTCGGCATACTGTCAGTTGGCTGCTTTGAGAATTCCGTTTTTGGCATGTAAATATGAGCAGAACACAACAGAGGAAAATAGAGTAATCATCTGTCCTCAAATGTGATATATTGGTGAGTTCAGTGACGAAATTTGTATTATTAATCCAGAATAGAGTCTCGTGCGAATTTGGTCATAGGCTTCCAAACTGAATACACTGTTCAGGTCCAACCATCCGGGTCCGGCCCATGTTATATTGGGCTTTGGGGTATTTCATTTCGTGTTCTTCCCACTCTGTTTGCAGCGGCAGAGGAAAGGAAAATAATCAAAATATGCGCGGCAGGCTGCGGAGATCTTCGCCGGGAAGTCTTAACTGACGAATGCTAGTAAGAAGCCGCCGCCGTTGCTCGGTTGACAAAGAGAGCTGATGCTGCGAGGTTTTGATTCGTTAAACCGGCTGGCGACCAGATTCTACCGCAGTGACAGTTTTGTCTCCTTCCCCATTTGAAGAATTTGTGAACCTGGAGTTGATTTCCGCCTTAAGGATACGAGGTTGGCTCTGCGCAATTTCGTTGGATGAGGATGGTGATAACCTGTGATTGATACTTCCTCCCACACCATGTTCATACCGGAGGTAAAATTCATTTCACAGCCGAACATCATCAGGCTGATATCTCCAAAGGCACTCTCTGAACTCTTCCTGCGGTCTCGTCACACTCAATTCAGGGTCGTTTGCTTTCTCCCAACGCCTCGGGATCGCGAGAATCGAGTGGAACCATCCAATTGCTATTATGGATTGCCGATTCGAGTCCACAATGTTCGCAGAACATACAGGGGCGGCCGCAGGAAGAAGCTCGAACTCGCCATTGCCCAATGCTATGACTCCAACCCCGCGGAGCAACTCGTTCTTGACGTGCTTAAGATGAATCGTAACGATTCGAGGGTGGCTTTGAACTTCTTCAACTGGGGTTCCAGCAATCACCCACTATCCAACCCTCCTAGTGTTTCCACCAAAATCGTTGATATTCTCGGCCGGGTGAGGCAGTTTGAACACGGGGACAAGGTGCTCGATGAAATGTCTAAGAGAGAAGGGTTCATCAGCGAGGAGACTTGTGAGATAATGACTCGCACAATCATTCCCAATGGCTGGCGTGTATTTGGAAATGTACATGAGGCCAAGAGATCCGGGGAAGGCATCACAGCATCCAAATGCGAGCCAGATTTTTGCAGGTTCCCAACTGTCATGAAGAAACGTACAAGAACTGGTAAGAATGGCCAAGGAGTTCAACATTTTTCAACAAGAACGGCTCCTTCCGCCGTTTCGGACTCTTACCCATCAAAGAAAGCGTTGGACTTGAAGCGCAAACAATCCAGAAATGGCTTACGTTTAAACACAAGAGACACTGACATTTTGGAATGGAATGTGGCCATCTCCAGCCACATGCGCAACGGGGACTGCGACTCCGCGTTACAGGTATTTAACTCGATGCCTCGTCGGAGCTCAGTCTCATATAACGCGATGATTTCAGGGTATATTATGAATGACAAGTTCAGGCTTGCTCGGGAAATGTTCGATAAAATGACCGATAGAGATTTGGTCTCCTGGAATGTCATGCTTAGTGGGTACGTCAGGAATCGGAATCTTACTGCAGCCAGGGAATTGTTTGAGACAATGTCGGATAGGGATGTTGTTTCTTGGAACACCATATTGTCTGGATATGCGCAGAATGGCTTTGTTGACGAGGCAAGGCGTATTTTCGACAAGATGCCTACTAAGAATGCAGTGTCCTGGAACGGGTTGCTTTCTTCCTACGTGCAAAATGGACGTATAGATGAAGCGCGGAGATTGTTCGAGGCAAAGATGGACTGGGAGACTGTTTCTTGGAACTGTTTGATGGGGGGTTTAGTGAAAAGGAGGAGGTTAGTTGATGCGAGGAAGCTATTTGATAAAATGCCTGTGAAAGATGAGGTTTCCTGGAATACTGTTATTACTGGTTATGCGCAGAATGGACAAGTGGAAGAAGCACAGAGATTATTTGATCAGTCTCCAAGTAAAGACGTGTTTACATGGACTGCAATGGTTTCAGGATACATCCAGAATGGCCTGTTGAATGAAGCAAGAGCGGTTTTCGATAGAATGCCTGTAAAGAATTCGATTTCATGGAACGCCATGATTGCTGGGTACGTGAAGAGCAAGAAAATGGAGCTAGCCAGAGAACTGTTTGTGGCAATGGACTGTAGAAATACTAGCTCGTGGAACACAATGATTACAGGATATGCTCAGAGTGGGGATATAGCTCGTGCTAGGGAACTGTTTGATGAGATGCCTCAACGAGATTCAATATCATGGTCTGCTCTCATTGCTGGCTATGCCCAGAATGGTTTCAGTGAAGAGGCTCTGCAACTTTTCGTGGAGATGGAAAGGGTTGGAGAAAGGTTGAACAGGTCCTCATTTACCTGTGCTTTGGCTGCATGTTCTGATATTGCTGCTTTGGAGTTGGGGAAAGAAGTGCATGGTCGGTTGGTGAAGGCTGGATACCATACTGGTTGTTTTGTGGGGAATTCTCTTCTTGCAATGTATTGCAAGTGTGGAAGCATAGATGAAGCACGAGATGCATTCGGTGAGATAGCAGAAAGAGATGTCGTCTCTTGGAATACAATGATCCATGGTTATGCAAGGCACGGATTTGGAGAAGAAGCCTTATCGATTTTTGAGTCAATGAAGATAGAGGGTATCCGACCAGACGAGGCGACCATGGTAAAAATTGATTTATTAACTGAAAATTTGTTCGCTTTCCGTTTTCATTTTTAAAGCATGTGAAAATTCTCATGTTGGATATCTTTGAATTTTGATCATTCGTCTTCTTCCGATAAATTGACTTACCACTTAAAGCTTTTATGTATTTCAGGTTGGGGTACTGTCTGCTTGTGGTCATGCTGGCTTAATTGACAAGGGGACCGAATGCTTCTACTCTATGACCAAAGTATATGGAGTCGCACCAAACCCAGTCCATTATACTTGCATGATCGACCTCCTTGGTCGAGCTGGCCGCCTGAAGGAAGCTCAGGACTTGGTACGAAACATGCCTTTCAAACCAGATGCTGCAGCTTGGGGTGCATTACTTGGTGCAAGCAGAGTCCATGGCAATATTGTACTTGGTGAAACCGTTGCCAAGACAGTATTCAAAATGGAGCCAGATAATTCCGGCATGTACGTTCTCCTCTCAAATCTATATGCAGCTTTAGGAAGGTGGCCTGAAGTCCGTATGATGAGACAGAAAATGAAGAGAGAAGGGGTCAAAAAACTTCCAGGCTACAGCTGGCTCGAAGTGCAGAACAAGATCCATAATTTTAGAGTTGGGGACACTTGCCATCCAGAGAAGGACCGGATATATGGGTTCTTAGCAGAGATGGAGGAGAAAATGAAGCAGGAAGGCTTTGTTTCTCTGACAAAATTGGTGTTGCATGATGTGGAAGAGGAAGAAAAGGAGCATATGCTAAAGTATCATAGTGAGAAGTTGGCCGTCGCGTATGGGATCCTGACTATCCCAGCTGGGAGACCGGTTCGCGTGATTAAGAACTTAAGGGTATGTGAAGACTGTCATAATGCCATCAAGTTTATGTCCAAGATTGTTGGGAGGTTGATTATCTTGAGGGATAATAATCGGTTTCACCACTTCGAGAACGGTTCGTGTTCTTGTGGAGACTACTGGTGAGAGCAGCAAAAGGAACAACGCTGAATTGAGTGAATGAAGCCTTCAGTTTTGAACTCGCAGGTATTTATGCAAAAGGGCAGTTCTTTGTTCTGCTTCTGTAAAATTACAGTAGTGTCAATAAGTGACTGTGGTGTGTTCATCAGGTGAAGACCTATAAAGGCAACACAGAGGGGAAAGACTTGAAGTCTTCAAGAACTATGAGTAGTGAGTTGACAGAGCTTTGGAGTGCCTTAAAGATATGCTGTCTCCACTAATGAAGTGGTGGTAATCATAATCATGCATTTGGGCAACTTATTGTTGTTAATGAGGTAAGCTGTTCCTGTGCGACCTTCTAGATGTGTTTGGTTTGATAATCACCCAAGAAAGTGACTTTTCATCAGTAAATTGCATTGCATGACTGCTTCAGCAATCAGTGGTTGGTTTAAGTGACATAAGGTTTACAGCTATTGAAAACCCCCTCAGCTAGTTGCCAATTTGGTCTTGGTTTCTTGTGAGTTTTGTTGTATCCTTTTCATCAATGACATGACAAACATTGACCTGCTCTTTTTAGTGTAAACTTGTGGCAAGGTTAACAGAAGTTGTTGATTGATTGAATGATTGATTGAGATATAAGCAAAAATGGGGATTACCCTGAATTAGTTGTGGATGTTAGAGTGTGGTTGCCTCGTCTTATCTTAATCTCGTTATCTACGATTTAAGTTTTAGATAGATAACTGTGTTTCTTGAAGGCTTTCACATCAGCAACATGACATTAAAAAACTGATATTAACCTGAGATGGAAGAAATCACTATTATTTATTACTCTGTTTTTAAAGTGAGTTCAATGTCTTAACTGTTTCAGGAATTTAGTGGCCGATGTTGTAAACTGACGGACTTCAGTGACTTAATCGGTATTTAATCCATAGAAGCGTCTGTCAACATTTTGGTCTGGAAAGGGCCTTAAGCCCAAAAGAAGGCAGTTCAGGCCCAGCTCTGTTTCGAGCGGCACTACACACAATCACACAAACAAAGTCGGAAAAGGAAAGAGAAAAGCGCGGCAGACTGCAGAGATCCTCGCCGGCTAGGCTCACCGGACGAGTGCTAGGGAGAAGTAGTGCCGGCGCACAGCTGACAACGAATGCTGCAAGGTTTTGATTCCGACCATGTTCATACCGGCGAAAAAAATCATTTCCCAGCTGAAGTTCATCAAGCGGATATCCCCAACGCTATTCTCTGAACTTCTTCTGCCGTCTAGTCGCTCTCCATTCAGAAGCTTTTGCGTTCTCCTGACGGCTCCGGATGATGAGAATCCCGTGGAACCATCGGAGTGCGATTCTGGAATGGCAGCTCGAGTCCACAACGTCCTGAGGACACACAGGGATGGCCCGACGAAGAAGCTCGAGCTCGCGGTCGCCCAATGCTTCGACTCCAAACCCACGGAGCAGCTCGTTCTTGACGTTCTTCGGATGAATCGTTCCGATTCAAGACTGGCTTTAAAATTCTTCAACTGGGTTTCCAGCATTTCCCCGCTTTCCGTCAGGCCTAGCGTCTGCAACGAAATCCTTGATATACTCTGCAAAATGCGTCAGTTTGGAGATGCAGACAAAGTGCTCGTTGAAATGTCCAAGAGAGAAGGATTTGTGAGCGAGGAGACCTACAGGGTATTGGTCAATAGATACGCAGCTGCACATAAAGTTGACGATGCTGTGGCACTTTTCCATAAGAGGAGAGAATTAGGTTTGGGCCATGATTTACCCGCCTTGCAGCAGCTTCTGATGTCTCTGTGTAGGTATAAACATGTGGAAGTTGCAGAAACGATATTGCACTCCACGGGAAACGATTTTCGCACCGACATAAAGACTCTAAATATCGTTCTCAATGGCTGGTGTGTTCTGGGAAATGTACATGAAGCCAAGAGATTCTGGAAAGACATTATCGCGTCCAAATGTAAGCCGGATTTGTTCACGTTTGCAATTTTCATCAAAGCTTTAACCAACAAGGGGAAGCTAGGTACAGCGCTGAAGCTATACAGAGCGATGTGGAAGAATGAATGCAAACCAGACGTAGTCATATGCAACTGTGTGATTGATGCTCTTTGTTTCAAGAAGAGGATTCCGGAAGCTTTAGAAATTTTCCATGAAATGAAGGAAGAAGGCGTTTGTCCTCCAGATGTGGCGACTTACAACTCGCTGATCAAGCATTTGTGCAAGATTCAGAGGATGGAGAAGGTTTATGAGCTGTTGAGTGAGATGGAAGAGAAGAAGGGGAGTTGCATCCCAAACGATATAACTTTCAATTACTTGCTCAAGTCGTTGGACGAGCCTGTTGAAGTTCCTAGGATTCTTGAGAGAATGACAAGAAATGGTTGTGCCATTAACCAGGATACATACAATCTGATATTGCGGTTGTATGCGAAATGGGACTGCGAGGAGAAAGTGGTGGAGCTGTGGAAGGAGATGGAGGAGAAGGGACTGGGACCTGATCAACGGTCTTACTCGATAATGGTGCACTGGTTGTGTCAAAAGAGAAGATTCGACGAAGCTTTGCATTATCTTCAGGAAATGAAATCTAAGGGCATGGCTCCGGAACCAAAGACCGAAATGCTGGTCAGTTCAATGCTAACCAAGCGGAAAGAGAATGAATCTAGACAAAGGCGACAAGGTGCAAACCAGAAGAAGGTATTCATCAAGAGGAGTGTAGAGAAGAAGAAGGGCGGTGCAAGGTAATTTTCTTCATCAATCTTGAACCTTCATAACATTATATTGCTTTCCAAAGTTACAAAAGTACAACTTCTGTAATGGCTTCGCAGCTGCACTTGCTGCATGCTTTTTTTCCTCCAGTGCTTAGGATAATCTTAATCCCTGACGTGAGTTTTCCTTGACATCTGCAGAAATGAGTTTTGAAGGCCATCTCTCGATCATCAAAGGAGTATATCAACTTCTCGAGAGTCAAGTTCGGATGCAGTCGCGTGTGACGGTTGGTGAGTCGTGACCTTAAGCTAAGCCTTGTTGGTGTCAGGATGCTCAAATGTGGATCATCTCATGGGAGGTTCTAGCCTTTACAGGGACTCCTTCACATCTATGATGCCTCCATGATGCCATCTGCCTTCCAACTCTGAGGTTTTGGGTGCTGACTGAATTCTCTGATCGATGGACTTGCAGAAATCATTCTCGAATGAAGGGCTGAACACTTCCTGCTGTATCTCTTGTTTGGAAGGAAGACGTCAACTAAAAGTCTAAAAGCTATAGTAATTATTCTCTTCAAGAAAGCAACTAACTTAATAGTTAAAAGTTTTAGTTGAACCGTTAATGTATACATTAGGAGCCTCATAAACTTGGTGTGTTTTTGTTCTTGTTGTTAAGATAGCTTCACTGAGTTTTTTTTTTTATACTTTTCCAGTTTTCCTTATTCTTGAAGTAGGTCGGACCGTATGTATGGCCCGATTGCGGGATAACCGCGGTTCAATTGCAGGGCCCGGTCCATCTCTCTTTCCCTTTTCTTCCCTCTGTCGATTCTCTTCTCTATAGTAGAAGTGTAGAACTGCAGAAGGTTGCGTTCCAAAAAAAAAAAAAAAACCCCGCTCCTTTTCATTTTCAATATCACCTCGTCTCTTCAATCCAAGCCGCTCTACTCACCGTGAACAATGGCGGGTTGTATTAGATCAGCTCTTCCTCTCATGAACAGGATTGCCAGATCCCATTCGTCTTTCGCTCCTCAGAGGGCCGCTGTTCACCGCGCACTTCAGTCCCCGGCCCTCGCTTCTTCATCCGAGGTAACAGGAACGGTGATCGCAGTTCTTTTCTTTTCTTTTCTTTAACCTTTTGCTCTTTTGATTGAATTCCGGGGTTTGAGAATCTAGGCTGCCCTCTGTATCGCTCAGCCAATTTGATTTATAGAGTTTGAAACCTCAGCTTCGATAGGAGCTCTACTTTTATCATCGTTGTAATGTCATCGGATTGAGCACAGGAACAATTTATTTGCATTGGGTTTTACCCTTGATGCTGTTCGTGGAAAGGCTTTTAATTTTCATTTCGAGTCTAATATATATAGGTGTTCTGCATATGGTTCTCTCGCAAGCAGGGTGATTATGCTTAGTTTGCTGTGACGCTTTTGCTTAACTTCATCTGGTTTCTTGCAGTCTTCCAGAAATTATGCCACCGCAGCTGCACCTCCTAAGGAGCAGAAAGTTAAGGTATTTGAATTCATTGGCTTGTCTAATGCTGGTTTCAAAAATGTTGGGCAGTAGTGTTGGGTCTTTCAAAAATGTGTTTGAATCTAGAGCTTGGATCACCAGAAAATCTTCTAACTTTCTTGTTCCGCTGTATAATCTTCCTATAATGGTTTCTATTTTTCGTGTAGTTGCCAATAGCTTTGTATGGGGGAGCAGGAAACTATGCCTCTGCTCTGTACATTGCATCCAAAAAGGCTAATGTACTGGATAAAGTTGAGTCCGAACTACTTGACCTTGTTCAGGCATTGGAGAAAAGTCCTACTTTTTCTCAGTTCACAAAGGACTTGTCAGTGCCTGCTGATACGAGAGTCAAGGCCATTAATGACATAGCTGACCAAGCCAAATTTTCACAAGTTACCAAGACCTTCTTGGGTAAGAAGTTCTTCTCTAAGTAAGGGGGTGTGTTCATCCTGGGAAGTAGAAATTACTTTTGGTTTCCTGCACTAGCTGAATGGTAGTTTCTACACAGGACCTTATTGCCATCTGTTGATTACTTCAAATGATCATATGAACTATGGTTGATATATAACTAAAAGGTTGATAAACCAGGGGAACTTGATCATGTATGCAAAGAGGGAATCAACCTAGGGGTGCTCAGGTGCCAGGGAGCTAATTTCTTTCTTTGACTTATTGGTTTTCCCATTACAATGATGACTCTGTTTGGATTCTGAGATGTACCTCCCAAAGTGAAACTTAACATTTTAGCTTTTTCTCAGATTTTGGTGCTGAGAGGTAGCTAATATAATTGCTTTTTGGATCAGTTGTTCTTGCTGAGAATGGAAGGCTGAGGTCCATTGATACCATAGCTAAGAAGTTTGCAGAGCTGACAATGGCTGATAAAGGAATTGTGAAAGCTACCGTGACGACAGTTATGGTGAGTTTTACTTTGCAATTCATCACCTTTCTTTGCATGGTTCCCTGATTTCGTTAGCAACTGTTGCTTCACCTTACATTGAACTTAGTATATTGACCGTGAACCTTCACGGCTCTAGTAGTATAATAACATTTAACTTTCAGCCTATGCAAGTTGAGTTTCATGCATTGTATAAGATAATTGGAAAAACGATAAATTTCTGCCCGCCAATTGTTATGATCATGGATCAGCAAGTTCTTGTTCATGTATTGTGCAATGAGTTTGAAATAACTTGTGAGCTTTAACTTTGGTTTAAACACGAAGCTTATGAATGCGGAATTCTGGACCGAGGAGTTGGCATAAGAGTGCTAGCTGGGAAGCTATCTGGAATGAGTGACCTAACTACCATATGGGCTTATTGTTACTACAATAGATCTTTAATGGAAAAACATATATGGTTTATATCAGATTGTTGGTGAGTGAAATATCTTGCTTTCTATTGTTTGACAACATCGCATTGGTCTGTATTGTATTTGTACCAACCAGCCCCTCCCCCCATCGGAAGAGAAAGAACTGAAGGAGACACTACAGCAGATTATTGGACAAGGGAAGCAGGTTACACTTGAGCAGAAGGTGCATATTTCGCTCCAGAAACACAAAAGTCGTTAGTTTCTTCTGATACCCAACTGAATTACAGAGGACATTCAGCTGACTGAATCTCTCTCGTTCTTTCCCCCCCCAGATTGATGCTAGCATCCTTGGAGGCCTCGTGGTTGAGTTCTCACAGAAAGTGTTCGACATGTCCATTAAGACGAGGGCAAAGCAGATGGAGAGAGCTCTCATGGAACCAGTTCAGTTCTGAAACCAGTTAACTTTCGCCCACTCTAAACCGACTCCACTCCTCAGCTCAACTCCTTGCCCTACCTCTGCTTGAAATTTCAATCCAGTTGTAGCACAATCCATGGAGGAAACTTGTTAGATCTCGTTTTGTGTTTCTTGACTAGCCACCATTGTGATGTGCTGTGATGGAACATGATCCAGCTCATAAAAATTAACAATGGACAGTGGTCGCAGGGCAAGAGCTGTCTCAATCTGTGCCTGGAGTTTGTTTCTTCTGCGAGTTTGTGCTACTCCTAAAACTTAAAAAGTCCTTATTTTCACAGATCATATGGAATTTTTGAAAATGTTCTTTATTACAATAATATATCTATCGTCATAATGACGGTTTTATGTCCTTTAATTTTTCTATATATGTAAAAAATTATGCAGGTTCTATATGAGCTAGTTAGTTCTTGCCTTCAGGGTCATTGACCATATTTTAGGCAATGCCAAATTTTGGCATCATTAAATTTGTGCTTATTGCTAAGGGTGAATGTCTAAACGATGAGGCAAAATATGTACCGCGTACAAGATACAAAGATGTACTAGATACAATCATACAAAGATATATTATGAATATGTACATTAGGATAATGTCCCGAATATGTGTAAATTATGAGGCAAATATGTACCGTGGTCAAATCGGATAATTCTTTCTATTAATGGATGTAAATTTTGTGCAGGGGTCATATATGGATGTAATGTTTTCAAAGAGACAAAAAGTATATAAATTATTATAGATAAAACTGTATAAAAGAAGCGCTAAATTGCGAATATACATGATAAATGTCCAAACATATCTCATTTTCTTCCTCAACTGTCACTGTTGATCTTAAAAAAAAAAAAAAAATCTGTCACTGTTGATAGATCATTACCGGCGTCACTATTACGTCCTATTCTCAACAAAATTTCTAAACCAATAACACCAATGAAGCAATAAATACAATAAAACGTAATCTGAATGCAAAAAAGAGACCCATCGTAATGCTTACGTCCAAAGCTTCGACACCATGACCGAAGCAAAAATGGGGTTGAAGCTTGAAGCCGCCTTCAATCACCTGCTGAAAAAAAAGAAAGAAGTCTCTTCTGACTTTCCAAGCTTAGTTTCATCCCCCCCAAATTCCAATTTGTTCTGCCAGTGTTGTGATCTCGTCAGCATGACCATATGTTGCCGTCATGTCCGTGGTTGCCTCCAAGTCACTTAATTTAATCCCCTTCCCTTCCCTTCCCTCCCTTTCGGCTCTCTATATATAGATTGACCAGAGCGCCTCCTCAGCAATCCATCCTTTTTTACAAACCCAACAAACAGTTGACGAGAATCGCAGAAAGTTGTCTTGACTTTTTTTTTTTATGAGAGCTGTGTTTCAGAGGTTGATCTTGCCTGCTAGTAGAGCGTGTAGAGGGAATACCCAGATTGGTAACGCGAAGAAAGCTGTGAACTTTGTCAGAAACGCCATGTCTGAATCGGGTTCCTCTGGTTTTGACTCGCCGAGGTTGGTGACCAAGAAGGTTCTTGCCAAGCTCCAGCGGGAAGGCGATGGTGCTGCTGTCAGGAGAAGCATTGGAAGGTATATGCGTGTGTATAAGTTGTTTTGTTCTGGAACCAATTTGTCTCAATAGCTCGGATTATTGCGTGAGGCTCCAAGAATGGATCTTTATGTGATTTCTTCGGTTTTTACCAAATTCCGAGAGCTGGGTTTTGGTTTTGCGAGAGTTTTCTGATGTGGGTTGTGGTTGGAATTGGATTTTCTTTCGTTGCAGGAGCGAGCTCAGGTCTCTGGACCCTTTCCTGATGTTGGATGAATTTTCAGGTCTGTTTCAGTTTTTAGTTGTTCTGTGCATTTGGCAGGATAAGAAATGCTTTCTTTCTGCTCTCAATGGGATGCATTTTGGGACTTGAATTCGTTTGATTACCTTTTTGCAGTGTCAGCTCCTGGTGGATTTCCTGATCATCCACACAGAGGGTTTGAAACTGTTACATACATGCTGGAGGTACTGTTGGCAATAGTTCAGAAACCAACCTGTTTGAGAAAATGCCTGTGAGAAGATTTATAACACTCCAGGAACCAACTTATGTATGTCTTAACTTATTTCCTTGATGTGATTTCAGGGATCTTTCACTCATCAGGATTTTGCTGGCCACAATGGCACCATTCAAACTGGAGATGTTCAGGTATAAAATCAATGACTCTACTTAACACCTCATTTGAGTTACATACTTGTTCCTGTTTATGTCACTTTCATGCTTATCATTTCCCCCTCCTGTTTGTCAATATGAACAGTGGATGACAGCAGGAAGAGGGATCATCCACTCAGAAATGCCTGCAGGGCAAGGAGTCCAGAGAGGCCTTCAGCTCTGGATCAATCTCTCTTCTGAATACAAAATGTAAGCCTCAATAACCAATTCGTTGCAATAGCTCGAATCATAGAAAGACGGTTCACCAATACATTAACTGTTAGTTTCAGGAGCTACTGGGATTCGAACACGATGTAACGAATGAATCTGATATTTCTTTCCCTTGCAATCTTTTTGTGTTACAGGATTGAGCCAGGATACCAGGAACTGCTGAGCTCAGACATCAAAACAGCAGAGAACGATGGAGTCGAAGTCCGGATCATAGCAGGAGAATCGATGGGAGTGGAGTCACCAGTCTACACCAGAACACCAACAATGTACCTGGACTTCACCATGCAACCAAGGACACAGTTCCACCAGCCGATTCCAGAATCATGGAACGCATTCATCTACATCATCGAAGGCGAAGGAGTGTTCGGGGTGCCAAACTCGAGCCCCATCGCGGCCCACCATACCGTTGTTCTGGGGCCCGGAGAAGGGATGAGCGCGTGGAACAGGTCCAGCTCGAAGCCATTGAGGTTCGTGTTGATTGCAGGGCAGCCACTGAACCAGCCAGTGGTGCAGCATGGGCCATTTGTGATGAACACTGAGGCTGAGATCCACCAGGCAATTGAGGATTACCACAACTCCAGAAATGGGTTCGAGATGGCCAAGTATTGGAGGTCACAGTAAGTGAAAAGGTGGAGGCTTGGAAAGGAAATCTATAAGAGAATCCCACAAGGATAGGAAATAAAAAAGGGCAGCCATCTTTTCTTATCAGTCTTTGTCATTAGCAATCAAAATCAGAAGCTTGAAAAGGAGGAGTCTATTGCTTCATCGTGGTAGGACCAAAAACAGAACAGCAAAAAATAGGCTTCTAGAAGACATATATAGTGGGACCAGCAGCTTATCTGTTGCTGATCTTCCTTCATAGTTTTCTTAATTGTATTTTTCATAGGTGATTTGTATTATGTATGTTAATTATGTCTCAGCATCACGGTTCTTATCCGTTTTTAATCAAGTCAAAAGATTTCGTCCAAATCTTTCTATCATGTGGCTATCCATAGTTAGTTATTACGTTGTCGATGGTTCACAAATCAAACATGTTTGAAAGTCTTTTGCTCTTCAATCTTGCCTCACTATTTAAATCTACATACCACTAAGTCACAAACATTGAACGCATCATAGCAACAATAAGAGATGCGAAGATTTATACGAGCCCGCTCGAGAGACAATATATGAATCTTCAAGATACATGACCTGCGATGCAAGCCATATGCCCGATGATGTAATGAACAAACAACGACAATTTATCCTAACCTACAACCAATCAATATGGAATTTCCAATCGAAAGGCTCAAAACAAAACAAACAACACGATCCATAAATGTATTTGTTAAGAATCACTATATAACTTTGTACTTCTTTTCGGGATGTTTTTTTCAAATAACATGTCAGGGTGGCACTACTGCTCATAATAGTGCATTTCAGCTTATATTAGTGTTTGTGGGTGGCTCATTTTTGGTACCCATCTCCATTGTTGTGTTAGTGTTGCAGGCTCCAACTTATTTTTCTTGTTAGTGAGTTAGTAGTGGTAGGGTTTGAAGTGTGTGTTGTGGTTGTGGGAGTTGGGTTCCCATCATTGTTTGCCAACCGCCCAACCCATACATTGGTTGGTGACTTGTGATTAAGTGAGTTTGTGACCTTTTAATTTCCCCACCCACAAGCCAAACCAACCATAGTTGCCAACACGATTGAAAAGAATAATAAGACTATATTCAAAGGAAGAGATGAATCCTTGGAGGGAAAAGATTTTGAGGATCTCCAGCCCATTTTGGGGTGAGTGAGTGTTAGTTTTGGGTTCCAGGCAAGCAAAGCAAATCCCTTCCATCATATATGTATGCAAAAAAGTCAATAGAAGCCCCAATCTCACAAGCTGGAAGAACACAAAGTGATTGGATAGGAGTTAGGACCAATTGATATATCACCATTCACCACTAATAACTAATAAGATATGTTGAATGAGGTTGATGAGCGCCTCTAAAACCAGTGTGGTTCTATCAATATATCATTTGTTTGATTTCCTCAGTTTCTGAATTTTAAGGTTGAACAACTATCAAGCATACCAATTCGAAATCCGATTTAATTTCGCAACCTTCAAAATATACCAATATAATAATATTATCAAATGATTCTTCATCCTCGCTGAGAAGAGCATGAACATGGGAATGCACAGATCAAATGGATACAAAAGGTGGGAAGTAGAATTATGAGCATTGTAGGAGCAAGTGTACAACAATTTTTTTACCCAACTCATGATACAGAACATCTCAGAAGGAAAAAAATGGTTATCCTTTTCGTCTCTCTCACTCTAGGCCTTTCTGCATATCTTCCGAACCAATAATCGAATTTTCATCTATACGATATCTAACTTGATTTGTTTTGCAAACTGAAACAAAGTGTCTGTTCTTTAAACTACGCAACAGCAGAAAAACAGACCAAAACGTTGGACCCGAATTGAATCAACAAACCAAGAGTAGAACTAACAAGGAAGAACTGCCTGAAAATTCTACCCTTCTTGATGTCCAGAGAAGAGATCGGAGGAGGAGGAAGGCGGTCACCTGGAGCAGCAGGACGCGTAGCCACCGGATTTCTTTGATCCGTTGCTACCATCGTTGGATATGGTGACCCTGTTCAAGGACAATTCGGCCTTGTATGCATCTGAGTTCAGGACCTTTCTGCTCACATTGTTGTAGATCTCTCGGATCACGATCTCGAAGGCCTTTTTAACGTTGGTCGAGTCGAGTGCAGAAGTTTCCATGAAGAATAGGTCCTCTTGTTCTGCAAGGGTCGTGCCATCCTCGACGCTCACATCTCTAATGTTGTCCAGGTCACATTTGTTGCCCACCAGCATTTTGGCTACCGTGGTGTCAGAATGCACTGCACCAACGTTTCAATAAAATTTTAGCCATGATAGTAGGTATATGGGGGATCAAAGGTTTCTATATATAGTAAAAGATATCGCCACTCACAATCAGCAATTGTCAAACACATTGAAAATAGTCCAAGACATTTATTTCACTTTTTCGACACAATATTATGTATATAATAGCATGTATAGTTAGTGTTGATTAATGAAACAGTCATCTCAGCATCCTCTAAACTACGCAAAATCTCCAATTTTCGACTTGATTCTGCTACAACATCAAGTAGAAAAGACTTCGACTGAATCTATTGCACATCAATAGGTAGACTGTAGAATAGCAAATCAGCTTATATAGTTTATCTTTCTAGTTATATTTCATTCTAGTTCATAACATAACCAAAGCATTCAAACTACCAGCGATGTGATATTAGTAAGCAAGCAATGTCTCCACAATGCGAAAACAGACAGAAGCTGGAAATGATTCAGAAAGCCAAACCATTATACTTCTCAAGTCCTAACTACACTCAAAACGATAACAAGATTAAGAAGACTAATAAGAAAGCACCACCCGTTTAATCGAGATGAGAAGTCGCATTTTTGTTCATGATAGTCACCAAGTTGTATAGAAGTGGTAGGGTGGAAAGAGGGTTTAAGTACTGATTTGGTGATGTGGTGGTGTACAGTGGTTTCACATCAGCAACATAACGGCAAAAACTGGCCGAGACAATGGACAATGCTCATGCTGCTTTATTAGAAGCTTGCTGCCTAGTTGTCTCAATATCAAGTTCTATAATCAAAGTGATAGGCAACCTTTGGGGTAAGATGTAAGAGAAAAGGCGATGACTTTCAGAAATGTATATCGTTGCTAGTTAGGCACCAACTCAACTAACTCTTGAGCAAGATTCGAAAAGCGAATATATATGGTAATTTTTCAGCTCCTAACAATGAAATCCATTCCAACTTTTCTTAAACCACTCAATGGTCCCATCTTGTTTACCAAAAAGGAGCCATCTTTTTCTTCAATCTATTTTTCAAACCCTGCCAAGGAACTTCCAAAGTTCCGATGGTGTCTCCAATCAAAGAGTACTCTGCCTCAAACTACTACCTTTAACGTAACTAAGTTCAGTTACATCTAGAAAGGTAAAGACTTCAATCACGAATCAACAAAAGAGACAAACTTTAACTCCCTTCTTCCCCATCTCAGCCTGAACTAAAATTCAGATGAACAATGCAAGCTCTCCAATCTTAAGCTTACTCAGAGCAGCTTAAGCATACCGAATCCCCTAGCATCGGAGCTACCGAAAAACCGAATCTAAAGGAATCAAAAGATCTACACTCAAAGCCAATTCCCATTAGCAGAGAGTAAAGCACAGATAGAAGCAAACACATCCAGACAAAATGCTAGCTAGCTGCAGGCAAAAAAATTTTCTAATTCCCCATCTAAATTGATACTATAAAAAAAAACTCCATGGGAATTGAAAGATCGATTAGTTCCTCAATTTCAGTTCAAACCTCCAGATCTACTTCAAGCTCCCAACCAATAATCAAATTCAATCAATGAATGCGCGGACGAATGAGCCAGAGGAAAGCAGAGCTCAGCAGCTGGAAAAGAAAAAAATTACTTACTTTTGAGCTCGTCCAGCCAGCGGCCGACGCTCTCGAAGGTGGTCTTGCGGCTGATGTCGTAGACGACGAGCGCGCCGACGGCGCCCCTGTAGTAAGCAGAGGTGACGGCGCGGAACCTCTCCTGGCCGGCGGTGTCCCAAATCTGGGCCTTGATTTCCTTGCCGTCGATTTCCATGCTCTGGGTCTGGAACTCCACGCCTATGGTGGCCTTGGAGTGGAGGTTGAACTCGTTCCGCGCGTAGCGGGAAAGGAGGTTGGACTTCCCGACGGCAGAGTCGCCGATTATCACGATCTTGAACAGGTACTCCTCGCCTCCTTCCTCGTCCGACGACGACATTTCTTCTCGTTTCGCAGTTTGCTCACCTCGGATATATTTTCCACGGAAACGGCGGCGGGGAGGAAATGGGCTTGAGGGTAGAGAGAGAGAGAGAGAGTGAGAGGAGGAGGAAGTGAAGAAGGGGAAGGGGGAAAGTCTCTGTAATGGTAAAGAGGAGTCAAGCTGGCAGAGACATGCTGCGGTATGAATGATAGAGCAGCTTCTTTTTTTTATTTTTCCCTCTATTATTATTACAAAAGTATTTATTTATTTTCATTGAATTATTACAATGTCTTTATTTATCAAATCAAATAATAAATTTAATTTTGTCCTTATTTTGGGGGAGTTTTCTTGGGAAGACTTGGAGTTGAATTTTTTTTTTTTATAGACTTGGAATTGAATTTTAATGCTCAAATAAAGGAAAAGGGTTGAAATTTTTAATGCTTTCTCCTTATTCTAGCCTGTAGAATGTTAATAATAAAACAAGATTTAGCGAGTAGGATTGGAGTGTCATGAATTCATTGTCGCTTTTTTTTTTTATGGTAATGTATTGGGTTCGAGTCTAGTCAATTATTTACTGATTTTCTCCTTCTTTAATTGTAATAGTAATATAGAAATTCATTACGGTAGGTCAAAGAAGTAGTAGTTGCGAACTCTTAAGATCAAGACAACGTATTATGGATGAGTTTAAACCAATTTTGATAATTGTGGTTATAATGTAGAGGGATTGGTAATTGGTAGTTTCATGATGATGACCATTGAATCAATGATGTTGGGTGTCTAGGTTAATCTTTTATTAGGGTTACAACTTACAATTTTAAAATGGTTGAATCACACATGAAAAGCCAAAAAGAAAGCATTACTTTTGGAGATTTATGAAATCTTATTCACCATGCTAGCATGATAAAACCTAAAATTAAACAAATGAAGAAAAAAATGAATCATTAGAAGGAGACAAAATAATTTCCTTTTAACATGAGCCAGGAAATAAGGGGACATGATTATTAGCCATTTACACAAACGCTCACTATAATTTAGGGACATGTACAAATTAATCACTCAACTTAGCTTTTGAACGAATTTGTGTTCTCAAATTCCATCATAGCCAAATCACACCCATAAGTTCTATCATTCATGTCAAAGTTTAAGAATTTTACACGAAAGAAGTGGTAATCAAGATCAGTTGAAGTAAACATATACAAGATGAGTGAACCTGTCATTGGTTGTTACACAAGTCTTCTGTTTAGTTGACTGACAAATTCACATTGCATTTTACTTGCAGGAAAATAATCGTATAAGATGACTTGAAAACCCGTGCAAACTATCTATCCTGCAGAAGAAGCCATAGGTCCCTACTCTATAGATTCCAACTCTTTGATATTTCTCACCACATTCTGCACTTTCGTCGATATCTGATCGCAGTGGTCTTCGACGATCTTCATGAATGCGGATAGCTGTTCCTGATACACCGTGCATAACCTCTTCCTGTTTCGTATCTCCATGCTCAGCTCTTGAATCCGTTTGTCCTTCTCATCCTGCGCAGCAATATACAGAAGTTTCATCTCAGTTAAGCCTTCTGTGCAAATAGAAAACCATAATCTACCATTTCTGTTAAACACACGGCCATGTCAAGCCAGCTATAAGTCCCTATGGAACATAGAATTACTCGTGTCGTGGCTAATGACAACTATATTGCTGGCTCGAGCAAAAGCCACATAAGATCAAATCAACCAGAATAGAAACTAAACTATGGACTTAGTTCTCATAACCTACCAACAACTAGACATGCTGATCCTTCCAAAACATTGTCAAAGACAACAAGAGAATATATATCCTGCTGTAAGTCAGAAGGGAGAGAAAACTGACTGATTAACAAACTAACCAATGTTTGGCGGGCTTCACGGTGTGCAACAACAACGAGCGGATGATTGTGTTCCTTCACAAACTTCGTGATCACCCACTTCCCGGATTTATCAAACTTGACATGAATCATAGCCTTGCATCCTTCCCTCGTGCTGGGTCGTGGCTTTCGAACGTTACCTTGTTTGCCTCGAACACTAACACAGTGACCTTCCTTGTTACAGCCGAACCGACGAGCAAGAATCCTCCCGTCCCTTTCAGACCGACGGCATGACATCACACGCATGACGAATCCCAGCTTTCGTGCATATTCGTCGTAGAATATCTTTGCAGCGTCTTCTGAATCGAATTCCATACCCTCGCATGGTTCTAGGAAGATTGGCTCATCTTCTTCTTGATGTTCTGGTGGTGCAGCTGTCTCCTGTCCATCATCTGAAATCTCCTCATCCATCTCAACTGCTTCTGGTGGTGCAGCTGTGTCCTGTCCATCATCTGAAGTCTCCTCCTCCATTTCAACTGTTTCATCTACATCGTTGGTAGATGGTACCATTACCTATTACTATCTGCAAATATCCAATCAACATATCAAAATCAGAAACAAAAAACCCATATCTCAAGATTAAACTCTGTATTGCAACGAATGGCCAGCACGGGAATCCAACAGTAACTTCAGTCACTAAATTCAAAACCTTTAGACTACCAACATTGCGTTGATCCGTCATTCGCCAAACTATGATAAAGAATTTCCAGAAGCCAATTGATGCTCCATTTCTCAACTTTGAAACAAGGAACATTCACAGAGAAATGAGAATCAGATATAAAGAAGAAGGAGGAGAAGAAGAAAGATACCCAGTCTTGAGGGCAGAGGATGATTCAATTGCAATCCAGCTACCGTCTCAAAGCAGCTATCCCCTCGATTCACAGCAATACAGACGACAAGTAGTCAGACTTTCACAACGGACCCAATTCAGCCTCTAGCTTCCTCCCACACAGTGTAGCTCGGCGATGGGGCAATGTCGCCGCGGGAACAGTAGAATCCGATGACTGGTCTCTCTCTCTCTCTCGGATCCAAAGACCTGCTTTTTCGCTTCCCTCTCCAATTTCTTTATCTATGCGACATCTGACAAGGAACAAGTACTAGAAATCCTTCCCTATCTCCCCCGGCGACAGTGAAATGGTGACAATTCAGTAGACCTCGGAGCGGGAGAGCAGTAGCTTCTTCTTCTTCTTCTCTGTTTCCGACGACCTTTTTTCCCTTTCAATTGTATCTCAGACGGTCCCCGGCAGCTGAAACCCTTTAGCTAAGATAGAGAACGACGGCCACCCTTCTTTTCTCTTTGTCTTTCCTTCTCCGTTCAGTTCCTTATGTTATTATTTCTTTCATTTCAGTCATCCAAGTTTAGTTTTTTTCCCATAGAAGCTTTAAAGTTGGGCCGGGTTTGAGGAACATTAGGCTGACGAGGGAAACGGGGCTTGGAAATCAACCTCCCGCGAAAAAAGCCCAAAACCTGGTCCGTTCTTCCAATTACAAGCGCCAAAACCACAAAACCGAAATAAAATATAAATTACGTACTTTTATTTGGGAGGTTAGTAAAGGAAATTGTGTTTCTGAGATTGAACCGTAAAATATAAAGACTTGTTCGATTAAAAAATCCCCATATTATGTAATATGTACATAAACAAAGCTAGAAACAAACAAAAAGAACTAAAACTATTTCCCCACAAGTGTGTAAATAATTATTCAGCTAAGAAAACAACCATTTTGGGGGGTATTTAAGAAGAAGAAAATGGATACAAAAAACTGTCTGTGGTAGGGAAAATCTGTCAGCCAAGAAAGTCATTTTTGCATGGTCGGCATCCGCAGGTGCAATTCTCCATATCCTGATGAAGTTTCTGCACAAAGTAAACAACGAAGATCTGAATTTAAACAATGAATCCAAACATAATACTCGAATTTTCAACGCTTAATTTAAACGTACATATAATGGTATTTCAAGAACACACACCTCGAGTTCATTTTGAAGGCCTTTGATGTGCTGAACCGCCAAGTCCAACATGTCTGAATAGCTCGTTTGCTGCACAACAACCAAAAGGTTTCCAAGATTACTACGGGGTCGTTTGGATGGATCAAAGTGATGAGTCAATGTGCCCCAATTGACTCAAAATAAAACAATTGGGCCAAATTACCCCGTTTGGATGCAAAAAGTAAGAACGGATACAATTTGCTTACCTTGTCCATGTTAGGAACGAGATCTTGAAGCTTCTTCAACCTCCCACTTATTCTGGTCCGTCTTTCCTGCGTAATTAAACATGACTAATCATGATGATATATTATATTATAGTACGTACGTAAACAATCTTCATTATCAACACTTAATGATCAGATTATAACTAAGTAAGCAAATTAAGAATAACTAACCCTTTCCGCAATGCTTCGAGGGTGGGTGGCACACCCACGCTTAGCTCGAACCTTGCACGGGATAGAGTCTTCCCGTATATGTAACAGCCTGTCCACCGTCGTCTGTGGCATGCTAAACTGCACCCCCACAAACATCACGTATTATGAACCAGTTGGTTCCAATAACTTACGCGCGCGGCTATAACGACGACAACTACGTACGTACCTGGGTGTCACCCAAGCCGTTGTAGCAAGTATAGATGTCTCCATGAACCATGACAAACCCAGACGTGATGGAGTTGGGAGCACTACTACTATTGTCCCAATCCATGACAAACCCAGACGACGCCGGATTGCTATACGACGAACTATGGTGTCGGCCGGTCTCTTCGCCCACGTCGTCGTCGTCGCTCTCGCTGCCCTCCGATATCTGAGAAAGGCCCGATTCTGGGCCGGTGAAGCTCAGCAGCTGCGGGTTCAACCTCTGACCGCCGTGATGTGGATTATTATTCTTGGCTAAATCGTAGCCGCCGGAACCACCCCTTGTTATCGAAAAACCTGGTTTAATAACAACGTAACAAATCTTAATACCATTGAGATCAGTAAGCTCAAGAAACAATTGGGCACTGAGCTTTCATCCGCTCTGGCAGATTGAGCCAATCGACGTGCACAAAAGGTGAACCCAACAGCACATTTTGATCTGCGGCTTATTGATAAATAATAATTAATTATTAATATTGTCAAGTTGGCCAAGTGGATGAATGGATGGGGGAGGACCCCAAATACCTAAAGTTTTTGTATTAGTTAGAAATTAGAATTCATATGTTTGATTATTTTCTAGTGAGAAATGAAGATAAAGCCATTTAATGTTGACAAAGGTTTCTAGAATCAAAATTACATAATTCAATGTTCATAAAGTTAAGCTATTAATGTTATAGGATTTATAACTAAAAAAACCGTGAAGAAATGCACTAAAATCATCATAAATTCGACTTGGTTTCATATCTTATCGAAATTCGAAATTACCTCATCCGATTACGCATAAAATTCACGGTTTAATGAATTTTGAGACGATCGAATCAACGGAGCTTAACTGTAGCTTTAAAAACAAATTATACGCGTTACAGGGATGGACAAAACTTTGATGAAACGATACAGGTTGACCAATTTGCAAGTTCAGTAAAAGTTCAGTGACGAGAAATGGAAAAACTTTTGATGAATAAAACTTACCGCTTTCGGAAACGAGATTGGAGAGGAAGCCGGCGGGAGAGCTATTCCGCCGCAGCAAGGACGGCGGCGGCGCTCCGGCGTTCAATGCGTCGGATCTCTTGACCCGATCGCCACCGCCGCGGCCGCCACCTGATGATTTGTGGTCGACGGACGAGTTGACTCTGCAGCCTGACTCGGAGGTGAGCTGGGAAGACGAGAACGACTCGCCGCCGCCGGAGAAGTACCTGCCGTTGCTGTTGTTGTCGTGGTTGCCTATGTTGTTGGCGGCGAAGAACTGACGGCCTTCGTCGGCGCCGATGACCGAGTCGACCGCCTTGTTGATGAACGAGCCCGGGGCGGAGCCGTACCTCGTCAGCCCGGCCGGTTTCTGCTGCTGCTGCCGCGCCGTGTTGGAGGAGGAGGAATTCGCCGTCGACGGTGGCGGCGGATACATGGATTTGGCGGAGGAGGGTAGTTTTTTTGTTAGGGCGAGAGAGATGAAGGAGAAGAAGAAGGAAAGGAGGCGGTTTTCGGTTTTGGATTTGAGAGTATTTTGGCCAACAGGAATAAGGCGACGAGCCGACGAGACTCTCTCTCTCTCTGTCTCTCTCTCTCTACGCTAGTGAAAATAAAGAGCAACTTTGAGGACCGTTTTGTGTAAACATGATTCTTGAATGACTTTAGGGAAAAAAATTTTGTTGTGATCTATCATCTACGTGCTAGAGACAGAGAACAGAGCCACTTGCGTATAGGAAATTTTTAGCTGCAAAAAAAGGGCATGTGGCCCATCCCACAAGTTGCTCGTAGAATATTTTCCTTTCTTAATTTCATCATTTCAGGTTGTCAAATGTACTCGGATTTATGTTTTGAAAAGCCATTGGATGTTCAAATGTACTCAGATAGTCGACGCGAATAAGGACCAAGACGTGCGACGATCCTATTTTGTCCTTACTTCTTATACTCAAACCTCTCTACTCTCACATTGTTATCGTTGTTGATCGTTGGCCGATCAACTCTGTTCAGCATCAACTCCTCAATTTGTATTGAATGTAACGATAATCCATTACTTTTAAACAACATATAACAATAACGGTATATTAATTACAACCCTTAATCTCATTTAATCTTAAGGATTGGATTCGGTTTGTAATCTGATTATGTTATGTCGCATGAATTGTGTGATTCACATTGACGGAGTTAGGTGAGGGGATGTGGGGTCCATGGACCCCACTTGGAAAATGAATACAATAGGCAGGAATTATCATTGGGGTAATTGGGTGGTCTAATAGGGCCAAAATTTCAGGACTTGGACGAGGTTGCTTCCTTAGATGGGCTACTAGGCTTGGGCTTCATATAAGGAAAACGGATAAGCCCACAGATGCATACACCCTTCGATTTCTTCCCCCAAATCTTAAGCCGGTTTGGTAGTGTCTATTAATGCCAATTTGTGTTCTTTGATTGCCTAGTAGATAGGTTGTATTGTAAATATGGCGATCTTTGTTCATCTCTCTTTTTTTCAGAGAAGATCTAATGACAAAAAAGGTATGAAACTTTTCATAATAGATTACGTAATCCATCAAATTTCGATATATGCAGATAAAAACATAGTGCATTCAAAGGAATCTTAGCTAAACAAGACAAGACTGGATTCAAACTTGAAATTTGTTTTAGGTGAGTTCAACGTCTCGACTATTTTAACTACATCTTAATGCTTGTAGAAATCCATGAGTTTGTTTTTATTTTTTTATTTAAGCAATATAAGAGTTAGATGTAGACGATGGTGGGCCTTAATCCCTATCAATATTTTCTTTTAGGTTATAATATCATAACCTTGAAATTATTATAGAAGTTAACCAAGTAGCAGCCAAGAACAAAGGGGCGAGCTAAGCACGAAAAGCTGACAAGCAGGGGCGGAGCTACAAGGTTGGAAGGAGGTGTCATGGCACACCCTTGATTTAGGGGAACACTTGCAAATCTTAATTGAGTAAATATTACTCATAATGAAATTTGAACCCCAAATCTCAGTATCAATTGTTAAACTTTTACAATTCAATCACAATTAATTATATAAATTAATTCTACCTACGAATTTCTATATTAATATAGTCTAGTTTATTAAAATGAATAAGAGGATGCAAATTATTAGAGGAAATCATTGAACCTTTCATGATAACGATAGTCGGAAGAGAAAATTGGTTCTCATCAATATATTTGCTTGTGAAACTTGGTTTAGTTTGCTACTACCTTTTGTCAATATAGATGTTGATATTATCAACAACAAAAAATACATATCGATATAAAGTTTTCTGCAATGAAACGATTGACCAGCCTTCGACTTAATTGAAAATTTTGTGAATGATTATTTGGTGGGATAATATTAAGAGCAAAACAATTATGTAGTTTTAAAATAATTTTATTATATCAAACAAGCGATCGCATCATGAGTTATTGTTCACAAATTATTTTCATGCACATCCTTGAATGAAATTCTGGCTACGCCACTGCTGACAAGACATGATTTTTAGGCTATTAACCCTGTCCCTTCATCGAGGTTCTCTGTTCAATTCCACGAGGTTACTGTACTTTTTTTCTTTTTCTTTTTACCATCTGTCAATCTAAATTCTAACTTCGTCATTGTGTTAAGTGTTGATTGATTCAGCTAGTTGGGTTCAATTAACTAGTCGTTAGAGAGTTATTGACGAAGTCAAGAACTAAATGTACATTTAAAAAATAAGTTCTCATAGAGAGATGGCAAAGGAAAATTTCAAACCTAGATTCTATGCTTCCAACTAAGAGAATTTACCATTAAAAATGGTTCTTTAGACTTTCTAGATTAAATAGCTGGCTTTGGCTAGGCCAGTTTAAAGAGCTATAGCTTTGGATGCCAACAACACACACGAATGATGGATCATGTTGGTGAAAAGTGCATGATGGCTTGGCATCATCAAGTCACAATTAGCTGCTGAGATTGTGATCCAACTCGATTATAATAATATGATCATTAATCAAAGCAATGAGAAATTAAAGTCCCTCAAAGAAAATCCATTGCTAAGTGCTATAATGGAAGACTTGCATGTAGAGATCAATGGGGCATGTGTTTCTTGCCCTATCTAGCCTACATCACTCGACATTACTTTTGTTAGATTAAGAAGATAATTAGGTGATTAATCATTGATTATGTTGTTGATTTCAAGCTAGGTATAGGTTAATTATAATAGGGTGTATAGCATGTGCATGCTTTGGTGTAGCTAACAAGTTATTTAATTGCTTGAGTGGAAAGGTTCTGTTGCCTTGGAATTGGGCTTTTGGGCAATTAATGCTACTTGATTAAATCCAAACATATATAGGTGGAGTTTGGCAACAAGCCACAAGCTAGTGTTCACAAATCAATCTACATCGCTAACTAGGTAATATTGATCACATCGTTAGGGTATTTTAGGAGCATACGATATGTTTAGTAATTTTAGTAAGAAAGCTCCATCTAGATGACTAGATTATGAACTAAATCGAGTTTTCAGTATCATATTATACTTTAACCTCAGTAAATAAACACTAAACACGATTCTCTGGAATCAGACAGGAAGATTCAATTTAATAAAAAGATAATAATCGACAATTCTGTTTCGCTAAAGCAGAACGAAATACATCTGGAGTATGATATACTCCGGAAGCACATAAGTCATTACCGTATATATGAAGACTATTGTACTACTGGGCTATAACGATAGTCGAGATTCTCCTAGTGAAATATCTCTATTAAGACAATGAGTTAAACCAATATTGAACTATGATACTACTATATCATAACTCATAATAGATGAAGCCCGCATGCGATCCAATAATGTCCACATTTATGGGCACGTTCTAACGTATGGGTTGCGAGAATAATAGCCGAGTTGAGTTGAATCCCTTGATCATGTGTAAAAATCATTAGTCAACAACTTACCTATGCAATTCAGAATGTTGGAAACTCGTTTCAACGGCCGGGGAAAATGTTTGAAACTCGCTCGTTTTAATTCGTTTCGTCAAACCCTTAATTCCGTGTTTGTCTTCAAATTATATGGGTAATATTTCATGTGTTGTGGATCAATGGGAAAATAATATCAAAACCGAATCAATCCAGTCACAATCAGAATGATGGCGAATAAAAGCAAATCACTGCGATTAATTTATGGATTAATTAACAATAGTTAACTACTAACTGATTAATGTTTGGGTTTAATCATAATCCGTCTGCCACCTGGCGTTAGACATGTATATATAACAACGTCGTTTAATCACGTGAATTAGTGGACATAATAGTAGTGCAGCCACTAGTTCAATAGTGCTTAATACTAGGAAACAAAAGGTGTTTAAGTGTGGACCGGATTAGGTCACAAGTTATAATAATCACCAGCTGACCAAACTAATAAATCCCCTAGTTAACTCATTCCAATAATTCGAGATATTGAGAAATGAACAAAATTATCTATTGCATTATATACGCACAGTACTGAAAACCTAAACGAGTTCAAATAATGAAACCTTATGCTAATGTTAAGTAACTATGTAGCAGACTTCCTTGCTTGATCATCATCAGAAGCTCACGTGACATCTTTAGGTTCACACGTCATTCATCCTCCACCTATAACGATCTTGATCATCATCAGGAGCACACGTGAAATCTTTAGGTTCACACATCAGTCCATCATTCACCTATAATGTTTTGAATCGTAGAAATTGAGAAAATTACAAGATTATATATTGACGTTATTTACGTGCATTGTCTTTCGGAAGGAACCTAATCAAGGTCAAACAGTCAAACAAAACCTAAATAATGGACACTAATTCTGGGTAGCTTTATGTATAGCAAACTTTCCTTGCTTGATCATCATCAGGAGAGCTGCATACGTGACATCTTTAGGTTCAGACACGGATCATTCCTCCTCTATCTATAACGTTCCAGATCATAACATCTGCACATTCTAATTCAAATTACTGGCGTATGCACGATACTTTTGAGACTGTGGCCCGATCGAGGAGTGTGTGTCTTTTGATGGGAGACAAGTATTGTAAAAAAACATATTTCAGTTAATGAATCGCACGGGTGATGGTTTTCATCAAACGGCGACAGAAGAAAGTGGTTCCAATACGAAAGACAAAATTTTAATACTGAAACGTGTCCCCTTCACATTACAGAGGGCCAACAAAAAGCTGAGAATGATGCTCTTTTTATAGCCTAAACAAATAAGCCATGGTTTAGTTTAGTACAACTTTCTGGTCTTGGTTTCAAGCACTTTTATTCTGTAGTACTGCGTGTGATATATGTCCAAGGACAACTTTTAGTATGTGAAAAAGAGTTCACATTTGGTTTCGATTGTATACCTTTCTTTCGTCACATATCATCATCATCATCACTATCAACACATCAATACATCACATAATATGGTGAATAATAATATGAAGCATGTCATGCCGTTATAACGATCTTCATGTATGTATTCTTTGTTGGTTGAGAGATTGGCAGGTGATGAATACAGAGATCGAGTACTAATTAATAGTTGGTCGATTGGTACTAATTCCTTCATGGAAGGTTGCTAGGTTGTTGCATATGATATTAGGTGTTTGAAGTGGACAAGCAATGATGGAAAATTCTTATCTGATCCGCGTGATTCGACCTGTCGTGACTGATTTTGGAGCAGGCCGGTATTATCCGATTCCTAGCAGTAATGCGACGGGGCGGCATTGGTTACTACTTCCGTCCTGCCCAATCCTGTCCCACCTCTTTCTCGATCCGTTTTTATTTCAATTTGCCTCAATATATCTACTTGTATCTATCATCTTTTAACTTATATTAAATCGTATTTTCACTTCAATGAAACTTTCAGTAAGCGCAAGACTCGAAATTTCAACTAATTACATTGATTCAATCAATAATTATCTCTATGTTTCTCGTAGGTGATCAGTTTAACGTATTTCATTCCTTTTCATTTCAAATAACATGTTAGAATGGATCAACTTATTTCGTCCCGTACACACACAACTTCACCCAACCTGATCCTGCACTACTCAGTGCATGACAGATATGAGTATCTAGATACCCGCTTTTCTCAAGCTTTCACCCCTTTGAGCCGGCTGTTAGGGCAAGAAAGCAAAGCCCAACACATCAAGAAACTATGGGATTCAATTCGCTTAATTCGTGTTCATATAATCCAGCTCACATTTCACATCTAACAGCCAGATCGAACAAACTTGTACAATCAAAACCGGCCTAGCTAGCTAGAATGCTCTCTCCCGAAGAGGCAAAGGACACTCCCAGAAAGGCCAAAGTCCCCACTTTTGTGGGAGCAAGAAGACTGAACCTAACATGGAAGAAAAAAAAAAGGGTTCGATTTGTTGGCCTTTTCCCATGGCGGCATTAATTTGCATGTCAAAGTCATAATTTCATAATGTCTTGCCTTAAATGACTTTATATGCATTCTGATCTGTTCTGTAGGTCACAATGCAACCGTGTTGTTGGTTTCTTTCTTGCATTTTTCTTCTGCACAGAAGTGAGAACGTACAACAAAGTTGTTAAATTAATTACGACAGCATGAGACTCAAGTGTGTGAGAGAGCAAATTAAAGGGGACTTCACAGCCACAAAGATGGGCCGTCATTTCTAATATTCCTTGCTGTACGTTTATGTACCTTGTATTCTATATACAGACAAAACCTCGTATTTAATTATATAGTAATTAAATTCTTAAATCACTTTTTTTTTTTTTTTTTTACATTCATGGTTGTTCACCAAACATAAAGGAAACAAATAACTACTGTCGGTGAGAAATGGTCTCTGGTTTTTGTTTGTCAGAAGTGGAGAGACACGTACGGTCAAAGGAATTGCCTCTCCTGTTTGAAAGTTTTTTTTTCTTTTGTTTGATTTTCGATCGTAAAATTATATGTTGGTATACATTCTCAAACTATGTTTTCGTAACAATCGCGCACATCAATGAGTAGTTGTTATCTGTACTCGACTTTTGACAGAACATGCATGCAATTAGATGTGAGGAGAGAATAGTTTAGGGTCATATTTGTAATGTTGGTAAAAAAAAAAAAAGTATATCAAACCTATACCTCCTAATAAAGCACCAAATGAACTAGATGATGTAACTTTTTCATTCTATCAATGAAATTTGTGCTGGTTCGATCCGGCTTCCTTCCATTTTCTACAATCAGTTGAGCTTCCAACAGGGTTATTACTAATTAGAACAAAAATGCATCATTTCTTGATCGAGATTTTTTTCTTCTTATTATTTCCAAATCAAACATTGGGTAATTTGTGTGGGTAATGTTCTAGCTAGATAATTAACTAATTGATTTTTATATTATATACCTTACATGAGCATATACAAAGCCAAGCAATTCATCCATCCTAAGAAGTTATTATCCATTAAAAATTCAGCTCCTTGAGACTGAACCAAAAATTGGTCTACCACACCACTAGCCGCTCTCCTCAACCGGCAGAGCTCAAAATTCCCTACAACATTACTCATTACTCTCTCGAAAATGTTCCCTACTACTCCATCTTCATGGATGATGCCCTCCTCCCTCGGACACCTTACTAGGCTAATGTAGGCATCCAAATCATGAACACAAGAAGGGTTCTTGACGTCCAAGAAATCGAGTAGCACCTCGACCCCAACGTGCGAGTAGCACGAACAACTCCAAGGGAACTCGTAGTTCCCCAAAACCCTAAAATTCTCGTTGAGAAAGACACCAGGGAGCTTCGTGACAGGGTCGTGGACGTTCACGACCCTCAACACTTTCACTCCCAGCTCCTCGCACCTCTTCTTGAACCCGAGGTTCCCCACTCGTGGCCCGCCATACGAAAAAACGGTCACTGGGACCGTGGAAGACGTTGCACGATGGTGGTCGTGACCCGTCGTCGTCCTCCTGCTCGGGTTGATGTTATTCATCACGTTCAACCCGAGCTCGGAGATGTCGTATGCGAGCAAGTGAGCGAGGGAGCTCCCCATGCTGTGCCCAGCTATCGAAATGCTGAGCTCCTCCCCTTCATACTTCCTCAGCAACCTCGAGATCTCGCAGAGAAGTTGCTCTCTGCAGCTCTCGAGGCCGAACCTGCTGCCACTGCACTCGTTCGAGGTGTAGAGCCCCAGAAACCCTGACTCCACCTGAACGTCCGGCCTGGGATCCCCAGGGTCCAGCCTGGCAGGAGTCAGGGAGCTCATGAAATTCGCCACCCACTCCTGACTCGTCACGGTTCCTCGAAACGTGACGAGGATGTCCCTCCTCCCCAGCCTCCTGCTCATGTCATCCGTGGCCACCGCCACGTACCCAACCCACCGACCCCGACAACCGCCACTCGACCCAGACCCAACATCCGACCCGATCCCACCGGGTCGGATGCTGGTCATGATATCGGGAGCGGTCACATAGACGTACCTCGTGACATCGTACCCCGAACCACCCATCCCCACCTCCTCGAACATGCTCCCCTTCCCATACTTGCAACTCAAGTAACGGCTCGAGCTCGGGTCGAACTCGAACGCCTTGTAGCACGCGGACACGAGCTCTCCATACCTCACGATCTCCTGCCTCAACAGCGGGTGCAACGACGGCGACACGAGACCTTCCCAATCGCCACAACCTTGCACCTTCCTCCACACTTCCGCCAACGTCCCCTTCATTTCACCACTCGTGGACGCCGCCGCCGTCGATGGCCGAACAACGGCAGGAGTAGTGGAACGAACCGTGTCACTAGAAGGAGGAGAAGTTGTTGCTACTTTCTTGGTCAAGCTCTTCATCACTTGACCGGATGGCTGCAGGGAACGAAACGACGTCGGACGATACGGATTGGCCACGTCGGGGACGTGGCTTGGGATTGGCATTAAGACCTTCGACGCCATTAGAAGAGAAGAGAGGAGAAGAGGAAAATGGTGGGAGGAGCATATGGAAATGGCGGAAGGACTATATAGAAGGGAAAAGTGACGAGGGAAGGAGGAGGGCAAAAAAAAAATATAAAGGCATGTTTGGCGAGTGTTTGACCGGGGCGGGGGGGTGATTTAGATTTTCAAACATTCGGTTTAGTCGCTAATCTGAATATTTGGGATTATTAAAAGTGGTCGGTTCCAGGAGGGTTAAGCGTAATTAAGCGCTGATTGTTTGACAAACAGTAATCATGCTGCGACTATTTTAATAATTGATTAATTTGTTATATATATATTGCGGCTGGTGTCCGAGGTCAACATCATATTTCTGGGTTTTTTTTTTATTAGTGACCAAAACAAGAGAGACGGTTGGGTAGGGTTGACTTCCGAGTTCCGACCACGTATGTGGCGCTCAAACCGTCCAGCTATTTTGGGGAAGTCTTAATCTGTGTTGTGAATGAACTATTTTTGGGGCAAGTATATTCAAATTCAACAAATATTGACGATGATAATCGATGATTAATTAGTATGTGAATATTCATACGTATAGTAAGGGTAATTGTGCGCCATAAAAAAAAAATCTTTTCATACCACGTGTAAATCCTAACTATACATGCATGCTCTCAAGACTATTCGAGTTGATGAGAGGGACTAATTCTTGATATGGTATCGAAATCTCTGGATAGATCGTGTGTTTGGTTCTTGGAGTACGACCTACAAATTTTAGTCGTTGATTATTTTATTACCATGCACAATTAGACAATTGTACAAGCTTTAAATCTGTTGTTTAGTTTTTTTCCCTTCGTTTGAAAGAGTGTATGCAAAATTACGCAAAAGTAGAAAAAAAATCCAGACTCGAGCATTGATTTTGTATTTTGTGTATAATTAAAGAAGAACGTACGCACTGGGAATGGAAAATATCAATCGTCGGTCCCCAAAAAACGTCATTATCTTCGTTCTGCTTCCTTTCAAGCCTAAGCTGTAGCTAAAAAAAACCTAGTCGGCTTCCAACTAGATTTCTGAATTTTCCAACATATATTCCGACAACTCGAGTTATCGGAACAAACTGATTCTCGATATGTGTCATTATAGCTATGTGCGTCGTCCCGTCTCTTAATCCAGAAGTGCTGCTTAGCTTAGCGGATTATTGACGGTAATGATGATAATCCATTGAAGGCATTATTCCCGTGTTATGACTTTTGCCCTGCGTAGCTGTATTTGTTCCCAAATCTGAGCCAATGTAATTGACAAATTCATTCATGCTGTAAAGCAGGGGACGAAATTAAAAGGGAGACATGCATGACAGTTAATCAACATGATACCCACAAATCTATGTCTTTTGCCCAAATTTCACTGCTTTTTCTATGAATGGCCTTCTTCCCCCTTTAAACCTAGAATGAAGCTTTATGCTCTCCAGTGAAAGATTTTTGGTTCATCGGGCACCATTGTTAATGGTTATCCATGTGCAAGGGTTAACAAGAATAGAAACCCTAGCTAAATCAGTTGAATGTGACACACATTTGTCACATATTGATTGATCGGATCTTATGTATTGCTAGGAATGACGCGTGTACGTAGGATTGTTGAATCACTAACTGCTTCTCATTTTGGTAGTAGTGATGTGTCGTTATATGTATCATGTTAATCGCATATAGTTTCGCCTGGTCTCTTGAAAGTTATGGAGTCAATGAAGTAAGTTAATTCACTACATCGATTTCCCACTAGCACTCTGCTTGTTGTGGTTGTGGAGTTCTGGGAAGAGATAGAGATAGAGATTGAGTCTGAATATTTGTTCAAGGATTCTCCAGGAAATAGTTACGAGATCATAAGAAAATGACGATGTCTTATAAAAAAAATCTCATGCTGACTTTGCACCATATATGTCTAGAAGAATTTGATAATATTGCCTAGCTTGTCATATTAGCTAGATTGTGTGTGCACTTTCCAAATCATTGTACTATGAAAATACATTGTCCAGATGATCCTAAAAAATTGAAAATGTTGTTCAGAAAAAAACTACGAAACGATCCATCTTCTAACGCAAGTACAAACGGCTCACGAATTAAAATTAAAATCTTATGAAACGAGAATAAAAAGAATGCTTTCCTTCTATCCTACATCTTTCTAAGATTCTTAAAAAAAATTGCATTCAACAAAGTTGCACAAATCTAGCTTTCCCCCTCTTTTGAATGTCAAATGTTCTTGTAATCCAAAATCCAACTTCTCTACCTAGTACTCAACTCTCCATCGTTGTCTTTTCTAGGTCATTTTAGGGCTATTAGTCTTATTAGTCAACTTTCAAGTTTATATATATACTAAAAATTATCATACACAACTTCAATTCTCAAACTCATACTCAAGAGTTGAAATTTCTCTTCTAAAAAAAAAGCAGGGGAAAACCCCTAGTAAAAAAGAAAGAATCATTTGGGTTGCCCACTGAATATGGTTTGGAATTCAAGGCCCAAAAATATGCGGTCCAAATCTGCGTTGCATCTGGACTTCCAGCTGCAACTGCCAATTTTCTTCTTCAAGTCCAAATGCCTTGCGGTCTACGAACAGAAAAGCATTGCCCATACCTTGCTTCTAGGAAGCTAGCTTAGCTCCAAATCTGCATTGCCAATTTTTCTTTTTCAAGTCCAAGTGGACTAAATTCTGCTCCACAGTTCAAAAGAATAATCAAACAATTCGTCACTAATTTGGTCTAAATCACGCTTTATCTGTAAATGTAACTTCTTGAAACTTTGTTTAATATAAGTCGATATCGTAATGAAAGTAGGAAAATTCTACATACTACCAAGAACACATAGAGATCGACAATGAAACGTAGCCGAATCGATCTTTATGTATACGTTTACAATCTTCTTTCTTTGGAAAAAGATTAGAACTCGGCGAGAGAATGTCCAAAGCTGTCAGTTAGATGCATGGCAAAAGTAGTGCAGAGCCTGCAGTAGTTCATAACACAGTCTAAATTGGACAGACGACGATTTGAATAATCTTTGTGCTGAAAGAATAATTAAGTTCATCTAATCTGGTTCAATGCACCCGTCAATGGTGTGTAAAAGTTACTTTCTTTTGATGTGATGCCGTTCATATACGGTGACCATTCGTGACCAAAAGCAAACTGTGAATTTCTGATGAAAGCAAATTTAGGCGGTTACTAAAGCTATAACCGAAGTTAATGGCCTTTGGGAAAAGGGATTTTTGACTGTTACGATTTTGGCTGAGGATTCTTACAAATTGGTCGGGTCAAACTAGCTGCAAGCTAGTTTGGGCTTAGGAAGGCTCGAAGCCGAAAAGTCACAACTCACAAGCCCACAGCTAGCTTCCAGGTTAAAGCCCAAGAGGCCCATTTGTACATCTCCATGTAGCTTGAGGGCCATTCGTGCCATTCTAACAAGCACTATCTCGAGCTCTCTGGCTCATTTTGTCAAGTTAGTAGTAAAGCCCACAGCTTTAGTAACAACACTTGCCAATTCCTGTTGATTTTACACAGAGTGAAAATTTTGATCTTTAGTGACCACATAGATGTGGTCACGGTATTATGGGTCTCAACGTTGCTTGGAACTAAACCCTACGTATCTAAATTGCTTCTCTTGTGTTCGTGCATGGAGTTCGCCGTCGCTAAATGTTTTCTTTTATTCTTGTGTTCGTGCATGGGGTTCGCCGTCGCTAATGATGATCATCTAAAAGCTAACGATCCATATCCTCGACCGTCTCCCATTACTTGTAATCACCACGTTGCGTAAGAACCTCATGGCGTTGGAAAAACTACTCCCTCGCTCTGTCCGACGTCGTCAGCTTGTACTCTTAACTATGTCAGCTTCCAATAAAAAGGAGGTTATCAGGGAGAGGGGAAAACAACGCGCTCCTCTGAATTCAAATCATCCAACAACACCACAAAGCCTGTGGGATAGTGCAGTACTTCTTGCAACGACCAAAATATGGTGACAAATGCTATATAGGTTGCTAATGTGAGGAGCTTTTCCTGCTTATAGATGTGACTGTTTGTGCTATCAATAAATTAAATGTGTTGTTGCACTACTATATATGCCTAAGTTGGCCGTTGTCTTGCTTTCTCATCCTTCCATGCATTAACTCGAGAGTAGTCGGTCCGCATTCGGAGAATGTTAACCATGCTCCGAATAATGTCAGGTATAGTTTATTGACGGCAATGGTATATGTTCCTACAAAAAAAAATTCTATTTGTTTGTAAATTGTAACGAAGTCAATTCTCTCCCACTAGTGAACTAAGAAACAAACGTTATGTTAGTGAACCATACATATTTCCCATTTGCTTTTCTTGTTCTTGACTACCTTTGCCGGCTCCATCGGTTGGAGAGGTGCTGCTGGCGTTAATGCCTATAATCGAAGGTCAGAGGATGCATTTTTAATTGTTTTGTTTGTTTTTGCTTTTCCGGTTGGGATCCCTAATTGGGTTGTTTTGGTCGCTAGGCATGCAGATAGGCGTACATAATTGGAAGAGGTGTAATAAGCAAATTGTTCCAATGAATGAATCATGTTAATATCGGAGATTGTAAGGAGTTAAAAACACAGAGACTTTACCAATCAAATCAATTCTGATACCATCTCATGAACTAGCTGATCCTAATTGTTGGAAGAAGCAGGTACGCTCATATATGCATCGTATAATAGTTTCTTACATAGAATGACATAATATGCAAAGAACAACACGAGACATATCACCTATCAATCTAGCTACGATACAATGTCGTAGAACCAGCTAATCTCAATTGTCGGTAGAATCGCGCTCATGTATGGAACTTATATTGTTCTCAATATACAGCCCGCGCGGAGCTATAGCATTGTCAGCCGCGAGTTGGCTGAGTTTTCTTCATATGTCTCTATGTCTAGATATTCTCGTGGACGAAAACAATGTTAACAACTTAACACATGGAGTTTCACATCACGTTATCTTTTGCCGTATTTTATCTATAGGATCGAGAAGGATGGCCAAAGTCGTTTTTGCGTACAGCGTCATCTTGGTTACAATATATATATACATGCAATGCAAGCTGCAATTTCTCAAGAGAAAGTAAGAAAGTAGAAACAAATTAAGAAGCGCCAGAGCATATATATATAGCCATGGCGATCGCCGGTACTGTTGCTAAGTTAGCCGCCGTCGTCTTGCTTCTCACCCTTCCATGTATTGATTCGAAAGCAATCAATCCGCAGTCCGAGGATGCTCCGACTAACGTCAGGTATTTATATAAGTTATCCGTGACGATGATATAGTTTATCTAGCACCTACGATGATACATTCTCTATATTTACCATCACGCGATATATGATAGTTTTTTTTATATTTTATTTCCGAGTGATATCAAGAGAGAACAAAAGTCAGACATACAAATCTACTCAGGACCCATGCAATCAGCGCAGTGTTTTACGATCTAGTTTTTTTTCCCCAAAATTATTTAAAACTTAGGTAGATGTGATGTCATCATACAAATCTGGTAAAAGTTTAGAACTGAGTTAATTAATCTCATCATCAATAACACAAATTCCTAGCATTCGTTTCGTTGCAGCAGCAACGTCCACCAGAACTTGGGCATCCAGATGCAACCTGAAAGAGGAACAAATAATGCAGTAGTCATTTTACCTCAAGGATCCGACATCAATCCAGATTATGTAGGATGGTGCAGCACGTATTGCAACGACCAAAATTGTCGTTTGTCGTACCCAGACATGTGTGACGGTCAAGATCGTGACAATTGCTACATAGGTTGCTACTGCGAGGACCTTCCCTACAGATGTGAATGTTTGTGCTCTGAATGATTGTGATTTTTGCCGGCCGATCGGTCGTTCTCCATCTTATCGCATGTCTTGTGGTGATTCCGGTTGGTTTTCCGTTTTCTCTTGTCTTTGATTTAGCAGTTTTCCTTCCCTATATGAGTTGGGACTGCTTTATCCGATCGAGTTTCTTTCTTTACTTACGAATAAAAATGACGATGGGTCTTGTTGTCATATTCATTGAATAATTTAATATGTATTATCCAAAGTACCGTTAATCACAACATGTATAACGTATATGTACGTGCAAATTTAGAGTTCTTGTGATCAGTTGGCTTTTGTTTTGAGGTGACGTGTTAGAGAGAGTAATATAAAATTCATATTTAACCTTCTCATAATAACTCGCGAGTTATTTTGAGACCAGTCAATTTGTGTAGTCAAAAATTGTTTCAATAATATATATGTAAGTAAGTACAACCGTTAAGAATGTGCACATTTTGCTCAATTCCCGCTTTTCCGAACGACGTAACCCTAATAAAATCACATGGTCCGATACACCTTGCACCGTATCATCGCCTCTTTTCGCTTCCAATATCGTTTTTAGGGCATGGTGACACCTCCAAGGCAGGTGGTCGATGAACATGTAGGGCGAGACGACGATATCCCTAAACTGGTCTCTATTGCCCAAATACGCTCTGTATTCAGTCGTCCTTTGCAAGATGTTCCAAATCCTCACGTCGTTTCGAAACTGCTGCGACACCAGGTGGATGATGCGGCCGAGCAAGAACACGTCTTGGCTGGAGCTCGTCCCCGTTGACAAAAGAAGAACTTGCAGGGCATGCAGTAGGGTTACTTGTGCGCCGTATAAGAACATTCTTTTCATACTACGCAGACCCACAATTTTTTTATAGGGGTGTCCTCTTTTAAAAAATAAATTACATAAAAATAAATAATTAATAAAAATAAAATTGTAAATATGAAAATACCTTACTCGTACAGGTTAAAAAAGTCCATGATGTGTTTTCATATTCGGAAATAATTGTAGAATACACTTGGTGTCTATAGTGTTTAAAAAAATTGTCTCTATATACACTACTAGACAATAATTCACGAATTTATCGCATATTCGATTTGTAAACTTGTTCTTGATGTAACCAAAGCTGAAAGACTCTTTCAACATTTGTCGTACAATCAAGAAATCAATACAAATTAAGGGTAGTTTGAAACTAGTTTAATTGTTAGGTTTTTAAAATAATTAGAGATAGGGAATGCCATTTTACTATTACACAATGTTCAAAATTGAACAACAAATGAGTTTAGCTCAACGGAAATTAAGTTTATTAATAATAATAGTGTTCTAGATTTAAATTATCCAACCTAACACTTATATTCCTATACACAAATGACAGTAGAATAATCATTTTTTCAAATTTAAGGGGTGTCCCTCACTATCAATTATATTTCTTTTATCCATACGTAAATTACCACCGGGGGTTGGATAATCGTTTTCCCAAAATTTAGGGGTGTCCGGGGACACCCCTAAACGCCCCCGGGTCCGCCTACGTATAGCCGTAAATATACCTGCATGCTCAAGGCATTTGAGTTGATGATACCAATTAGTTCACTATATGGTGTCGAAATCTGAGCAGGTCGCATATGTTTGGTTCAGGGAGCACGACCTAAGCTATCAGTTGTTAATTAATTAGGTTTTTTTTCTTCTTTTCTTGTTATCGTTCTCTTGATTGCCCTAATCCGTCTCTGACAAATAGTATTTTTTAGAACTCGATGAATTGATTGGGATTCCATTGCTTCTCTTGTTCTTGACTACCTTTACCGGCTGCAAGATACTGCTGGGTTATGATCGAAGGTCAGCGGATGCATTTTGTTTTGTTTGTTTTTGCTTTTCCGGTCGGGATCCCCAGTTGGGTTGTTTTGGTCGCTAGGCATGCAGTTGGAAGAAGCGTAAAAACAAATTGTTCCAATAATTCGAGCTACTCATGTATGAATCATGTTAATATTGGAGATTGTAAGGAGTTGAGCACGAGATTTCACAATCGAACCAATTTTATTCCGACTTCTGATATCAATTCATTAACCAGCTGATCCTAATTGTTCGAAGAAGCGCGCTCTATACACATCTTATATAGTACTACTTTCTTACATAGAGGACCTAATATGCAAAGAACAATACGAGACATCATTATCAATCCAATTCTCTCGTACCATGTCATTAAAACCAATTAATCTCAATTGTTGGTAGAATCGCGCTCATGTATGGAACTTAATTATATTGTTTCCTTAGTTAGAGGATCTAACATGACAAGAGGAATACGAGACCTCACAATCGAACCTGCTTTGATATCATGATGTAAGTCGATTAATCTCAATTTTTGAACGAAGCGTATTCGTATATGATTCTTATACTACATTCTTACATCGAGGACATAACATGTCGAAAAGAAGAACTAGCTAGCAGTGTCAGCCGCGAGTTGGCGGAGTTTTCTTCATGTCTCCAAGTCTAGATATTCTCGTGGAGGAAAACAATGTTAAAATGGAGCTCATGTCACATCTTTTGCCGTATTTTATATATAGGATCGGGATGCCCAAGTCGCTTTTGCGTACTCTTGGTTACAATATATATACATGCAATTAGCAGTTGTTCAAGAGAAAGTAAGTAAGAAAGAAAAGAAGCAGAGCATCTAGTCATGGCGACCGCCGGTACCATTGCTAAGTTAGCCGTGGTCTTGCTTCTCACCCTTCCATGTATTGATTCCAGAGCAATCAGTCCGGAGTCCGAGAATGTCGACGATGCTCCGACTAACGTCAGGTATATATAATTTCTTGTGACGATCAACAACTCGAGTTATTATAGAACTATGTTAGTGTGTGGTAAAGATCTATTACAGAACCTCTTTCCAAACGACCCCCATTTGTTAAGGCACACATTTGTTAAGGCGCCTTCTGTGATCACCGAGAGGTGTTGTGTTCGAAGCCCCACGACCCCCATTGGTTAAGGCACACACATGGTATTCAAACTTGTGCAAACTTCAAGCACTTAGTGAGTGACTTTTCGTTTGAAGGGGGGCGTGTTAGTGTGTGGTAAAGATCCATTATAGAACCTCTCCCAACAACTCGAGTTATTGTGATCATCAAGTGGTTCTTGACATTTTCATACGCGTCCTCATCAAATAACGAATTACTTTTTTTTTTCTCGTCAATTAATCTCGTCGATCACACAAATTTCAATCGTTCGTTGCAGCAACCACCAGAACTTGGCCACCCAGACGCAACCCAGAAGAGGAACAAATGTAGTCGTCATGATACCTCAGGCATCCGACAAAAACACGACGTCTGTGGGATGGTGCAGTACGTCCTGCAACGACCAAAACTGTCATTGGTCGTACCCAGATATGTGTGATGGCCAAGATCCTCATCACTGCTACATAGGTTGCTACTGTTTGGACCTTCCCTATAGATGTGAGTGTTTGTGCTATAAATAAATGTGTTTTTCTTTCCAATGAATAATTTCCCCTCCGGGCAGATTTCCTTCCTAGTCATAGTTGGGACTGCTTTTGTACGAGTTTTGATTTTCTTTCTTTACTTCACGAATAAAAATAAGGACGGATCTTGCCATCTTTGTCCGAATAATTCAGTATACATCGTGTTCCATTTTTAAGATCTATTGTTGCGGGCTCAAATTTTGTCGTTTGTGATTATTAAATACCGAGATTGGCTCAAATTTTATCGAAAAAATAAGCGAAATCGTAAAGATTGTGAAATCGTATTAGACGTTTTTGTCGATTGTACTACATTCTCCCCATTGCTTCTCTTGTTTTTGACCACTTTTGCCGGCATGGTTCGATCGGTTGAGAAGGGATGTTCATTGGATTATGCCTATATATATATATTATTCTAAAGTCGGCTTATGCATTTTGCTTTTGTTTGTTTGTACTTTTCCGGATGGGATCCCCAAGTGGGTTATTTTCGGTTGATAGGCATGCAGCAAGAAATACATAGTTGGAAGAAAATTAGTAGATTCTAATAATTCTGAGTAGTTGAAAGAAGTCTATGTAGGTATGCATTCTATTAATATGAAATGTTGTGAGAATTCAAATACGAAATCACATAATTGATCAAATTCTAAATTGTCTCATATCAACCAATTAGTAATTCAAATAATTTGAGTTATCCTGTGTACGATCGTACAGGAATCTTATACTATACTTCCTTACGATAAGAGACATATAGTATTGCTTTGCCTCTGTCTATATATTCTTGTACATGATAACAATGTTAAAAAGGAGGTTCATACTCTTGGTTACAATTAATATATATATTCATGCAAGCAGCAGTTGCTCGATCGAGATGCACCTAACCTAGCTAACCAACTTCCAAAAAGATATCTTCAAGAGAAAGTAAGGAAGAAAGAAAGAAAGAAGCAGAGCATATAGCCATGGCGATCGCCGGAACTATTGCTAAGCTAGCCCTTGTATTGCTTCTCATCCTTCCATGTATGGATTCGACAGCATTCAGTCTGCAGTAGGAGAATGTCCATATTAAACCTTCAATCTCGTGAGTTGGGTTTCGTTTGAGCTGTCGCTAGCGTGCTAGAGCTAGAGTGGTATAAGGTCCATATTAAACCTTCTTCCAACCACTCGCGAATTATTGAGACCAGTTTGCTTTATGACCATTCGTGCGTTCAAAATTGTATCCATTTTGATGCAATTGAAAGAATATGTTAGTACATCGAAAGTACTGTTAAAAGAATGTACACATTTTGCTCAATTACGTACATACTACTTGTAACAAATCTCGCTTTTTCGAATGCTTCCAGCCGTAACGACCTAACCCTAATCAAATCACATGATCCGATACACCTTGCACCGTATCATCGCCTCTTTTCGCTTCCAATATCGTTTTTAGGGCATGGTGGCACCTCCAAGGCAGATGGTCGATGAACATGTAGGGCGAAACGACGATATCCCTAAACTGGTCTCTATTGCCCAAATACGCTCTGTATTCAGTCGTCCTTTGCAAGATGTTCCAAATCCTCCCGTCGTTTCGAAACTGCTGCGACACCAGGTGGATGATGCGGCCGGCCAAGAAAACGTCTTGGCTGGAGCTCGTCCCCGTTGACGAAGAAGAACTTGCGGTTTCCTCCAGCTTCGGAGTCGTCGCTAAAAGCTGAGATATGGTGTCGTCGAATGCGTCCGTTGTCTTTGATATTGGTTCGTCGCCAAAGATACTGTCCACGTCGTCGTCGTCGTCGAAACTACTGCCACGGTCGCTGCCTGCAGCGTTGGACTGATGATTCGATTCTTCTCGATCATCTTCGCCGGTTGTTGCGACGACGACGACGACGTTTCGTTTGGAATGTTGTAGTGGGTTCGAAGGATCGTCGTCCGTACGATCCATCAGCCGTTTTTGACACTTGTTCATGGAGAGGAAGCGACGAGCGAGTTTGTAGATCAACGTTGTGTCGGCGGCCTCCGAACCTTGGGAGCTGAGTGCCATGATTGCGTCTGTGCGTAGCCGCATGATCGATCCGACTGACAGTCGTGTCGAAAATTCGTTCTCGTGTACGATGCTAAAATAAAAAGCCACGTGAAAGAAAAATTACAATGCTGTAAAAAAAAAAGAAGTTTTAAGGGTTAAAAAATTGGAGAAATTATATATTTGATTATTTGTTACCTTGTAATGAAGTCTGAGCATGCCTCGGCGATTACTGAATCCACACAAGGAAGAGGGCCGTATGCATAGACATGTAGGTTTGGAAATTTATGTTTCAGCTGCACGTACGTATACATTAGTTTTTTGCATGGTTAATACGAAAATACGAGACGATTTTTTTCCCGTTACTTTATCGATGAATTCGATAAGAGAGTGTGGTATATGATTTATTATGGAAAGCGAGAAGGCTTACTCTTAAGCCTAGCATGGAAGCAATGGCACCTCCAAGTGAATGACCAACTATCCGCAGAGTGTAGCCTTCACATTCACATCCAGTCCCCAGCAATGAAGACAAGAAGCCGGTTGAATACTGGGATTCTGTTTTTTTTCCATGAGTCCATAAAATGAAATTGAACTATTTTCTAGAAAGAATTTCCAAGTAGAATAAATCAAAATGAAAGACTAATATAATGTAATTTGCTAAACCACCAACTTAATTAAGCGAACTCTAATCAGATTAATCCATGATAACTCGCGTCCGGCAGTATTCAATTCAATCTATATCATGAGCTACATGCAACCTGATTGACTTGTAACCCAATCAACTCAGTGTAGGTTTTTAGTAATGTGACTTTCCCGCGAGTTGTCTCAAAGCGACATATCCATGCATCCAGCCGAACGACCCATTTGAAACCAATTTGATTTTCTGTATGTCCATAGATGTGTAGCAAATATATATAGTAAAATCAGAGTAGAATGCCTAATATAAACTTACTGTTTTCCGAAGGTTTCCCTTCAATTTGCATATATAGGTCTCGTGCAGCTTCAACTATACCCAAATGGGCATAGTGTGGGAACGACAACTCCACATTCTGCCTTGTTTCGAGTGGAATGCAACTATTACTGAAAACCCAACATTAAAGAGATCAATTAACAAGTTAGAAATTGAGCTCCTAAGTACAAAAAGTGTTACCAAATCTATCAAACACTCAGATTAACCGACGTAATTAACTAGAAATGATGACACGAAAAACGATCAATAATCTTATGAATGCAATTACGAATCGGAAGGTTGAGAGAATTAGGAGAAGAAGAGAAAGAGTACATGCTTTAGTAAGCCATCCAAGTCTGCCCTAGACAAGGGACATGCCTTTCCCAATCCATCCGTTATAAGGTCCTCGGGAGTCTCGGTTCCTCGTACAGCAACCACGACGGTTCTCTGGTTATGTAGAACGAGGATGAAATATGCCGCTTCACATTTTTCCTGATAAACCCAAATCAAATCAAAACAAAAACATACGCATATGTTAGTATCTGGTACGATTAACTGAAAAAAAATCGAATCGAATTAGAGCGAAAGCAATTAGGGTACGTGAACTATCGATCGATCATAACCTGGCAGACTCGACCACGTCGTAATGCTTCGGGAGGTAACTTGACATAGTTGAGGAAGGCAGCTGCATGGCCACGCCACCAATTATCCCCATCCAGCACTGGCCGACTAAGAAACACACACAAATTCAACCAAAAGAAAGTATGGAAATGAAATATGCAATTAAACTATATAATAATTTCATGCATGCACATAGCCAAGAGGTGAAATGTCAAATCGATCACTCAACTTCGAAACCCTAACAAATCGGTCATCACAAATCTGAAATCTTAAAACATTGCAAATTAACATAAAGGGAACGACCTATTACGTGTCCATGGAGTGAAAATGCCTTGCCGGTAGAGCCAAGTGCAAGGAAAGAAGATAGCATGTCTCCCAAAATCAAGTAATGGCCCCTAAAAGAATATATGGCATGAGAAAGTGATTATTGAAAAAATAAAACAATTAAAAAAATTATGTGAAAGAAATAGTTGTTAATTTAGTAACATATATCATATATATGTACCGTATAGGCAGCTTCAGTGAATTCATGAAGAGCAAAAGCATCCTCGATATATTGTTTTGGGGCTTCTGTTTGGTCTTCAAACTTGGGAGGTTCATAGTTCTTCTGTAATAAAGCTAGACCTAGCAAATATGACAGACCAAACACATTATTTAGACACGATCACGCGTTCTGGTTTCATACTGGAGCGAAAACGAACCTGCCAAGAGCTCCAAATGGCCGGTGCCCGACGCGCGATAAGCGACGAGTTTCCCGAGCAGTTTAGCAACCGAGTGAACTTCATCTTCTTCATACATTGTCCTACACAAAAACCAAACGCACCCCCAAAAAAAGAAGAAGGACTAAGATTGATAATTAGTAGTAACAAAGAGGATCAAATTGAGAGAGATTGGAAAGTTGGGAACACTTTTGTCGGCAAGAATGAAAGCCCAACCCACAAGTATTTGAAACGGCCCAGACAGCACAAGGCCTCTCGTATACCGTAATCGAACACCTCCTTGTAGTGGGCCTCCCACACCTCATCTTGGGCCTCGTAAAAGGCCCTCCACCTCAGGACGTCCGGGCCCGCAAAGCATTGGACCATGGGGACACACGACGCCATGACTATGAACGAAATCAGTAGCTTCTGTTGCCACGTGGTGCTCCCTATCCCTTCACAAAAAAGGAATTTAATTAACTGAGGGTTAATTATCAGGAAATAGGGTTAAAATTTGTTGGGCATTAAGAGTGGTAAAAAAAAAAAAAAATTTTTACCTAAACCACATTGACTAGTTGTTTGGTGATGGGTAATGTATTCCATCACGTTGAAGAGAAGGAAAAGGGCACTCGCGAGTTGCAATAAGGTAATTGCAATGGCCAAACGGCTCCACCACAGCCACGTCGTGTAGCTGACCTGAAGATAAACACTATCCACAATTAGCCTCTTTTTTCTTGTTCAATTACGCGCTATGACTGACATCTTACACGAATACGTTTTTATAGACAGACGCTTTATATCATGTGAGCATTATAGTCGTGGATTAATGTCTGTATATGGAGGGAAAAAAATCATGTTTCCATACATAATGCATGAAAAAAAAAACTTTTAAGAAAGAACAAAATTTTAGGACGCAAAATCTGATACAAAAACCCTCGTTCATCAAAATGCCAAGTTCGAACGCTCCGGGCTTCAATCGAATTTGAGACCCAAGAATCAAGTCCATCTGCCTTGACTATGGTTAGGCAACTTCAAAATAGTTTGACCATAACTAACTGTAGCTAGACGGTCAATATCAAAAAGGATAAATTAACGATATATCTACACGATTAAACGACGACGCCTAGACGAACTGGATCCCGACGAACGAACGTACCCGTCTCCGAAGACGAACAACGGAGGCCTGACGATCAGCATCCTCCGGCGGAGAATCCACAATACTCCTCGCCGTCGCATCCTGAGCCAGCCCAACCCACACCATCCCGACCATCTTGGCGACCGCCGCCAGCGACACCAACAGCACCGGAACCAAGACCTCGCCGCGACAACCCTCGAAAACCAACCCGGCCATCAACCCGCCGGCGAGAGCCAGCGCCAGGTTGCAGAGACCCAGGACGACGCTGCTCCGCCTGAGGTTCCCGATCGTCAGGACCGGCCTCATCCTCGAGGCGCCCTTCTCGAGGTTGGAGGTGATCTTCTGGTTGATCGGGAGGGCGATCCCCTCGACGAATTTCGAGGGGACGAACCTGTGGGGGATGAAGATCGGGATCTTGTCGTGGATGGAGGCCGACAGGGTCGACTCCAGCTTCCGGATCTCCGACAGGAGCTTCGGATCGTCGGCCGGGGCGACCCTTGCTCGACGTCGTCCCTTGGCCGCCATTTTTAATTTGTGGCTTATTTAACGATGTCGAGGAAACCAAAAAAAAAACTTGTAATTTCTTTTGAATATGAAGGAATATTATATTGATGGAAGGGAGTTTTTGGTTTTGGTTTAAGGAAATGCTGTTGTTTACCTTTCTTTGCGGGAGAAAAGAGTTAAAAGGGAGGATCTTTTGATGGATATCATTCGGTATATAATTAATTAGTTGGTGAAGACGATATATTATCTATATGTTACGGTTATGGTTAAGGTATGGATGCCCATACCATATGTTCTTATAAATATCTTTCATTCTGTTGTATATCGATGTTGTTTACATACCAGATCGAGAATCTAATCGAGGTAGTTGTATGAAATTCGTTTTACTATTATGTATGAACACGACAAATACGAAATGTTAGTAAATTTTTGGGCGATACATGACAGTCTGTATGTTTCCCCCCTGGTCGGATGTAAGGTAACCAGATTAATGTTGTGGCCGAAGGAGGTCCATCACGCGCGCGTGTGTATATGTACCACATCATCAACATATTATTACCTTATGTCCAACTGTTGTTGTGTCGAGCCGACTGTTTGTTTCACCATCAGCACATCATTCAGATAGTTTTACCGATTTGTAACCATTCAGTTGCGATTTGGAGTTTGGGTGATTTCGGTTCAAACCCTGATCCTACGTAGGTCAGAGTTGCAAATGATTTTAAGATATTTACCCTTTTACAACACTCAATTATATCAAGAAAAAATGGAGGGAAAGAACTAATACATTAGCCAAAGGAAGCAGATTTTGCATATAGCTAGCTATGCACAAAGAAAGCAAAGACTTTTTCATTGCTTAGATACATAATTACTAGCTGCTTAATTCCTTAATTAACTCTTTTCACATCATAGCTTTGGGGTGAGGGTACCCTCATTACATAGAAGTGAAAGACCCAAAAAGAGGCATACCATACCATATCTATACTAATTAATATCACACATATACTCATATATATATAGTCCTATATATTAAGATGCACATAGTTAATACTTAATACTTATATATAATCTTGATCATGGATCTAGTTGAGCAGGCTCAAGGTGCTAATGGGCTTGGGAGGGAACTGGACCTTGGTATGCCCATTGGGCTGAGGTGGGTAGTTGTGGTGGAATATTGTGGGTGGGAGGGAGTGTACATATTTGCAATTGGGGCAACAAGGAGATGACTTTGAGAGTATTACAAGGAGATGGCAATTCAAACATGCCAATGCCACCATGTTGTTATTGTCCTTGTCATCACTAGTACTGATATTCCCTTCTTCTGATGGTGATGGTGAAGAAGCTGGAATTTGGTGATGGTGATCACTCACAATATTGTTGTTATAGTACTTGTTTGATGATGATGATGAGATGTTGAGCTCCAAGTCGAGACTTCCATTGTTTAGATCATTTTCATCATCACGATACGCGTCCTTTGGCCAGTTCCAACTCTTTCTCGACGTCTTCCTGTTGAAGTAGTACATCGTCCCTGACTGCTCACACGTCAAAATCACAAGCTGATTAGACAAGTTGGACATGGCACAATAACTTAATCATTATGAGACCACGACGCGACTCGAGTTATATCTATGTACAATCTCTATGATCTATCAACCATTTGATTCGATGAAATGAAGTATGATCATGATTAAGTGTACAAACATAAATGAGATTACGAAAAAGCAGATGGGAGGAGGGGACACATTAACATGACCAAAATTAATGATCGTCGATGTGCAAAGATAACCACCGCCATGCAACCGTCATTAATATATAACTAATTAAATATCTCGAGCAAACCAACAAACATTAGGTCAAGACACGAGCCACACAACCCACAAAGAAAAAAAAAACATAACACAACATCGTCGTAACTTAACTTAACAAGGAGGTATTGAGTTCGAATAGTGCGAAAAAAAGAAAAAAAAAACACACGCGCTTACATGAAGGTCGAGGCATTGCTCCCAATCCAAAGGCAGATGCCTGTTGTTCTTCATCACTTCTCGATCAAGAATCTGAAGATCGACGACATGATCAGGATCACGATCACAATCGTCGAAAGTCATCTTCCTCTTCCTCGAATGATTCCTGGGAGCCAACGACAGCTCCGTCGTGAACTCCATCGAAAACCCAACCAAAACCCAACAAGGGAAACCGACCCTTAAAAAGAAGAGGTAGAAGGAAGAAGAAGGAAGGGTTTAGAGGTGTGGAGGGAAAAAAATGGGTGAAGGGAGGGGAAGCCCTTAAATTGAGAGGCAACTTAACTCCATGGATGGGAAGGGAAGGGAACTGCATGCATTAAAGGAAGAGGGGGCAGCCCAAAACATTAAAGGTGGCAAGTAGATATCAATTTAATGCTCTCCCTCTCTTTTTTTTTTTTTTTTTTCCTTTTAGGGTTTTTAATTTTGAAGGGTTTCTTTCTTCTTCCTGCTCTCTCTGTGAAGAAGAGGAGAGCAGCTGCTGCTAGCTATAACGTTGCTCATTTAAACCCCAGACCTACACATGAATTCAATTCAACCCCCCAATTTGCTTTCATTTATTTATTGTTCTACGATGACTGATGTGTTGTGTTTAATTTGACTGTAAAAAAAAGAAAAAGTGTTTAGTTTGTATAATATTATTTCAAATATGTAAAAGAAAGAAGGTATTATGGTGATTTTGCCTGCGCTGAATCAATGTTATTATAAGGGTTTTATTTTATTCTTTTCAACTCAGGCACAAAGGGGTAACCTTTGATAATAATTAACAATAAGATCGGAGTGAGTCGATAGGTTAAAATCACATTTGAAATGTCCGTATACACGCGATAAAATCGCATTTGGTAATTACTAGAAGATAGTTGCTAATATGGCTAACTCTAAATAATGATATTATTATGGGTCAAGTCATTCAAATTTTTTTTTCTCTTGCTCATCAGTAAGCTGCATGGCTACTCATAAATGTGCCATCACCAGCACCATAACTACAAAAACACAAATAAATATTAAGCAAGAATAAATATGGTTGTTGTAAAATGAAAACATAATTAAATAAAACCCCAATTCTGGGAAGTTCTGTGCCCTTTCTCTGGCTTTTCTGGGAGATGGGATTCAATTTTTCAAGACAAAGAGGTATAACTCCTTTCATGAGTTCCACAGAGAAGAAGAAGATAGAAATTATTGTGATAGGCAGCAGCTATAACAAGTAGCTGGTTCAAGAACACTAGACAGTGAAAACAAAAATTTAAGTTTGGAAGTTGAGAACAGGTAATTAACACTCTCTTGCACGGATTCAACCACTCTTTCTCTTGTGTTTGGTGGACAGTACCAAGAATTGAAAGTTTGGGAGTTGATGAGTTGAGACTTTAGACTAGCTGGCTATAGTTGTAGGATATGGTATGTGTAAAGATATACGTATATCATCTCGATGGTCCGATTCGTCTGATACTCACGGTGAGCTTGCGAATTAGTCGCTCAGATTTGTGATTTGCAAAAAAAAAAAAAAAAAAAAAAACCCCTCATTGATGTTTACTTAGTTCGAGATTGAAAATCGTACGTAGACCGTTACAAAATGAGAAGTGAGAACATTGAATACGATGTAAATGTGCAAATCCGACTTAAAGATCGGGAGATACTCATTTTGTCCCCCCCGCTCCCCCCATCTTAGACACTACTAAAAAAAAAACTCCTAGAAATTCAATATTCTACTATGGTCACCTGATGATCCTGATTGTTTCTTAAACCCGCTAACTCTAAACTCATCTACAATCTCTCTCCCGACTGTCTGGAATCGATATGGGGGACAGTAACATACATAGATCGTTTCCAAATAAGAAGTGAGAACATTGAATACGATGTAAAATGTGCAAATCCGACTTTATAATAGAGAGATACTCATTTAGTCATTTTGTCCCCCCACATCTTAGACGCTACCCAAAAACACATAAAAATTCAATATTCTACTGGTCACCTGCTAATCCGAATCAATTCTTAAACTCGCATCCACAAGCTCTGTCAAGTCCCGATATGGGGGACATACAATTGCAAACTCCTCTACTCCATAATTCAGTCACCAAAACGAATCAGGCGTATCGATCCCAACCCAAACAAACCATTGATTTGATATGTGACTTGATTCTTATCACCACCATGCAAGTGGATTTTGAAGATTTCCACTTTCCACTCAAATCCACCCTCGTCGTCGGCCCACTCCAGGCGTGAACGAAGCAACAGAAGAAAACCAAATCCCAACCCACCGATTTACCAACCAACCCTCGACTTGTCTCGTTTTCTGATGACAGACACCATTATCGAACTCTTCTAAGCTCCAAAACAGATCCCCAAATTGGGAATCAACGATTATTAAACAAAAGGGCATTCATTAATAACACAAGGATATAAAGACTACTGCTATTTACAAGATTGTGTTTTGGGGAAGTGTACAAGTGAAAGAGAGAAAGGGGGAATTTTCAACACAAGTGACCACCAAAAGAAAACAAAAGAGCGTACGCTAGCATTTATAATTGCCATAAAGAAAGGCACATAATTAATTATACGTTCTTGGTGGTCAGTTAATGAGCTAGGTAGAGGAAGAAGAAGAAGAAAGGGGAAGAGCGGTGGAACTCGAAAAGCCATTAATATGTGTATGAACAGGGTGCATTGGGGGGTTGGAGGAGGTCGCGACAACCTACATCTCCAACGATTGTTCTATATATCGCTTTTGATATACGTTCGACATTTCTGTACTCGTACCAACTATGAAGATGATTGAGGTTGAATCGAAGCAAAGTCAATCCACATTTCATACATATCACGTTGTGCGTGGTCGGTAAGCATAAATCAGACTTGTATGTGAAATTGAAAACTAAAACAAATACAAGAGTCTGGATTATCGTAATCTGTCATTATGTTTTGCTCTTACATAGACGCTATATATTGCAAACATCCACGATATGATTTTATTACTTAACCATTATCGAGGAAGCGAGTCACTCGTCGTATCTCATATGCTTCCGTTCCAAGACTGAAAATACTCGCGTCTCACTCGTGCTTTCTGTGATTGACGACAGTCTTGTAGCGGATTTCCTTAGTCACGAAAATAAAACCTTTTTAATTAGATTATATATGAATTCAAATACGAGTTTACCCTCCATTAGTAAGCTAGCTACTAAGGTAGGAGAATTGAAGGAGAGCTAGCTAACACACACAGATCCCAACATACTGGTCTGCTGCTGTGGAAATAATAAATGGTGTGGGCTGGGCGTTACTTCCAATCTATGAATGCCCCCTGCAGCTAAACTATACAGCAGCAGTGGTAGGATCCTCTTCAATTCAAGCCAATCCAATTGAATTCTTGCAGATGATGATATCACCATACCTCACTGGCTTCTTCTCTACCTTCACTCTATCCAAACCTCATCTTCCAAAAAAATTTGAAACAGAATTAGGGTTTGTGTTGGTTTGATGGATCATGTTGTCTCCAAAAGTTCTGTTTTTGATGACTGTGTTTGGAAATACACAAAATAGTGAAGTAGGGACCTTGGCTCTATAGTCACAGGCTTTTCTAAGAACATAAGAAAAGCTGAATCTTTGGTACTGACAATATGGTATAGGAACAAAGGTCATGTCCTTTTCCCCAAGATCTCACACAACCCTTTTTGATAATCAACATGTTGCTGAACTTTTTTTTTTAGTTCTGATCATCACATGTTCCTAAGATTCTGAGTATAGGATTAGTGACGATTTCGGTCTATTAGTATAGCTAAACTCTGTTAAAATCTTCAAACAAGAAGAAGATCCTGGCCGTTTCACCCTGAACTGCCTTCTCAACAACAGTTAAAAGGCTCCAAACATCAATATCCTACCATGCATGACTCTCTTATCTCATTGATGACTCACATGTCACGTATGCTTAATGAAAAGTCGTGTTAATCGATCCCTAACCGGTTATACTCGAAAGACGAATGTTACGAGAGTAGATCTAACGCATGAGGGTCGGATTTTGAGACGAGACATGAATTTCCAGCATACATATCATGTGAATCATCAATGACATACTTATCAAGTACGAGATCTCATATGTAGCGGATTCGAACCAAATTTTCCAGAGAAAGGACTGAAGATGAGTAAATGGTCAAGATGAATTTATTAGAAGTCGAAGTATAAAGACGTGTTTGTTAAAATGGTGCTTGTTAAAATAGTATAGTACACGTACCAGAAATGACATTATACTTACACGAATGAGTGGAAACCTTTTAAAAGAGTCGCCAGCCAAGTCGGGTCGTTCGCTGATGTACTGGGAACGACTGTTCTGTTGCAACTTCGTTTTGTCCAACGTGAAATCTTTGCATGCATTTCATCCCAGTCCGAATTTGGTAAGCAATAAAGCCAGTTACCAAACTGAACCTTCCACCCTCTACCCACTCGTCAGACGATTAAAGATCTGTTGCAACCATCACCACGACAGCAGTGTATTATTGATCATTCAAAAGTTCATGTTGCACTTGAAAGCAAGCACATTAATGGCTCGGTTTGAAAGGTATTTCAGCCGCAGATTTAGGCTTTAGCTTAAGGATAGAGAACACTGATTAGCAAGCAGTATCAGATTTCGATATGTCCAATGTCTAGTGTTCTGATAAGTCTAAGATGCATGAAATTCAAGTACTTAGGGAAGATGAAAAGGGGCTAGGCTTATAAACTGACTACTTAAGAAAGAAGCAGAAGGAGGAGGTGAAGAAGAAGAAGAAGAAGAGATAGAACTGGAAGTACTTACCAGAACTGGATATTGTATAATCCATCCAATGACTGGTATTTGATAAAGGACAACCTTGACCGATGGCCAAAAGCCTCTGCATTAGAAAATAACAAATTGTAACAATCAGATCGGGATTATTGAGTTCCGAAGTGCGATAAAATGACGGAGAACATCGGATATTGGCTCAACAGAACATGATGTGATACAGTTTGGATCAGGGGAGAGGCCGGATACTGACCCGAACAGAGCAAAGCACCCATAAATTTCCAAGACTATACCGACAACTGGCCAACGGACAAAAAGGAAGAACAGTCCCAAAAGAAATGACACAGAGCCCTACAAGTACATTCAATATGTTAACTCAGTTCGTCAATGTATGATAAGCGCCATTTAAGTTATGAGGTGGGCTTCCTATGAAATTCAAAAGTTTGTGACAGAAATGCAGTTGCCAAATTTCGACATGTTTTGTGCGAGGCCATTCATTATAAACTAGATAAACATCCTCCTTTGCCATTACCTTATAGTTTTCTCTGTTGGTAAAGAGCTTCCATGTGGAATACCAGCCCAGCAAAACAGCTACCCCTGTCAACCACAGAATCTAATTACAAAACTCAAAAGGGTCAATCAAACATGGTACATATCCCCCTAGCAAAAGAAGTCAATAGATTCAAGTAGATGAAGCAGCCATACATTTCCAAGGGCGAGTAACCCTCTGTCAAAGAACAGGATCACATCGAGAAATGTAAAAAAGATCCCAAATCCAATTAGACCCAATCCAATTCCTGCAGGAACAGCCCCACGAGTAAATTAAGCAGCACAAATCAAGCAGATATGAAACTAATAACGAAGCAACAAAGAACAGGAACAATTGATGAACATTGGAACACCCAGCTGACCTAAGTTTCTGCTCAAGGCCCTTTTTGCAAAACATGCCAAGATCATTGCTTTCTAGTTTTGCCAATGAAATTCAATAAAAGAATTACAATAATGTGCACTCAGGTGCTGCAGCAACCTTATGGAGACTGCATGAAGTAGCCAAAGTAAAGGGGACTATGCAGAAGATCACAATCTCGTTTCAGCTCAACAAATGGGCATAACAAGGTTAAAGCATGGTGCTAAACCATGAAAGCAGCAGCATTTTTCCACCACAAGAACAAACTATGTAAACCCTTTTCGTAACAGACACCCAGGAACTAGCTACAATCAGAATTAACTTAAGCGCATCACCCTTAATAATTTCCAGCAGTCCTAATGAAAATTGCGGCAATAGAACCAACCATTCACGAACCGGAATCAAGACGAAATGGAATTCAAGAAGAGCACAGTAGAGTTGGGATTCGTAGATTAAATTGCTCACTTTGCTGCTCAGTCAGTTCGTAGGCCATCTTCCGGTTTAGTTTCAAAAGCGACTCAACTTATCGCAGCCCCTTGAAATGGCAAAATGTGTTGATTGATCGGATCGTAGGGCTTCAAATCAACATCCAGAAGATCCTAAATCTGTTCGGCAGCAAGAATGGTCTCCAATTTCTGCCCGGAGACATGAGTGAAGGATTGAAAATTCAGGAACAAGATGAAGACGAACGGAGGGAACACACAGAGAGATCGAATGAACAATGGGAATCGTCGGCGGTAGAGAGACGGCGGCAGAGTTTCGCTTACGGTCGGGTCAACTCATGTTCGTCTAACGCCGCTAAAAGCCCATTAAAATTGGGCCTAAAGCCGCTACCGGCCTGTAGAAATAAAATCAGCTACAAATTTCTCAAAATTAAAGTTATGTGATTGATTTGTAAGTAAGCACAAGTATGATGACCATTATTATAATTGGTTTGCTTGTTTTCTTCTTCCTCGTGAGGGAAAAGGAAACCAAAGATTTTCTATTTCCCGAGCCGAGAGAGTGAAGAAGGAACAGTTGCAGCCTTCGTCAATCTCTTCCTTCGATCCACAATCCCCTATTCGCCTGCTTGAGACGAGAGCGCTAATTGGTCTCGCCCGTCGCCATCTCAGCAGTTTTCTGCTATTCCGACTTGACCTAATCCAGTGGATTGACTGGCGGGGAAGGCAGAGATCTGTAACGAGTAACGACAGCTTTTGTTAGGGTTCAGAAAGACAAGCGAGACAGTTCGCTTCGAATTCAATCCTGTCGTCTCCGTCTTTGCTTGAGCTGCCCTGCTGCAATAGGTAATCTCCGTTGTCTATGCATCGCTCTGTTCTTCTTTTTGCCTGTTGCCGATTAGAAAGCTGCATCCGCCCGAGTTTTGATTTTGTCTTTTCACTCGCTTTGAATCAGGTCTTGATTTGTGTTCCCCCAACTATGCACGGAAAAGTGGGTTTTGGGGGATGAAGCCCAGAGTGAATTGATTCCTTTCTGTCTCCTTACTCGTCGATTCTCAATTTTTTTTTTTGTTCTTTTGTCCGAAACTAGCTCGTTGAATGATTAGGGGTTTTATTGCTCTTTTACTGTTGAAGTTTCGTGCTTTGCTTTTTCTTGCGAATCCCGTAATGTTGTTTTGTTTAGTGGGTTTTGATCAGGGGAAGAGATGGAGGATGTGAAGCATAAGTCCAGGAAGGAAGAGGATTCCAAAAGGAGTCACCGTGACAAGGAGAGGAATGGAGATAGGCACCGCAGCAGCAGGCGATCGGAGAGGGAGAAGAGTGTCGATTCGGACAGCAAGTATGAGAGGGAGAGGGAGAAGGATAAGGATAGAGAGAAGCGTAGTAAGGAGAAGGATCGCAGAAGTAAGGATGATGGTAAAGAAAGGCATGGCAAAGATAGGAAGAGGGACAGGGATGGAGAAGAGAAAGACCGGGATAGGGATCGTGATCGGGAGAAGAAGGAGAAGAGGAAAAGGGAGAAGGTGAAGGAACACGAAAGGGAAGAGCGAGAGAAGAAGGAAAGGGACAGAAAGGGGGAGCGGGGTAAGGAAGAAAAAGAGAGGGAGAAGAAGGATAGAGAGAAAGAAAGGAGGAGGAGGGAGAAGCACAGAGGGTATAGTAGTAGCGATGATAGCGATAATGATGATACTAAGGTGGATCATCGTGATAAGAAGAGGCGGAAAAAAGAGGCAGATGATCACAAGGAGAGAACACGAGAAGTTAGCAAGTCGAGCAAGCGCAAGGATGACAGTGACGGTAGTGGGAGCTCTCCACCGAGAAAGGTTGCTGCTGCTGCTGCTGTTGGTGTTCAGGAAGTTAAGGAAAGTGGTAAAACTCGAGAGGAGGAATTAGAGGATGAGCAGAAGAGGTTGGATGATGAGATGGAGAAAAGAAGGAGAAGAGTCCAAGAGTGGCAAGAACTGAAGAGGAAGAAGGAAGAGTCCGAGCGTGAAAAGCTGGGGGAATCAGGTCCGACAGACGAGCTGAAATCCGGTAAAACCTGGACTCTCGAGGGAGAATCTGATGATGAAGATGCCATGGGGAAATCGGATACTGAAATGGATGTGGATGATAATTCAAAACCTGATGGAGAAACTGAAGATGCAATGGCTGTAGATGCTCAAGAAGAAGATGATTCAGCAGTAGCTCCTGCTGCTCCTGCAGCAGCAACAGAAGCCCCTCCTGTTGAGGAGGATGAAGATATTGACCCCCTCGACGCGTTCATGAACAACATGGTTTTACCAGAAGTGGAGAAGCTCAATAGTGCAGCTGTTAGTGACAATAACGGGGTCGATCTTGGCAAGAAAGATGTGAAGACCGAAGCAAAGAACAATGGAGAACAGTCGAAGAAGGGGTCAAAGAAATCATTAGGAAGAATCATTCAAGGGGAGGATTCCGACTCGGATTATGGGGACGTTGATAATGATGAGAAAGCTTCTGAAGATGAAGATGATGAAGAGTTCATCAAGAGGGTAAAGAAGACAAAAGCTGAGAAGTTGTCCCTCGTCGATCACTCCAAAATTGATTACAAGCCATTCAGGAAAAACTTCTACATCGAGGTGAAGGAGATCTCGAGAATGACTCCAGAGGAGGTTTCTGCTCATAGAAAAGAGTTAGAACTCAAGATACATGGCAAAGACGTGCCTAAACCAATCAAGACATGGCACCAAACTGGACTGACCACCAAAATCATGGACACTATCAGGAAACTCAACTTCGAGAAGCCGATGTCGATTCAAGCTCAAGCACTTCCAGTGATCATGAGTGGCCGGGACTGCATCGGAATTGCCAAGACCGGTTCCGGCAAGACCCTAGCTTTTGTCCTTCCTATGTTGAGACATATTAAGGATCAACCGCCTGTTGAAGCTGGAGATGGCCCTGTCGGGATGATAATGGCACCCACGAGAGAGCTCGTGCAGCAGATACACAGTGATATCAGAAAGTTTACAAAACCTCTCGGGTTGAGATGCGTGCCTGTGTACGGAGGTTCCGGTGTTGCCCAGCAAATCAGCGAGTTGAAGCGTGGGACTGAGATTGTCGTCTGCACTCCAGGTCGGATGATCGACATACTCTGCACGAGCGGCGGGAAGATCACAAATCTCCGGAGGGTGACGTATTTAGTCATGGATGAAGCTGACCGAATGTTCGACATGGGATTTGAACCTCAGATCACGAGAATTGTTCAGAACATTCGCCCCGATCGGCAAACTGTTCTCTTCTCTGCCACTTTTCCAAGGCAGGTCGAGATTTTGGCTCGGAAGGTTCTAAACAAACCAGTCGAGATACAGGTTGGCGGTAGGAGCGTGGTGAACAAGGACATTACCCAGCTTGTCGAGATTCGACCAGAAAATGAACGTATCTTCAGACTGCTGGAGCTTCTTGGTGAATGGTATGACAAGGGGAAGATTCTAGTGTTCGTCCAGTCACAGGACAAGTGCGATATGTTATACAAAGAAATGATGAACGTGTATCGCTACCCTTGTCTCTCTCTTCACGGAGCTAAAGACCAGACTGATAGAGAATCAACGATCTCGGACTTCAAGAACAACGTCTGCAATTTGTTGGTCGCAACAAGTATTGCTGCTCGTGGATTGGACGTCAAGGATCTTGAATTGGTGGTCAATTATGACGCTCCAAACCACTACGAGGATTATGTCCACCGGGTTGGTCGAACTGGTAGAGCTGGCAAGAAGGGATGTGCGGTGACATTCATATCAGAGGACGATGCTAAATATGCGCCAGACCTTGTGAAGGCACTGGAACTGTCGGAGCAAGTTGTGCCAGATGATTTGAAAGCTCTTGCAGATGGTTTCATGGCAAAGGTGAATCAAGGGCTCGAGCAGGCGCATGGAACTGGTTATGGCGGGAGTGGATTCAAGTTTAATGAAGAGGAAGATGAGAAGAGGATGGCGGCTAAGAAAGCACAGGCAAAGGAGTACGGTTTCGAGGAAGACAAGTCTGATTCGGAAGATGAGGATGAAGGGATTCGAAAGACGGGGAATAACGATCTCGGCCAGCTTCAGGCTGCTCGTGCTCAGCAGATGGCAGCCCTTGCAGTTGCTTCTGTCCCGCCACCTGCCCAGCTACTATCTGCCGGCGGTGTTCCTGCTGCAGCAGCAGATGGGATGGCGAGAGCACAGGCGTTGGCTGCTGCCAGGAACTTGCAGCAGAACCTGTTGAAGCTGCAAGCTGATGCTTTGCCCGAGCATTACGAGGCTGAGCTGGAGATCAACGATTTCCCACAGAACGCTCGGTGGAAGGTGACCCACAAGGAGACTTTGGGTCCGATTTCAGAGTGGACCGGAGCTGCCATCACCACCAGAGGGCAGTACTTCGGACAGGGGCGGGTACCAGGTCCTGGAGAACGGAAGCTGTACTTGTTCATCGAAGGCCCGAACGAGGTGTCAGTGAAGAGAGCCAAGGCAGACTTGAAGCGCGTCCTGGAAGAGATCACGAGCCAGGGATTCTCTGTTCCTGGTGGCGCTCAAACTGGCAGATACTCGGTCGTCTAAAGCTTCTGTGAGTCTAGTATTAGATAGATTACACAGTACACGCTATTTTTAGTTGGGAATCCAATACTTGGTCTGAACGTGTTGAAATTTTGTCAGTGCAGGGCCCTGCCTTGAGAACCATCTCTGCAGAAATTCCATGAGCTGCCGCCATGTTTAGTTGAGTGAGTCTGTGATTTTTGCAGAAGCAGTAGGAGAAAGGGCTATAGATTGGGAATCCCATGTTCAAACTCCAAACCGTTTATTCTTCCCCTATTCTGATTTTGTAATGGCCGATAGGGTTACGGCTCTGAAATCTTTATACCAACTTGTTGGAGATTACTGCTTCTTACGTGTATCACAAGGATCAGATTATTGTGTTATAATATGGTTTCTCGCGGTTTTATATGGTCATATGGTTCACTTCGTGGCAAGTCATTTCACATTAGGTAATCTTTTCCTCAGGTCCTTTCATCGCCATTGCAGATCTAATCAAGAACCCAGTTAGATACCAGGATGCAACGTATGGTGAACATGGACGATGATTCCTCGTATTTGCTAAACTATCAACAACGTGATTACTTTCACGGTGAACATGAAGATAAAATTCGACGAGGTATGCTGCCGGCCGGAATGATCTCATCCTCTCGTCGGCGGCAGAAAGTAAAATATGACCGGAAAGCCGCCTATGAGGTCCACTAGCTGCAAATGCTCTCTAGCTAATCAACTTTCACAAGAATCATAGATGTATGATTGGGAGATGAGAGGCAAATTATTGGCAAGACTAGATTTTAAATGGATGGCAAATAATTAGACATATTTGACTAATTATTAATCACCTTCCTCTCTAGCTAATCAATATCTTGTGTGCTTGCTCTCACGCATCATATTGGCCAGAGTGGATCAACATCTTTTTCATGACCTGACCATGTGGCCTTCCTTTGCATGTCAAAGAAGACTCTCAAACTCAATAGATGGGAAGTTGGTGAAAGTAAATATAGTTCAGGATCTTTTTCAAGTGAGCAAAATCCTAGAGCTCGAAGGGGATCATCGGACGAGGGTGAACTGTGGTTATCAGAACGATCAATCACATGTTGGTAGGTAGCAGTGCTTCAAAGCGCTTTTCGGTAGGTTGGTGGCAAGTTCTTCGAGCCAAGCTGGATTAGGTGTATGGGAGTTACGGTTACTGGATATCCAATTAGATACCTTGTTAGTCAGCTGGTTTAACTTTTTTAGCTGCACGAAACAACTGAAACGACAGGTAAACAACGGATTCAACACAAAATACTCTACCACTAACTTTTCGGTACCGTTTTATCGTTCTTGGTCACACATACAAATCCAAGTTCCCCGTGAAAGTTGAAACCTTTGCTTAATTAGTAATTACTAGGATGAGTTCATACTACATCACACATGCAAATCCAAATGAAACTCGCTTAACTGCCTTGCTCCTTTCCATCGACGATAGCATATATAGCATTCTCCAGGGTGATCTTACGGGGTAGTCAAAATTCCAACCGGTATTGTTAATGGTACCTACAACTGGCCACAAAGTTTCAAGTCAAAGGAGGATATATAGTAACATAGAACAGAAAAAGGAATGAGCAAGTAGGTTGCAGAATCGTTCAAGGCGAAACAGTGGATTGAATAATTTCACATTCAACAAGCATAGTTCTAACTTAGTGGAAAGCAATCAGATGATTCCCCCCCAAAGGTTAGCAAAGGCCGCCGCGGCTGCTTTACCCTCGCCCGGATGGTGTTTTCAACCGACGGAGTCTCCACCATTTCGTTTCCGGCGGCGAAACTGAACTGAGCTCTAATCGGCCAAATGGCGGGAGACTCCGGGAAAGCGGTTTACTGTTGGCTAGTTCTAGCTGGGCTTCCTGGAACCCGGCTTGTAAAGAAACTGCCACGATGGGGAATTTGGACTCGGCCCACTACCTGGCCCATAAGCCCAGGCAGGTCCCGTAATTGTAGAGAGAGAAAGAGAGAACTTAGGACACCACCAAACCGAACCCAACTCCCTCGACCCAACAACGACACCGACGCCTCTCCCTCTCTCTCTCTCTCTCTCTCTCTCTCTCCTAGCAAATTCCACGAACCCAGAGAAACAAAAATTCAAAATTGGAAAAAGGGAAGAAAAACAAGGATCCGTCATTTTACCAGCGGAGCAATTACGCGCTCCCTCCTCCCTCTCTCTCGTTGTCACTCTAGCAGCCAGGTCACGGCTCCTTCTTCCGCCTTTCCGCTGCGGAAATCGATCGGCCTCGTCGTGGTCTTCTCCTCCACCGTCCATCAGATCTCCGGCCTGATTCCGATTTCCACAAGCCGCTCATTCCTTCTAACTTCTGATTCAGGTTCGGCTCTCTCTCTCTATCCCTCGCTCTGTTTTTACATTTCGAAAGATCTGGCGCCGTTGGAATTTTCCAATTCCGCGTGATCCGATCTCCGAGTGTCCTGTTGAAAGTTCTAGCTCAGCTGTGTCCTGAATTTCTGTGGGAATATGCTCTTTTGGTCTCTCTTGGTGATCGGAGATTGATGTCTGCGTTGCGTATTTTTTTTTTATTCGGATGCGATGGAAGCTTAGCTTGTTTTTGGTTTTGAGGAGTGATGCGTGGAGAGGAATCATCTGGCGAGGTGCCAGCGATTGTTAGTCGTTAGATGCTCGTTGAGATTCTTTGCGTTTGCTGTGGTGTGCGAATATGGAATTGGATCTTGTCGTGCTTCTTTATGTTGCTGGTTGAAATTTCCTAGTGATTGGATCCGCGTTATGTAGAATTGGGGAGATTTTTTTATTGAATGCATGATGCATTGTTTGAAAATGGATATGGCTATGTGTTCCCTGGTAGTTGGATTCAGTTTTCTGCTGCTGTTCTAAAGCTGAATGTAAAGTTGAGCTGATTGTGATATTGGTATCCTGTGTTGACGTGTATTTCGTTTTGGATCGTTGGTTCTCCATTTTCTTTTCAGCGAGTAGCTAAGTCTTAAGCGTAGTTGCTAATGGACAAATTTTTTTTATCTGTGTCACAGGCTTACAGCAAGTCTTGTAATGAAGAAGGTCTTCGGCCAGACTGTTAGAGACTTGTAAGTGACTTTTTCATTCGGAATCTACAGTGGTAAATGTTTTTGTATTAAACTGTCACTGTATTCTGGTGAAAGTTTGCCCGGGGAAAGTTTCTAGAACCATTTCTTTGAGAAATATGTTTGTTGGACATGGCCGATGCGCTTGCTATTAGTTTAGGCTTGTTTAGATCTTCTCGGTAGAAATTATTCTTTCTATTTGTAGACGATTCAGCATTAAAATTTATAAATACTCTGTATATGGTATGTTATTTAATGGATTTTCATTGTTTCTTTCCTTGTGCCTGTAGAAAGAGAGAGGTGAACAAGAAAGTGCTTAAAGTTCCTGGTATAGAACAGAAGGTAGGTCTCAAAGTTCCTTTAAAGTTGGTATGAGATAATGATTGTGACAAAGGCATATTCGTTATTTTCATCTTGAATATCAAAACCTTGGAAGCTAACTTTGAAGCTTTGGCTCTCTATCTGGAATTATTTGTTGCTTTTGTCCCTGCAACTGTCTTCCAGATACTTTACATGCATAAATTTGCTACATGATTTTCTGTTTACCTACTGAATGGAATGCTCATTATCAAATGTTTAGGTTCTTGATGCTACCAGCAATGAGCCCTGGGGTCCTCATGGAACACTTCTTGCAGAGATCGCTCAAGCAACCAGAAACTAGTAAGATTTCCTACTTTCTTACTGTTGTTGCTGCAGATTAGATACTTAATTTCAGGGACTGATGTTTAAACTATCTGTGCAGCCATGAGTACCAGATGATTATGTCAGTGATCTGGAAACGAATCAATGATACAGGCAAGAACTGGCGACATGTCTACAAGGTACGCAATGTTTTAGTGAATTTTGTGTGGTCATCATGTGCTCAATGCTATTTGTCTTTGCAAAATAAAATTGGTGTGCACATCCATATACTAGTTGGTTATTGATCTTGGGTTCATGCTGCTTCTTTTTAATGAAAAGATTAATGCTCAATTATGTTTGTTTGCTCTGTTTGTCTTATACTTAAATGCTACAAGAAGTTCTTGGTGCCTATTGCTACTTGATCTTGTTGGTAGATGTCCTCAGTACTGTTGTAGAATTTCTACTTACCACACGTCTCTGATGTATTTTATACTGCATTGCAACAAATTGCTAATAAATCCCGTGATGGATTTCAGGGGTTGACTGTTTTGGAGTATCTTGTGGCTCATGGGTCAGAACGAGTCATAGATGACATAAAAGAACATGCTTATCAGATATCGGTGAAGCTCCAATTTTCTTAATCTTATTGTTCCAATCTCGGAGTTCCTTGATACTACTGTTGCAACTCTTTAGGGTTGCGGCACATTACCCTTGTGGTGCCTAACCAGCTACTTTTTCCATCCATGTCAGACATTGTCCGACTTTCAGTATATTGATTCCAGTGGAAGGGACCAGGGCAGCAATGTCAGAAAGAAATCTCAAAATCTTGTGGTTCTGGTAAATGATAAAGAAAGGATTATTGAAGTCAGGCAGAAAGCTGCTGCAAACAGGGAAAGGTGGGTTAGCTTTTGGAGAAAAGTTTGTATTCTATTAATAAGTTGTTTTCTGTATAAAAATCTGAGAAGTTACTTCAATTTGTTATCTTAATTCTAATAATGTAAATAACAGCAGAGTTGGAATTTAGCAGTCAGATCGTGACCTCACTATATATTACTAATTGTTGATCTCTGGAGTTCTGTTTATATGACAGGTTCCGCAGCCCATCGGCTGGTGGTATGTACAGGCCTGGTTCTCATTCCAGTGGTGGATATGGCGAACGGCATGATGATGATCGATATGAGGGTCGGTATGGAAGCAGGGATGAAGAGCGGAATGGATATGGTAGAGAAAATAGTAGGGATGATGACCGATATAGTAGATATGATCGAGATGGAAACAGAGACGAAGAACGCTACGGTCGCGATGGATACAGGGATGACGATTATAGAGGAAGGAGTCGTAGCAATGATGGCTATGGTTCGAGAGGCAGGAGTTCTGATAGAGATAGAGACCGTGGTTATGATGACGATGGCCAATACTCATCTCGGTATTTTTGCAATTTCCTTTATCAAGCTACTGGTACCTTTGGGTGTGGCGACACCAAATTTTTGTTTCAATATCTTTAGCTAGGCAAATAGGAGTTAATATATTCACGTTCACACTTCATCATTTCGGGTTTCAGTTGCTGAAGTATTTTCCTGTGATGTTAGTGTTTCTAAATGTTGTGTTACAATTGAGTCAATACTGAATTTGTTTTCTACAGTGTTTCTCAAGATGCTTAGGATAAACATATTGTTTTTGATTCATGATTGTGCACTCTTCAAATTAAACCCTCTAAAACAAGGCTTTTCAACGAAACTTAGGTACTATAAGCGAGCTGCTGGACATGTATTTATATTTTATGGCTGCTTTGTCCACATCTTTGGCCTTAGTTCTGTAATGAAAGCATTGTTCACTGTGTATCGTTGAGGTGAGATGGTTGATTGCTCCCTTGTTTCCCTGCAGTGGTGGTGTGAGAGGTGATGATCAATCTCAGGATGGGAGGTAACTGGGATCAGATATGTTCTTTAAATTATTTGCTCGTAAGTGACTAGTATATGATTTTTTTATTTCTTTCAACTTTTGTAGGCCCCTCGAGAGAAAATTTTCCGAGCAAAATATTGGTGCACCCCCTAGTTATGAAGAAGCCGTGAATGATGCCCGTAGCCCTACGCACAATGATAAGTAATTTGCTTCGCCGATAGCAACCTCTCAGCTTCTGCTTTTCTGAATGTTTCTAACTTGATTAACTTTATTTGATTTTCATCAAAGGAATGGAGAAAGTTCAGCACAATCTGGCCCTGCAGCTTCATCGCCTTCGGCTCCTCAATCTTCTTCTCCGCTTGGTCCTCAAGCTTCTCAATCTGCAAGCAATAATGCCATCCCAGAAACCGCTGGTGTCACCTCATCTGCGTCTCCAGCCAATCAGGAAGTGGCGGTAGACGAGTTTGATCCCCGTGGTTCTTTTGCAGGTAACATGATGCCATTTATACTTATGAATGCTTAAGTTTCACTTGGATCTATCTTGGAGTGTAGCCATTGGTGTTTGTTTCAATTCAAGTTCAGAGCTGATGGTTTGATGTTCTTGTTCTACAGCCTTCCCAACTGCTAACGCAATTCCAGCTGCCTCAACTGCTCCTACAACCGTAAACAATGCTGAAATGGATTTGCTTGGTTCTCTCTCTGAATCATTTGGTCCATTGGCAATTGTTCCAGCTTCTTCTCCAACTAATACTACCTCTGAAGCTGTCGTCCAGCCAAGTTTCTCAGGACCCTCATTTACTTCAGCACAACCACCAGTTTCTTTTGATAATCAGGTAAGTTTATTATCTCTAAGCATATTGTTCTCTGGTGTCCAGTGGTGAAATACATAGATCAAATCGAGTATCATGATTTGTAGTGGATCTTTGCTCAACTTTGTTTTCCATATCTCAAAATATGTGTATTCAGTTTGACTGTTACTGGTTTAAATATTGGAATGGAAAAATATTCTTCTCTTTCAGGGGTTTGATGATCCATTTGGGGAGACTCCCTTCAAGGCTGTTCCTTCTTCAGATCTCATCCCAGAACAACAGCAGCCTTCAGTTTCTGCTGCGCCATTCCAGAATTCTGTGAACCCATATGCTGAACTGCCACATGCATCTGTTTCCAACGCAGAAATGGAGAACTCACCCTTTGGGGATGCAGCCTCTAGCTTGACTTATTCAGCACCCAATTTTCAGCCTGCATCAACAAACTCTCAGTTTTTGCCTCAAGAACTGTCCTCAAGTCTAGAAACCGATATACTCGCTGATATCCTCCCAGCTTCTGGTCCATCTGCTGCCCCACAACAGGCCGGATTTCCAGCTCAAACCTTGCAAGCCTCATTCCCGGCTGGGAATGGTTATGGAAACTTCAATTCACAAACAGGACCCACTGTCCCAGCTTCTGGTCCATCCGCTGCCCCGCAACAGGCCGGATTTCCATCTCAAACCATGCAAGCCTCATTCCCGGCTGGGAATGGTTATGGAAACTTCAATTCACAAACAGGACCTACAGTCCCAGCTGCTCCAAATATGGCCCCTACAAGTTCACAGTTCGGTGGCGGACATTTTCTGCCGCAGGGAGGTTCCATGCATCCCATTGCTCAGAACATGGGACAGCCTACACAGTTCAACAATGGGAACTTACTTCCACAGCCAGGGTACGGGGGGGCACCTCAACAAATGCCTGCTGGACCCTCTGGACAGCTAAATAATGGAAACATGTTCCATAACCCAAACACTACCAGCTCAATGCCTTCACAAGTCCCTTCTTTTACTCCCTCTGCTCATCAGAACACAGATGTCTTAGGTGGTTTGTTTGGTCAAGGTTCAAGCACTCCAGTGCCTCCCCAGCCCGTTGGTCAGACTTTGGCTTCTCAGCCCAGTCTCTCTTCTTCCACTGGGGCCCTTGTTCCTGTTCAGCAACCATCCAAGGACAAATTCGAAACCAAATCCACAGTTTGGGCAGATACGCTCAACAGAGGGCTCGTCAACTTGAACATATCAGGATGTAAGTACTTGTATTTTATTTGAAAATATATACTCGGTTTGTTAGTTTTAGTAGAGTGATGAAAATTGTGTTTGGGAAGGGTTAGAAAGGTAGTGCATTGATGGTATATCAAATATTTGTAGTTATCGAAAAGTAATTGAAGAACGATAGATAGGGTCCATCGTGAATGCTTATGTGTCTATAGTGGGGGTTTTCATCTTTAGCTGGAGACAATTCAATGGTGCGTTTTTCATGGTGCAGCTAAGATCAATCCGTTGTCGGACATAGGAATCGACTTCGATGCAATTAATCGCAAGGAGAAGAGAATGGAGAAACAACCAGCCACTACTGCAGTTGCGTCTACTATTACCATGGGGAAAGCCATGGGGTCTGGTTCTGGAGTCGGCCGTGCTGCAGCTACTGGTCTGAGGCCACCCTCTAACCAGATAATGGCTCCCGGTGGGGGCATGGGTATGGGAATGGGTGGAGGTCCTGGTTTTGGTATGGGTGGCGCTCCAGGCATGGGTATGGGTGCCGGCCCTGGGCCGGGTATGGGTATGGGAGGTGGCCCTCGTCCGGGCTTGGGTATGGTTGGAGGTCCAGGTTCGGGCATGGGCATGGGAGGCTACGGAGCGATGCCTCAGCAGCCCATGGGAATGGGAATTGGTGGGATGGGAATGAACATGGGGATGAATATGGGAATGGGGCAGGGTCCAGCTATGCAGCAGCCTCAACATGGATCACCGATGATGCCTGGTGGATATAACAATATAATGGGTGCAGGTGGTTACCCTCAACAGCCCTACGGCGGAAGAGGCTACCAGTGACGAGACATTCAAGATGGCTCCCCCGCCGTCTTTGCCAGATCCCATAGCCATTGTACAAGACCTCGAGGTATGAATGCCCATTCGTAGTTCAGAATCTCAAACCAATGTAGAGAGAGGTCTTAAGAAGTGCATGCTCGTCCCCTGTATGCAGTACGCGTGTTTTTGACTGACGGATGGTTGGCTCTCTCGCGAGAGATTCATGCAATGTGCTTGTTTCTTATACGTTTTCTGTGTATTCATTTATCCCCCCATTCTATTTGCTTACCTCTTTTTTTTTATCATTCATTGTTATTTGGGGTTGGGAAGAGAGTTGAAGAAGTACTGTTGAATTTGGGTTTTTTTAGACGAGTCTCTGCAGCTTATAATATGCCTCCTCGCCAAACGAACAAGCTACCGAAGGTTTTGTAGCCATATCCATCTGTACTTTATTTGTCGGGTCGGTTTCATTTTTTATTCCCATGTAACTGAGGTTCATCTATACTTTTTTGGCTCCTGGTTTTTTACTGAATGAGAACAATAAATCATATGATAGTTTGTTGATCTGCTTCAATCGTTCCACCTCGATTCACTCGTTATTCGTGTTCGCCTGTAATATCGATTTGCTGCTGATTGTACCCTTTGGGATAGCATATTCAAGGTGCAAAAGGTACCCAACCTTGTAGCTAAATAGATATTTTGGTTTCTGGACTCTGAAAGCATTACTCCTTCGCTCTCTTTGGTTTGTTTCAGACACGATGATTTGTCGATCCTACAACCTGATCTTGTATGATCTACATCTCCAAAATTCAGTAACGCTGCAATTACCGCTAGTTAATTTTGTTGCGACAACATCGTGGCAATGGACAGTCGTTCATTTGGTCCTAGAAACTTAAATTCTGTACCTTCAATTTAGCAACCCTACAAATTTTATTGTGAAAGCAGTGAGCAACCATTCATGTCGCGAGAATCACAATCTGATCATCTGGATCAGCTTCCGAGACCATTACAAGTCTGCCTCAGACGGTAACTAGGCTGTGGTTAAATTCATATTATCCCGACCATGGGTTTCGTTTCACTGATGCCTCTGCATATCTGCTTCGCTGTCGGATCCTTGTTCTCATAATAGTTTCCTGATGCACAAACACAGCCATATAGAGCAGTATTAGCAATACTCTTCCCAATTCTTAGCCTGGAACAGACAACATAGCTTTATAACTGTGGTCTCTAAATACTATGCTGGTAGTAATTTTTAACACCATCAACAACTCTACCTGTGCGCCAACGCTTAGGATTAGGTACTAGTAATAGATCTCTTAGCTAACCAATCAAATAAATTAGTCTACCCGATGCATAGCGAGAACATGCAGATCTCTTTCACACCATTCAACAGGATGAAGTAGGTCGAGAGCACAATCATAATTCATATGTAGTTCGGTTATGGTAATTCGTATAATTTTATATTGGAAGATCTTAGATGAGTGTTTTTGCTCTAACCTGGTAGCAAGGAGAGGCCTTTCCCTGTAGCTTCGATAAAGGCCGGCAGAATTAAGAGTTTCATTCTAGGAAGACTTGAATTCTGTCTCCTGCTGTGTCATTGAAATCCAACAGCAGCTTGCCTCCTGCTTCCCCTGACGCCTGATCCAACAGTTCTTTGATGTTGACACCTCCCAGAGCTGTTCCACAAGAGACAACAACATGACTCATCTATTAATTCAATGACATTACGATTTATGTGTTCGCTTAAAAAATGGACAGTGGAATATTTACCAGGCACTATGTTGGTTATCCCGTCTAAGAACCCAGCCTGCACAGCATGATTGACGAGTTATGTTTAGAACTTAAAATGATGCTACTAGCTAGCTTGCTGCTTCACAAGAAGAGGGAGGAAGAAACTGAGACTCACAGGGATTCTGACGTCAAGTTTTTCGAACCCATCTCTGCCTGTTATCTTGACTCTCAATGTCCGAGACCAGATTCCAGAAAAGGATCTAGAACCATCTGCACCATAGTTATTGTACACATCAGGAGTAATCACTTCCACAACAGGCTCTTGGGGACTTTCACTTCTTTGTTCTCTATCATCTTGAGCACTCCGTTGCATAGAATACACATTACTGCTCGCTGATGAACCTACAGTTTATAGGAGTGAGGAACTGAAAAACATACGGTATCCTCACATTGCAAGGGAAAGAAACAACCTAACACTCCACAATTAGTTACTTTTTTTAGCAAAAGCTGAAACAAGCGTACCTACTACTATCTGAGCAAATAATATCACTCAGCAGTCAGCAGGGTCAGCCATTTTCAGATAGTTTGTTATTTTGGCTGAACAAATAGGTAGCAAAGGTTGCATGGATCTATGTGATCTTGCATCTTGAAGGCAACTTCACAACATAATTTAGAGAAGTTTCTCTGAATCATAGAGTATACTAGTCACCCACCTGTCTGCCTAGAAATGCTGGTAGCATACCGCTTCTCCTCTTCATAGTAATCATTGAAACCTAAGGTTTCCTTTATTTCTTCGAATGATGGCATACTTCCAGGAGGAGGAATCCTGCCTCCTTTAATGGCAGAAAGAGCATCCTGCAGATGAGTTTAGGGAAACAATGTCAGTTAACTCCACAGATGATAAAAAATAATCCATACAATTTTACGGTATGCAGTTCATAACAAGGATCTCAGATGAGCTTCGAGACGGACATGAAAGCTCTAATCAAGTGAGAATATGACCTGCATTGCTTGAATAGAGACTCCAATCAAGGAAAGTGGATATGCCACAATCTTGTAGCCAATTTCCTCCAGCTCCAAGGGGTTGAGTATTGGAGTTTTACCACCTCCTTCAAGCATATTGGCCTGCAAGCAAGAGCGAATTCATCCCCGTCGTCATGTAGCTCAACATGGTATAAAGTACCATCAAGACACAAGACTTGAACGCTGTTACCATTTTCGAAACTAGGGGAGATATTTCACAGAATGCTCTCATTTCTTCTCTTGAAGCCAATGCATCAATGAAAAGGACATCTGCTCCAGCTTCAGCAAAAGCTCTACACCTCCAGAGTGATTCATCAAAGGACACTGCTTGGCGAGAATCGGTGCGCGCAACAATCACAATGTCCGAACCTGACTCTTGCCGGGCATCCACAGCTGCTTTTATCCTCATTACTGCCTCTTCCCTTGACACCACTTTCCTACCACGGGTATGACCACAAGCTTTTGGAGACACCTTCCAGTTTTAAGAAAAACATATCAAGTGACATCCAAACAACATCAAATTTGAAGCTTTTAAGTAACTAGCCAACTAATGAAGCTATAAGAAGGCAAAACCTGGTCTTCAAGAATGATTCCAGCAAAACCAGCTCTAATGTATCCTTTCACCGTCCTCTTAACATTCATGGCATTCCCATATCCATTATCACCATCTCCAATCACAGGAATCGACACAGCTTGAGTGATTTGCTGCCCTTGATCTACCATTTCTCCATACGAGATGAACCCAGTATCAGGCATTCCCAATCTAGCAGCTGATATCGAAAACCCTGCCAGAGCAACCAAATCCAAGTCACCATGATCAAAACCCAGTTCACATTCATCAACCAACAGAAATCAGAAATCAGAAATCAAACCAAGACCCACCACTGGTAAAGCAGAAGGGGAACCCAGCTTTCTCCACGAGCTTAGCACTCAGAGCATCGAAACAGGCGGGACCTTGGTGGGTCCCAGGCGAGTCTAGGATCAACCGGAGTTTCTTAACCGGGTCGGCGGCAGAGCAGCTGATTCCACTGGTGGCGCGTGATAGGTTACCTCTGGGGGGGAATTTGTAGGCGCCGCGGGGTTTTTGGAGGAAGACATTGTTGTTGTTATTGGGGAGGAGGTAAAGGGAGGTTTGAGTCCTGAAGGTGGATGGCGAAGAAGAAGAAGAAGAAGAAGAAGAAGGGAGCGATAAGGAGAAGGCGGGCTGCGATGATTGTGATGAGTGGAAGCTTGGAGTTTGGGAGAAGGAAGATTGGAGGGAAGGAAATGCTGCGGAGTTCATTGTTGCAGAGTGTTAATAGCGGAGACTGAGAACTGACGACTGAGTGTAGGTAGGGAAGGGAAGTAGTTGGGCTTCAAACTTGGGTGACAAAATGCTATGGCTAAGGTTGAATGGTCCTAAAGTTTTAGTGACCATTGTTGTAATTGATCAACACACTGTCACTAAGAGGTAAAATTAGTCGTCGAGGTAAAAGTAGAAATTGGGCACAGTTTCCCTCTGCTGCAGAGACAGAGCAGTTCCATCTCCCTAGCTTCCACCATGTGAGAGAGAGCGAGGTTGGTAAAATATGTCTTTGTTTTCTAGCCCACCAGCCTTTCCCACTGACCAGAAAACCCCAAAAGCTCGATCACTATTCACTACCCAAATGAAACAAAACAACTTTGTTCTGACAAGTCGATTTTGATGGCTCGATCGAAGTCGGAACCAAATACAAACGTATAGAGCATCTAATTCGTCATATTCTGCGCATCTTAGTTACAACTCCTCACCTCCACAGCTTCCCCACCTTCACAGACTCCTCTCTTCTGTAAGAGCTTCGAAAAAGTCTCGAGCTTTTTCTTCCACGTCCTCGGACTTTTCATCAGCTATGAGTACTGCTGCTGCTGCGTTTGCTGCCTTCTCCTTCGGTAATCACCACTCCCCCGAAACCAAAGCTCTCGTCTTTTCAGTTTTATTGTTCCGGTCTCTGGGGTGTTTCTGCGATGCAATGTTGTGATCTTGATTGGACGACTCGGGGTTTTGTTTGCATGCTCTGGAGTGATTCGTTGTTGTTAGATGTATGGATACAGTTCAAGAATTTGACTTTAATGTGGAGTTTGTTTGCGTACTCTGGGGAAATATATCGGTTCAATTGGAAGTTTCACTTTTGGATTCCATAACTGATTGGGAGACTCTACTTAGTGAAATTGTATGAATCCTTAGAATATGATCTGTGAAGAGTTAAGAATGCAAGAGAAATTGACATCAATTTTTTTCTTCAGGTCCTTCCCAGTGTCAATTATGCCAAGCTGATGGGTCTTCCTGCTCAACATCAAATGGGATCACGAGTGGTTGGATGAAAAACACTATTGACACTAGTACTGATGTTCTCAGCTCAAGGTTGTTGGAAGAAAGCGTAATCTACTTCATGTCTTACTGTTCGATGATATGTTCTATTTGTCACCTTGCTGATAAAAGATATCATGCATCACTTAATAAAAAGAGTTCCTTTCAATTTCAAGTTTCAGGTCTGGAATTCCGATCTCGGGATCAGGATCATTATTCCCTTGGTCAAGCAGAGGACGTGATCTGGGACATTTGAAAGTGTCGGTTGCTGCTGATTATTCTGATTCATCATTTCCCGACTCGCCTAGTTATACAAGTGCAAGAGGGTATCATCCTCTGGAAGAAGTGATGGTCAGTAGAAGGAGACCAGAACCTCAGCTGACACCAGCTGAGATTGCAAGAACAACTGTCGAGGTTTGTGCATGATTAACTTTTAGTGAACATGAAAATTAAATGGCGCAGAAACTCATGAGTTTATTTTGATAGGCTAACAGCAGCGCTCTGGTGGTCTTTCCTGGAATAGTACACCGTGAACCACATGAAGAAATCACATGGGCGGAGTTACAGTATGTTGTTGATGATTATGGAGGTCTGTTACTTGTCAGACTTTGCATTCTTTTAGTTCTACTTGCATCTAGGTTTGACATGGTCATCTTAATTACTCCAACTTCTGTTTCCTTCAGATATATATTTTGAGATTTTTGATGATAAGAACGTCTTGCGAGATCGTCAAGCTATTAATCCTGTGGTGAGCTTGTGTATTTGAAACATACCTATAGAGTTTCTATTTCTCATCTCTAGTATAAATGAAAAAGAGGTAAATCGCAAACAGACCTATATAAGACATGTCTGTAAAATAAAAACTTTTCACCCCTTACTTATCAGGAGAAAACATCACCAGACATGAAAAAACACCTAGAAAGATTTGAATAATTTTATTTTCGCTAGTTAGTAATATGCTGCTAAATTGGTACTTCTCACTATCAACTAACAGTAGTGTGGTTTTCCGTGGGAAACATATAGAATGCTTTTATTGGGATGGACGTCCCGATATATGAGAATAGAAGAGTTGCGAGCGATTATGACATATTCAGTGTCAGAGATGCAGACGATATACCCATGGACAATGACTTTTTTCCGGTGAAAGCTTGCTTCTCTTGCTTGCAGACTGATTTCTGTTTTCTTTATTAGTTTATTTTGGGTTCTGAATACTGAGAGGTCAAATGAACTGGAAACAGATCATGGATTACAAAGCCTCTGATGTTCCAGTTGACTGGGGGATGCCAGACACTTGTACTTGGGTTCATCCAATTCATTTTGCCAAGTGCTTATCAAAGGTGATAAAAAAAACATGGTTTTATGTACGTGGAATGTACCAAAATATGGTATCTGCACCGGCTGTTACAATTCAACCTTCCATGGGATGGGAGAACTGCATAATTTTTTTAAGCTTTTGGCTCGTAGAATTAATGTGGGTGTTCTTTTTCTATTAGGCTATTGATACCGAGCATGGTATAAAAAAGGGTTATCCATCAAATGGTGTTTCTATTGTTGGGTGCCTCAGATCTGCTTTTGATGATGAGGAAGCATACTTCAGATCAGTATGTTATTCTGAAGATAGCGATGGCTACAGTTCAGATTCCAGAGGTATTAAATTCAAGTCAATAGTACAATTTGCTTTACTTGGGAGTGCTGATTTTTAAAATTGACTCGGTTTCATCTGTCAACAGAACAGTCTTTGCATTGAGTTGTTTGTTTGAATTTCCAGATGATGGTTATTAAAACTGTACAACTTTTTTCAGGATGTTTGTCCTTTTTGTTTTCTTAGATGGGGAGATCCCGAATTTAAGCTCCAAAAAGGACGTGTCTAGAGCCTCAACTATTTATCGGTTCGAGATCATCAGTATAGAGATTTTTTCTGTATATGGTACTCAGGTATGCACGTCAATATAACCAAAGCCATATTTGTGGGACATTTATATAGAATGGCAACTCTCTTAATAGCTTGCTAATTAGTGAAGCTTGGAAATGGACTTCTCTTATTTCTTATGATGGAGTAATATTTTAGTGCTGGTTTCTTATCAACATTGCAGAAACCAATTGGATTTTCGGAATTTCAAAATGCCGAGGCTGATGTCCTTCTAAACTGTGTGTCAACAATCCTAGAACGCCTCGATGATAGAGGAATTGACCTTGATTCTGCTCTTAAAGCTCTTTGCAAGAAAAAAGGCATTGATAGCGAGGTAATTTAGTTTGCCTGCTGGAGTCGAACGCGGGTTGTTATGATTTGGAATCTATGGAAGTGCCTGAATGGATACGTCGTTCCTTGTATCTAAGCGTGAGAACTATCATAGACACTTTACTGAATGGGTCTTCGAGTGCACTTGCTTCAGATATCCCTATTTTTATTTCCTGATTGCAACATCCTCGGGAATTTTTCTCCTAAGCGAGATCGTTGGTTTCATTTCATTGCACCTGATACATATATTCTTATGTTAACTTCTTGCTTCTACTTTTATGAAATATGCAAGTATTTTTTTGAAATTTGTGTAGGAGGCTCATTTGATTGGAGTTGATAGCCTTGGCTTGGATGTTAGAATTTCCTCTGGAGTGGAAGTACGAACTCATCGTTTTCCCTTCAAAGTCCATGTAAGTTTATGTATGCTGCTATGTTAGTTTACTGAATCTAGATAATGTGCTGAAAGTAAATATATCGCAACAAATGTGCAATGTGCTATAATTCATGTGAATTCGGACTTGCAATTAGGATCATAGCGCCGCATGAATATGTATGCTGCTACTCTGCTGATGGTTCTAGTCGTGCTTTAATTTGCAGGCTAGATCAGAAGTTGCTGCAGAGAAACAGATTCACCAACTATTATTCCCACGGTCTCGTAGGAAGAAACGAAATCAAGGCGACAGGCTAAGGGACTCGAGATCACACTGATATCTCTCTGCTGTGCTCAGAACCTGCATATGACCCAATAAGAAATGACTAAGCTACATAAGCGCTTCTGTGGCCTTACCAGGAAAGAACCTAGGGAAGGATCTTGTTCGCAGCTGACTTACCCCTAACTCCTAGTTCTTTTCATTGTGGCCTGCTTGTATTGATGAGGATCATTTCTTATCGTGGTTGCTTTCTGTTTGATCTAGTAACCTTCTGTGTTAAATCTGATCAAGAACTTTGAGTTCAAATTCAAAAGAAAGCCCCAGGGGAGACTTATTGTATGTTGCACTGAATACTGAAGGTTGCTTGTAAGACTTGTTTTGAGCCTTCTAATAGTATACTGCTGCACGCAAAACAAAACTGCTGTTTCAAGTTTCCATTTCTGAAGCAACGATTCCGTGATTCATGAAACTTGAAAAGACACATGCGCCATAGAACCCCGAAAGTGATGTGGATTCGAGAGTCTAATTGAGAGCTAAAAGCAGCACAGAAAGCAAACTCTGTTTTCAAGTTTCCATTTTGCCATTTCTTAAGCAACAATTTCTGGACGGATCAACCTATACAATCAACAATAATGATAACAATAGTAACCAGGAGGACTCTAAAGTTTTCTATTGCCATCCCATGCTCCTTACGGATGTTATGATTATTCTGGTCCTCCTTTTTCTTAACCTGGCATCTATTAGGAGTACTAAAATTGGCTTCTGTTCAGTTTCCAAGACCATGCCTTCAAAATTTTCAGAATTTCTTTCCAAATACATCTTGCTCTGGATTCTTTCCCTTCCCTACCCAGAGAGGCACTATCCTACCCTGATTTTGAGCTACTCCCAGCCAGTAATCCCCTACCGCGGTTCGCAACAGCTCCAGCTTCCTCGTCGTGTTTGCTTCTTTCAGCGTTTTCGTCTGCTACGTCTGCAGATCGATCCTCGTCTGCCGCACCTCTGCAAAGAAGATCAAGCAGATGAGTCCGAATTTATAACAAACATGTCTGCAGTACAGATGGGGTTGAAATACCAACCAAACTCGCCTGTATGCATCACATTGGGGCATTGAGCTCATTAATGAACCAAACTCGTGCCATTACAATCACGAGTTCAGTGTCCAATGTGACACATATAGACAAGTTTTCAGTTACCAAACTGTTATTAACCCATCATCAACAGGTGTCAAGTTTGTAAAGTTACGTACCCAGAGTAAATGACCAACCCAACTACCACGGCACCAAATGCGATGAAGTAGATCCAATCAACCTGAACAGAAATGGCAATCAAGGGTTTGAACTCATAATTTCCTGATTGGATTAAACATCAGTTTGGGCATATTAGCTGGTGAGAGAACCTTCTGATGGTATGCAAAGATGCGAATCAAGACCGCCCACATGTCGGATGAAAGCAAAGACAGGTTGAGCATGGTAGAGCCTGTCATCTGCATATAATATAGCATTGCATAATATATAAACATGAAAGCATTTCAGCAAAGGCCGCGTAATAGTGTTTTTTGTCCATAAGGTACCAGAAGATCTGATCTTCCCACTATCTTAAAGATGTTGCAACGAGCAACAAGAGCTGGTCTGTTTTACAGAGAGGAAACAAAAGTGAATGCCATCAGTTGAACAGCTGTTCTTCGGTTTGATGGAAAGCAAGCATAAAAACCATTGACCTTATGCCTAAGAGTACTCTTTTTTTTAGTGTATATCTAGTACTTCGTTCTTTGGAAAGAGCTATGGTTTTATTATATAAGAAGAATGGATATGCAACTGCAAAACAATACCTTGAGCAAAACAGGAACGAATGAGTAGAACAGGAACATCGCCAATGCAAACCCAAAGAATGGAAAAGCCTGAAACCAAAGTTCAGTAGCACAATAGGTGAAATTCAATTTCAGAAAGGAAGAGCAGTTGAAGTCCCATGCTCTACAAAGTAAATTAAACATAGAGATATTTCCTTCCAATCACTTGCAAGCTCTATGTTTACATTTACTTTTTACTGAATGAGATTACTTGACTACATTTGTTATGATAAAGACTTCAAGATGACTCTAATCGATGAAGTTGATATAAAAGGCAATTCATCTGCATTCGGTAACTTTAAATTCTGCTAGAATATGATGGCTACATGTTTAGCTAGAATTTACCGAATGTATAGAACACTTACTGCGCCAGCTGACCAATGAATAGATTTTAACTCAGTACGCTCCAGAATGGCTCTGTAGAAATCATAAAGGAATAATAATAAAAAATGGACACAATAGCCGCGCTAAAAGAGTATTATTCACATAGGAATGAACCCAAGATTTAGCTAAGGATACATTTGGATAGCACTGATAATGGCACCGAAAAAACCAAGCAGTGCCATGAGTTCAACTCTGTCAGCATTCTTGACAAGGAACTCCTGCACAAGGAATAAAATATGGATTCAGATAAATAGCAGGCATGAAAAGAAAAGTAAAGCTTCTCATGATCGATAGTTAAGTATCGCCAGTCAGAACAAGCCAAGGAAGACAAAAGAATATAACATGAGAACTCAAAAATATTGAATTTCAGCAATAAACTTGGGAAATGGGGAAAAAGAACCATGCTTCACCAGCATAGTAATCAATAGTCTAAATAATTGATAAGCTGTTTACCACACAGGCGAACAGGCAAATGAGCTTACCTCACTGACATTACTGACAGCATAGAGCGTTGCCCCGGCAATGACCAGACCATCTCCTAGAAGAGGTTTGCTTCCTCCTGCAAAAATAGGGATATCTTAGAGAATTCTTCACTAATAAATTGTTACACTGTTGAGCGACAAAAGGAAGGATAAATTATCGGAACTCATTGTTAATACTTAAATCTGACAAGAATGCTTGTTGAAGGCCAAGAAAATGTAACCACATAAATCAAAACCTAAGCCAGTTAAAAAAAGAAACGGTCTAAGAGTGACTGAGCTTACCTGACCAATCACCAGAATGAACATCTGAAAAAACAACAGCCACAAGGCCAGCAACACAGACTACTACTCCAGTTATCTTCTTGAATCTGTACTTTGTCTTCAGAAAAATCCAGGTGAGAATCATAACAGATGGGATTGACCAACAATCCAGCAACATGACACTCGTAAGGGAGGTGTACTGATAGGCCTTCACCACTGTACAAACAGTGAGTTGTTGAGTTGTGATAAAAACCAATATCTAAGCTTCATAGCTTCCAGATTGCAGCAAAGGAAACACGATTTTTTTTCTTTTAAACACCAAAAGTTTCAAATAACACCTTATCAACTCTACATATACCTCACGGTTCTAACTTCTAAACAGGTTATGCCAAAAGGTACAAATATTTACAGGATAAAATTTTAAAGTTTGAGAAAAGCCACCATGTTCATACTAGCATGGACAAGAAAACTAGCGGTAAAGCCTACCAACATGAGACACTTACCAAGAAAATTGGCCTCCACATCTATCACTCCGAGAATTAGATAGTAATACCATTTAGCCTGCACAAATTTCCAAATAAGGTAAGTTAGCTGCCAAGTTTAAGACTTTAAACTACACGCAGCACTTACTTCCCATATTCTTATTGAAGTAGCAGTTTTATAAATGACTCATATTTTTTTTTGAAAGTTTATAAATGACTCATACAATTCACTTAAAATACCTCCTCATTAATTCGCCACATTCTTATCCTAACAACTTGGATTTCGATCATGAACTAACCATTACTCCATCCATCTCTATCATTCAACATCAACTAACTGATCAAATCATTAAAAGAAATCAACTAATTGATGTAGTTCCCTCTACTCAAGCTCCATGAATCCATGGAAGAAACAGGAGAAAACACAAGGTTAAGGCCATGAAACCAAACCACCTTAAGTTTTTCTCTCCGGTATAGCATAATACCGCCATAAACAATAGCTAATAATACATAATTCAGAAATGATTGAGAAGTTGGAGCATTGATCCCTGCAAAATAAGCAAAGGCCAGAAAATGGTAAGAAATGGTGACATGAACACTACATCAACTCCAATTATACAAAAAGACAGAAACTTGAAGCACTTTGCTTTGATCGTACAGTAAAAACAAACAAGAGGAACAAGTGAAAGAATAACAGATAAAAAGGACAAACCAGAAACCAATATACGATATGGAATTATGGAAAGAAAAGTATACAAGCTTCAAACACCAAAAGAGTTCAGTGAACAGGAAAAGATACACTACGGAAACAAAAACTTAAGCTAAACACGGGCTAACTGAGTGAACCTTTTCTGGCAAGTTCAGAGGAAGCGAAACCAGTAGAAGTAATCAGCAGCGAGAGAAACTGCCCCAACCCAAGACCCAACAACGTTTTTTTGGTACAGAACTCCTTCAATTTCGACATTCTTCTTCCCTCCTCCCTTCCTACACCAAACCCAGAAGAAACAGAAAGAAGTACAGCTACCCTGTTGAGGAATCAAGCAACCTCAAGTCCCAAAATTTCAGCTTTATCTTCCCTTCCAGCGGGAGAGGTCAGAGAATTGCGGGAACAGGGCAAACCCACCACCTCCGTCTATTGGTTTCTTCCTAAGAATTGAAGTTTGGTGGCGATTGACTGGTGATAGTGAGACTGAGAAAGAGAGTTGCTTTGGAAGTTCCCGAAGCCCATCAATAGAACAGTGCTGGAATTTGTCGCCAGACGTTGAATTTTGCGGAGAAAGTGGAAAAAGCAGAGGAAGGCTTTTTGACAAAGGCAATTCCAACGGCGGAGTGAGTGCTTCCGTTCGGAATTTTTGGGTTGTTCGCTCTTTTTCGTTCCAAGTCTCCAACACGATTACGGAAAGGAACAAAATGAGGTGAATTTAGCAATAATTGCAAACACTTGCTAAGGAAAGGGAATCATAATTGATGAGGCCGAATTTGTTGTTGTTGGAGAGCCCAGCTGCAGAAAGGAATCATAATCTTTGGCAACATTTGGAGGAGCTAATTGTGAGTAACGTGTCGGAGTGATCTATCTCATTGGACAAAAATTAGACTTCATATCATATGAAAATGATTAGTGAGATTTTTAGCTAATGTACGTCTTCAATAACTAGTTAATCCATTATTACTTTATTATGATATTTGCATGTTCTTCTAATCATATTCTAACAATTCCTACGGTTCTCAAGAGTGGGTTCCGGTGGGGGCTGTCAAGGATGTCTCCAACATCCAAAGCCCGGGTGCTGACTCTGGGCCGCGGAGTCGAAGCCCACAAGTTGCTGTCCCTAATAACCCAACAACGAGAACTATCTCTCCCAGCCCATCTGCGGCTGAGCTCAACCCAGTAGTAATTATGAAGGAGAATGCCAACCCGAACACATCCTCCCACTCAGTCAGGCAACACTTCGAGAAGAAAAATACCAGCGGTTCGCCTAGCCCTGGGAATAAGAATGATCGACATCTGAAAGTGGCAAAGAAGCCAATTCAGAACCCCACAGCGATGAAGCGCGAAGTAAACCAATTGGTAAAGGAACCCACCTTCCCTATCACCCAACGGGATATAGAGTCCTTCATCATCCAATCTAGGCTCAAAGCAGAGGAATTCGGAAAAGCTTTGAATACGGCTGTTAGCGATGTGAGAATGGAGGATAGTGCGGCCATTCCCGGAACCAAGAGGACTACCTCGGACCAGAGCACCCTGCCAACGCCGATCAGTGCGGACTAACAGGGAGCCCCTCACCGCCCTTCCTCTTGAATTTTTTTCCATGTTTAGTGTTTTTAGCTGGAATTGTCGTGGGGCCAAAAGCCCCAAGTTTCTTGCTGCTTTCAAAGATTATATGCTTGCTTCCAAACCCAATATCGTATTCATCGTCGAGCCAAAAATCAGTGGGAAAGAGGCTGATGCGGTGATTGCTAAAATGGGTTTCGATTGCTTTGAGAAAATTGATGCCGTCGGCTTCTCCGGGGGAATTTGGGTCCTCTGGAAGGCTGCGGAATTGTTGGTTACTGATGTAGACAGAGATCCTCAGTTCATTCACTTTCGTTGTTTAAACTTGCAGGATAACCACACTGTGGAAATGACGGCGATTTACGCGAAGCCGAACGACCACGACCGCCTCCCGCTTTGGGACTCCCTTCGACGTATTGAGCAGAACATGAGGAACCCATGGCTTCTTGTTGGGGACTTTAACTCCATCTGCAATCCTTCTGAACGGCAGGGGGGAGCGGGGTTCAATGCTCAGAGAACTTCTCATTTCAATGCTTGCATCAATGACTGCAGCTTGATCGATGTGGGGTATACAGGTCCGCGATTTACCTGGACTAATGGCAGACTTTTGCAACGCCTCGATCGCGCCCTTTGCAACAGGGATTGGATTGACCACTTCCCAGATACTTTGAATACGCACCTGCCCCGGATTCGTTCAGATCACCGTCCTATTCTCATCAGGAGTTCAATTGTTAATCGGACTCCCAACAAGGAAAGACCCTTCCGGTTTCTGGCGGCCTGGCTATCCCATGAAACGTTCCAAAGTACCATTGAAGCAGCCTGGAAACACGGTGGGGATTTTAATCTTTCCCTCCTTGATCTTCAAGTAGCCCTCCAAACCTGGAATAAAGATGTCTTCGGGAACATTTTCAAGAGGAAGAGATCCCTTTCAAAGATGCTGGTTAAATGGGAGCTTATCAACGATCACAAACCCAATCCAAGGACTATTCAAGAGGAAACCCGGGTAAGGGAAGAGCTAGAGCAAACCCTCTGGCAAGAGGAGCTTCTTTGGATGCAGAAATCTAGAGATAACTGGATCAACAACGGTGACAGCAACACGCCCTTCTTTCACACTTCCACTTTAGCCCGGAGGAGAAGGAACAAGATCCTCAGATTGCAAAATGATGATGGAGTATGGGTTGAAGATCAGGATATGTTGCAGAATATGGCCCGGGACTTTTATATCGAGCTATTCACTGCAGATACTGCTACAGTCCAGAATCTTGGCGCGGGATTTAAGACAGTGGATGCTTCCCGAATGAGCAGGCTGGCTTCTACTCCGTCTGTGGAAGAAATCCGCGGTATCATCAAGAACATGGGGAGCCTGAAATCCCCTGGTAAAGACGGGTTCCACGCTATATTCTACAAACGCTGCTGGAATACCATTCAGGTTGAGCTCCGGGAACTCATTGACAGCTGCTTCCATAATCCAGAGAAGATTAGATACTGTAATGCGACATTGCTCACCCTACTGCCTAAGGTGGACAGCCCGAGTAATATTACTCAATTTAGACCGATTGGTTTATGCAATGTCAGCTATAAGATCGTAGCGAAGTGTCTGGCTGATCGTCTCAAGCTGTTGATGGCGGATCTTGTTGATGAGAACCAAACCAGTTTTGTGCCTAAGCGACACATAACCAGCAATATAATCATCCTTCAGGAGATCATTCATTCCATGAATCAGAAGAAGGGGGAGAAGGGACTGATGGTGCTGAAAGTCGATCTGGCTAAGGCATATGACAGGATTAACTGGAGCTTCCTCAAATCTACTCTGGAGGCCGCTGGGTTTCCTCAGGATTTCATCTCTCTAGTGATGGCCTGTGTTACGACAGCTAGTTTCCAGGTGCTTTGGAATGGGAACTGCACGGAGGAGTTCAAACCCACGCGCGGACTTAGACAGGGATGTCCTCTTTCTCCTTACCTTTTTACTTTATGTATGGAGCGCTTAAATCATAATATTAAAAAGTGTGTGGAGGTTGGGGACTGGAAACAGATCTGCCTGTCTAAGAATGGACCACAGCTAACCCATCTGTTTTTTGCAGACGATCTGGTGCTGCTAGCAGAGGCAGATGTTAGACAAGCCAGGACTGTGATGGGCTGCCTTGACCAATTTTGCTCAGCTTCTGGAGAGAAAGCCAGCAAAGAGAAGTCAAGAGTGTATTTCTCGAGGAATACTAAGGATAGTACCAAGAACAGGTTAAGCAGCATAATGGGAATCCCTCGCACTACTAATCTCGGCAAATACTTGGGAGTACCTGTTATCCACGGTCGCATCACGAAGGAAACCTACAAGTATATCCTGGAGAATATTGACAGAAGGCTCGCGAACTGGAAAACGAAGAGTCTCTCGCTTGCTGGACGGGTCACCTTGGCTACCTCCGTCCTGAATGCTCTTCCTAACTACGTCATGCAGACCGCGGTCTTACCCTGTCATGTTTGTGATATAATTGACAAGAAGATTAGGGGATTTGTCTGGGGCAGGGAAAGTGGCAAGGCAAAAACCCATCTCGTCACCTGGGAGTCAATCTGCAAGCCTAAGGAGGAGGGTGGTCTCGGGCTTCGATCGGCCAGAGCTCTGAACCTTGCCTACCTGATGAAGCTTGGCTGGCAGTTTCTTAACAATGAAGAAGACCTTTGGGTTAGGGTGCTCCATGGCAAATATGTGGAACACAACGGTGATGGCAGTGTCTCTTTCAGGCAGAATAGTACCTCCAGACTCTGGAAAGGAATGAGGGAGGCCCTGCCCCTTGTGAAACAACATACCATCTGGGATATTAGAAACGGCAGGAGCGTCAGATTCTGGGATGATCAGTGGTTGGCAGCAGGACTGGCTTTGAAAGACTATATCACAAACAATGGGCATGACATTCAAAGGGACCTCTCAGTAGCTGAGATGGTGGATTCATCAGGTGAGTGGAAATGGCAAACTATTAGTAACCATCTTCCTGACCCAATGCTCTGTCTACTTGCAGGTACAGATGCGCCGGTCCATGAAGCAGGGGAGGATACCACTATATGGAGTCTGGAAAATGACGGACAGTTCCGGCTTGGCAGCGCGTACAGAGCGGCGGTGGACTGGCTGCAAGAAGATACAGAGAAGGAAGTTGATGTGAACAACCAACCAAAGTGGATGAATGTTTGGAAATGGCCCGGACCAAACCGCATACGGCACTTCCTGTGGCTGTCCCTTCATGATCGCCTCTTGACAAACTGTGAGAGGAAGCGGAGGAAGCTGTGCGATAGTGATGTGTGCGAGATCTGCAAATCAGAACCAGAAACGGCGGAGCACGTTATTCGAACATGCCCTATGGCTAGACAGGTATGGGATTCACTTGGTATTATTGAGACCTCCCTCACACATGGTTTAAACTTTGCAGGCTGGTTGGCGACAAATCTGAAACGCGAGGAGACAAAGTTGCTGTTCGGGGTGGCGGCTTGGTACCTGTGGAGAAGAAGAAACGAGCTAGTCTTTGAACACAAATTCCAGGAGGCTGGCGTCCTTGCACACCGGATTAAAGCCTGGACGTCAACAATAAAGAGAGCTCAGGACAACAATCAGGAACTTTCCACCGAGACGACGACTACTAAAAGCAGACAGGAGCTTTCTTGGCAGCCACCCCCCACCGGATGGATAGTAGTTAATTCGGATGGCTCCGTTCAGCAACATAACTCGGCGGCAGCAGCAGGGGGGTTGCTTCGCGACCACCTCGGCCGGTGTGTTGGTGCCTTCGTCGCGAATCTCGGCAGTTGCTCCATAACCAGGGCTGAGATCGTTGGAGCCCTCACAGGACTGCAGATCGCTTGGGATCAAGGCTACAGAAAAGTCCTTCTCAGGCTTGACTCTACTGCAGCTATGGACTTCTTAACTTCAAAGGATCATGATAGCAGGCGCTACCACAACCTCACCAGGAGATTTCAGGAGTTGTTGAAAAGAAATTGGGAGGTTCATATCTCTCATTCTTACCGCGAGTGCAACAAAGCGGCTGATTATTTGGCCAATAAGGCCCATGGCTTCAGGCTAGGCACTCATTGTTTTGATATTTCGGATTCGGGTCTTAATTTTTGGATCCTGTATGACACTTTGGGTATCACCCAAGATCGTTTAATTTAAGTACCAGGCAGGGGCGCCCTTTTAGCGTCCCATTTTCTACCAAAAAAAAAAAAATATTCTAACAATTCCATCCAGATTCATTGAGTATTGATAGTCAATCATATTTAACATGTACTTTATTGATAACCCATACATCACATTCGTATGAAATCTGTATTTAACTTCTCTACTTAGTTCAATCGAGTTAGAAAGAAGGGATAGTAGAAAGCAGGATGGAATGTGAAATGCTGTTGAAATGTGCTTGCTATGTGTTGCTCAATACTCAGGCCTAACTCTTAAGTATAGTAGGAATTTTTAGTTGAAGGACTAATAAGGAACAAATGACAATATATGGATGCATTTGTTAAAACCAGATAGTATAGGTACTTAGTACTGAACTAGGGAAAATGGGCGTGCCAGTTTGAACTTTAAGGACCAGTAGCCCCCTAAAACCCCTCGCAGATAGTAGCCGCCCTTTACCCAATCAAAACTGAACCACTTCTCTCCCGGGAAAAAAACCCACCGCCGGGATCGTCTTGTATTCGCCGGCGTCTGGAGCGGAGGAGTCAGAACCCTTCTGTTTCGGGGCATTTTTGCTGGGGCAGAATGGAATTAGTGGGAACTGAAAGTTTCTGCCTTTATTCATTAGTCTAATGACCCAAAGTTTCATCCTTCCATGCCTGACTCGAATGATGTGAATCCATAGCAAAAGACACAAAGGCAGGATTTTGAAGTGTTTCCCTTAAACCCTTTCTAATCCCCCCTGCCGCCATTGGAACACTCCCAAGTCTCGACCTTTTTCCTACAAACAGTTATTCAGAGAGAGCAATGAGAAGATGGGTCGCTAAGAACCTTCTGTCTCGTGCCGTTCCCTTTCAAATCTCTCATTCCTCGATTGCCACTCCCTTCTCCCCTTCTCTTCCGATTCTCGGCCCCAGATTGCTCTCAACTTCTCCCCACGACACTCTAGAAGGTTTGGTCGACCCCGAGGACCCTTTTTTGCTGGAGAGTTGGCGGCCGGCGGAATCGATTTCGGGCGAAGAATTCGCTCTTCTACGGGATTCTTTGTTGAACCCTGATTCTGCTGGATGGCAGCGGTCGGGGCCAGCAGGTAAGTATTCAGACGAGGCATTTCTAGTTGTTGATGCAATCTCGACTTGTAATGATCAGTTCGGGAAAGAAACCCAGAAGTTGCTTAGGCAGCATAGGGACAAGTTAAGCGAAACTCTGGTTATTGAGGTTTTGAATTTGGTCAAGAGTCCTGAATTGGGCGTTAGATTCTTCATATGGGCAGGTCGGCAAATTGGGTATTCGCATAGTTTGGCTGTGTACAATGCGTTGCTAGAGTTGCTGCAGAGGAATAACCATAGTAGTACTGATGGTAGAATACCGGAGCAATTCTTGCTGGAGATTAGAAATGATGATAAGGAAGTACTTGGAAAATTGCTTAACGTGTTGATTCGCAAGTGTTGTCGAAACGGTTTGTGGAATGCTGCTTTGGAGGAGCTAGGTAGACTTAAGGATCATGGCTACAAGCCATCAAGATCCACTTATAATGCTTTGGTTCAAGTGTTTCTGAAAGCAGAACGGTTAGATACTGCTTCGCTGGTTCATCGGGAAATGTCAGGTTTAGGGTACACCATGGATGGTTATACTTTAGGCTGTTTTGCGCATTCTCTTTGTAAAGCTGGGAAGTGGAGAGAGGCCTTGAAGTTGATCGAGGACCAGGAGTTCAAACCTGATACTGTGCTGTTCACCAACATGATATCTGGACTGTGCGAAGCATCACAATTTGAAGTAGCCATGGATTTCTTAACCAGGATGCGTGTGTATTCTTGTATTCCAAATGTATTGACCTTCAGGATTTTGCTATGTGGGTGCTTGAAGAAGAAGCAGCTCGGTAGGTGTAAGAGAATTATCAGCATGATGATCACAGAAGGTTGTTATCCGAGTCCAGCCATTTTTAACTCTTTGGTTCATGCTTATTGCAAGTCTGGAGATTATGCTTATGCCTATAAGCTTCTTAAGAAGATGCCAAAATGTGGGTGCCAACCGGGGTATGTAGTTTACAACATTTTCATTGGCAGTATTTGTGGTAATCAGGAGATGCCTGATATGAGTGTACTGGAGTTGGCTGAGAAGGCGTACAAGGAAATGCTTGATACAGGGGTTGTACTGAATAAGGTTAATGTTAGCAATCTTGCATTGTGTCTTTGCTATGCTGGGAAATTTGAGGAGGCGTATAGTGTCATTAGCCAAATGATGAGCAAGGGGTTTATTCCTGATACCAGTACGTACTCCAATGTCATTACTTATCTTTGTAATGCAAACAAAGTAGAAAAGGCTTTCCTATTGTTTCAACAAATGAAAAGAGATGGTGTCCCACCGGATGTTTATACTTATACGACATTGATTGATAGTTTCTGTAAGGCTGGTCTACTGGAACAGGCTCACAGGTGGCTCAATGAAATGGAGAAAGATGGTTGTGCCCCTAATGTAGTAACTTACACAGCTCTTATTCACGCTTACCTTAAAGCAAGGAAGGTCTCCGCTGCCAATGAAGTTTTCGAGGTAATGCTGTCTAAGGGTTCAGTTCCTAATGTTGTTACATATACAGCCTTAATCGATGGGCATTCTAAAGCAGGTGACATTGAAAAGGCTTGCCAGATATATGCAAGAATGAAGAAGGATAAGGCAGAAAATTCAGAAATAGACTTATATTTTAGGGTTGATAGAACAGATTCCGAGGAACCCAATCTGTTCACATATGGAGCTCTGGTCGATGGCCTGTGCAAAGCTCACAAGGTCAAAGAGGCACGTGACTTGCTAGAAGCAATGTTGGCAAAAGGTTTTCAGCCCAATCATATAATATTTGATGCCCTTATAGATGGATGTTGTAAGGTTGGCAATCTAGATGAAGCACAAGAAGTGTTTACCATGATGATCGAGCATGGTTACAATGCAAATGTATATACATACAGCTCATTGATAGACAGGTTGTTTAAAGATAAAAGATTAGATCTTGCCTTGAAAGTCTTGTCCAAAATGCTCGAGAATTCTTGTGCCCCTAATGTTGTTATCTATACTGAGATGATCGATGGTCTGTGCAAAGTTGGAAAGACTGACGAAGCATATAAACTTATGGTCATGATGGAAGAAAAGGAGTGTTTTCCAAATGTAGTGACCTATACAGCAATGATTGATGGCTTTGGGAAATTGGGAAGAGTTGATAAATGCCTTTTGTTATTGCAAAAGATGACTTCCAAGGGCTGTGCTCCGAATTTTGTCACTTACAAGGTCTTGATAAATCATTGTTGTGCAGCTGGTCGTTTGGATGAGGCTCTTAAGCTTCTGCAAGAGATGAAAGAGACCCACTGGCCAAGGCATGTAGCAGGATATCGTAAAGTGGTCGAAGGTTTCAGTAGAGATTTTGTTGCTTCTCTGGGGCTGTTGGATCAGCTGGGTGAGAAGGAATCCGTGCCAGTTTCCCCTATTTACAGGGTTCTGATAGACAATTTTGCTAAGGCTGGAAAGCTAGAGATAGCTCTAGAATTGTACAAAGAAGTCTCGTCTATTTTGTCATCATCAGATGCTAACCGGAGCATGTATATTTCTTTGATTGAGAGCCTTGCACTTGCAAATAAGGTTGATATGGCTTACGAGTTGTATGCAGACATGATAGGGAAAGGTATTGTTCCGCAGCTAGACACATTTGTTCACCTTATCAAGTGTCTTCTGAGATCAAACAAGTGGGATGAAACATTGCAGTTGTTAGATGGCATTTGCCAGAAGGTATGCTTCTGTGACTTCCTGATTTTAATGTTCCTTATTTCAATATGTAGATTGAGGGTTTACATGGAAATCGGTCTACAGAGGTCTTTTGGGGCCTTTTTTGTTTTTATGTGCTTCTGTTTGCATTGTTCTTCTATAGAAATGGCAAATGGTATGCTCTTTCCAAAAGAAACTTCCCTTGAGACTTGAAATAATTTTCCTAAACTGATATGCAGGGTGGACTTACTGCCATTGAAGGAGGTTGGATTCCTCCTCCTCTTCGAAGTGAACCATCTTTTGAAGATTGAAGCAGTAAGATTCAATGCGTACTATGTGAAGAAGCAAACTGGTGCGCTAGCACCGGAAGTTCAATGTAGGCAGACCACTGGTTGATAGTCGACTTCTGTGCAGTAACACAGAACTTATTGGGAAAAACTATCATCAAGAACGGTTTCATGATCAGGGTTGTTAAGCCTGCTGCCTGCTGAGCTCACTTAGGTGGTATGTGAAGGCTACTTTAAGATAGTGTAGCTTTCCAGTTTCTCCCTCTTATGAATGCATGTGTCATTGGCAGGCAGTAATGTCTATCACTCAGAGGGTGCAAGATGATAGAAGAGCAAGCAAACGAAAGCCTGAAAGAGCCTGTTGTGGAAGCGAATCACTCCTGGTGTATAAAATACCTTATCGTCCAAATGGTTCTGGAGACCCTTTTTCTCCAATATGGCATCAGAGATTTGAGAGTCAAAAGTAATGGCAGAGATGGATTTTAGAAACTTGGTTTCATGGTTCCAGTAAGTCTCTATTCCGCTTCTACTTAAGCTGCATATTACAACACCAGGCATCCTTTCAGATGGATTGCTTAGTGCTTGTTCTTCTCCCTGTTTTAATGTGATCTGCTGCCTCTATCAGGTTGAGACATCATGGTGACCACTAATACCTTTGATGACCTTGCCAAGCATCTATGCCGAGTCTTCCAAGTCCGACGGCAAAACAAGTTGTATGTAAAGAAGGTACACCCGTCTGAGCCCAGCCTACATGGTGGTTTAGTCTGGACGAAAGGAGTTTCAGGTGACTGTGCTCCCGACATGATTTTTCTTTGTTGAGATGGTGGTAGGCCAAGGACTAGTTAGCAACCTGATGATGCATGATTCGTTCTATGTTGAAATGGTGGCTGGTGAAGGAGCCATTAGCAGCGTGAGTAATGGATTTGAATTTGGTTTGCAGGTCTGTTTTAGCACTGACAGACACAGGCAATGCCAAAATGATTGACTCGGCCTAGTTGCTTTTTTTGTGGCTGCGGTTGTTGTAGTTGCTGTAATTTTGAGGCTAATGCTGATGACCAGACCTTGATATATCAATCATCTGCATAGCTCATGTAAAGTAAGTTCATATATATGTTATTAATAAGCACCATTTTTCATCTTTGTCTGCATAAAATACAGCAATTTGAGACGATACACAGTTGGTTTCCTAAATCTGGGAGACCTATGTTAGCAGCAGCTTCTTTTGGAAAGATTGGCACTACCGAATATGGTTACATTATTCCTCACCTGACTCCTAAAAGAGTTCATATAAACTAAATACTAACAATTCAACATTCAGAAAAGAAGTAGAAGGAAACAGATATACACCATCATAACTTAACTCCTAAAGTCAACGAATCTAGCTTCGGGCCGAGAATCTGTATATTCAATCCTTGCTATGCTCTCCTTGCTATATTTGAAGGTAACCAATCCGCAATCCATTTCAGAGAAATATATGGCAAAAGAGGACAGACGACGAAGATGTGAACCCTTCCTGCATCCATTATGGCCTCCCATCATTATTACTATCACCACCACCGAATTGTGTCGAGTTTCCATTCCAGAAGGCATTCCTGCCATTTGGACGGTCATCATCTTCATCCCGTCTGAGTGTGTGAACGTTGCTTCCAGACCCGAACATTGCTAATCGCCTGCTCCTGACATCGCTTGCAGTAGCTGCCGAATCGTGCTGATCGGGAGGGTTGGCACCAGCTGGCCCTGGTCTTCCCGAGCTATTTGGGAGTGACTGGTTTGGACCTAAAAACGCGCAAGTGAGTTGAAGTTAGAGCATTGTAAGTCCTTTCCGAGACCATGTAAAAAGTGAAATAACTTCAGTTGTTCAATTTATACACATTTAGATCAAGTACATGCAATTGTTGTACCAATTGAAACATGAAACAAATTCATATCGCAATAGCAATGCCTCAGACCTCTACTGACGATAGTTTAAGGTATAGAAAGGAGACTTACTGTATTGCCACATGCTGCTTCCAGCTTGCCCAGATGTTGCTGAACTAGATCCTCCGACATAGGATAGAGGATTGATGAAAGAGAAGACCTTCCTAATGTACCCGAAATATCCTACAGGACTTGCAATTGATGAACTGGTGTCAACTGTACTCTGTGCAGGGGAAGAAGAAGAGTCTCCTTGAAAGTAACTCGCGCTTTTCTGATGAGGAACCACTATCAGTGCTTGTCTGTTAAGTAAACCCAACTCTGATAAAGATCTGCCTAGATCTGCCAAAGGTGTGGGGAAAAAAGTAGAGTTAAGTGGACTTACAATCGAGACAAATAACTCGATTTACAAATACTTCAAACCAAACACACCATGCATGTCTTTTATTTAGTCAGAAAGTTGGAATCCGTACCTTGTTCACCAAATATCTTCCGAGGATATGGGATGGCAAGATCGTATGAAGCATTGCCATTCTCTTGGTTGCTATCCACGTATTCTTTGACCATTCTCAGTGTATTTGACACCAAAAACTTCTCTTGTATGCTAGTTCCATAAAGCAACTTGATGTTTAGATACACATCGTTTGATGCGTTAATTTTGGAACCTTTGTCAATGACATCAATCTCCTTTTCATTCAAAGGTGCAGACTTTTTGTCTTGTGCATCCTTCGTAAAGGGATTAATCGAAGGTGGCCTGTCAGGAGCATTATCAATGCTGACTTCTTGGATAACATGAATCTTTTCTGCACCAACATTATCGGCTGTTTCCAAGTTTGCCGCAGAAGGATTAGATGGGGGGTCAGCATTTTTGCTGAGTGGTCGAGAGTGGGACTGTTCATCCTTAGCTCTCTTAGACTTATTGACATTGCATGGCTCTGAAGATGCATTTTCATCATCCTGTTGATGGAAAGAATACTTCAGGACATTTACAAACTCTTGAAATATACAAAGAAAGGAGGCATAGATGTGATAGAAACCTTAGATTTATGTTCATTAAATTGGTTGTCGTCTTTTGTCCCAGAAGCACTAGGCTGTTCAACCTCAGAGGATTGCACTTTTTTGTCTGCTGGAGATGACAAAACAGTATCTGAAGAACTTTCAAGGTCACCTGATACAATGTCAGATGATCCAGGAGTAGTTGGTACAGATTTCGTATTAGTAAGTGCAGCGGTGAAGACACTTGCAGTTGTTTCCTGCAGTTCGTCACCAGAAACATCCAGTTAAATAAAGAAAAAACAAACATTGACAAACGAAAGAGACTAGTTACATAGACAGACATGCTACTTTTGTAACCTGGATATGTAGACTCAGATATGCCTTCTCTAAACTGGAAACCAGAACTTCAGCACTAACGCATCCATCTGGAATGGTTTTAAGATAAAGTCACTTCCAATTGCTTTAAGAATATGCAAGTCACATGCTTGTCTAGCTTAACATTAGTGATTGAATACATACCACTTTGCCAGAGTTGGATGCCGTTGAATCCTATAACTGCTATAGCAGGAACAGATTTTTGTGGAACTACAACAAGTTGATGCAAGGATACTTTCTTGATTTACATATAAAAAGAATCCAGGGGAATAATAAAGAAGGGTGCTTTTGCGACAAAATGTAAAACTTCTTCAAAAAAGGATACAAATTGCAGAGAAGTTCACTGCATCATTACTTCCCTCAAGAACATGCAACAAAACACAGTACTTCGACAATGTATCTGCCACCTGCATGCCACAAATAAAAGTAAAAAGCACTTCAACTATGTAGGGCAAGTGAAAGCAAAAAATCCACACAATTACAAAAACGAAGTAACTTCCAGGCAAAGTCACATGAGAATGACGATACCTTTGAGTCCGTCCAAATCGATTTTTCCAATTCCACTGACACTGGATCCTTGCCTGCAGAGCAAGCGAATAAGGAGAAGCAATAGTGAACAAAAAACTAAGATAGTGACACAACCCATTTGGTTACCAAACCTATTGGAGCTAACAAGACACCAGAATCTAGCCCCACCTTACACTTACTAAGCTGCAACTAAGTAGTAGCAACTTGAAAAATTTTATCTTTTCCTATCACAATAATATCTACTGAACCAAGATAAAACATCGCGTAACAAAAGACAGCGCTTTGATCTCTAAAGATTCTGAATTACGGGCAATGACGAAGTCCTTGTGTTATTGTTGTTGATGAAAATTGAAAGTCAGCCACTTGCCACTTACCCTTTTCAGTTCATCAAATCTCAAATTGATGTAATGAACCCTCTAAAGCAAACCAAAACAAAGTCCTAAGAACAACCCAATTAAATCACTTCAGAACCAATCTTCTACCTGAAATATAAACAACAAAGAGCTTCTTCTGGGCTTTGGCTTCGAGAATTGCTTCAGAGGTGGAGCCTTTGTAGGCTAGCTCAGCTATGCAACTCTCCCCCATCTGTTCAGCAAGCGAAACGATAACTCGATATGAGCTATAAAGATTCACAATTCAACAACACAATGAAATCGCGATCACAGTTCATCCCAATTTTAAAACCTCGAGAGAAACACTATGATGGAGATGCTCATCACCGCCATATTCAGACAACCCAGAATCTGACTTAAAACGAAAATCTCACAATACTTTTAAGAGTGTAAAGATCAAACCTTTGAGGGCATTTACAGTCGTGCTATGGTCCGTGGAGCGATCGGAAGGGAAAAAGAACTGCCCCAGCTTACGGAGCTTGTGAGGGAGAGGAGAGAACTAGAGAAGGTAACGAGGGAGACGCCAAGGATTATTCTGGGCGGAGGCAGAGATCAGATTGACGGCTGTGATGTTGCCACGACCTCGGGTTCTATTACACAAACCGGGTCACCCTTTTGTTTCGATTGGACTGCCACGTGTACGAGCATTTACTCCAGATCAGAATGCCAACTCGGCAGTGGGCCCCACTTTCTGCAACTGGGATACCCGCCACTTTAAACCCTCTCCTTCCATTTTTACCAGAAACATCACTGTAGATTACTAATGCTTCCTTTCTCTTCCCCAATCTAGGGTTTTAATCTCCGCCGCCTGTTCGATGGCCGCCGTCTCTCCGGCACCGAGATTCTCCGTCTCCCAGCTCTCCGCTGCCAATCCAAAGGTCAAGTCTTTCCCCTCATCCTTCATCCACTTCCGCTTTTCCCCTTCCCGCCATTTTCCCTCCTCTGCAGCCTCCACCGCCGCTCTCTCTTTCCTCCGCAAGACTTTCAAAACCTCGATTTCGTGCTCCGCGGCTCCTAGCCGCCGCCCGGAATACATCCCCAACCGCATTTCCGACCCTCACTATGTCCGCGTGTTCGACACCACGCTCCGCGACGGCGAGCAGTCCCCGGGGGCGACCATGACGTCGAAGCAGAAGCTCGACATCGCCCGCCAGCTGGCGAAGCTCGGGGTGGATGTGATTGAGGCAGGGTTTCCGGCGGCTTCCAAGGACGATTTCGAGGCAGTCAAGGCTATTGCCGAGGAGATTGGCAATGCGGTGGATGAGGATGGTTACGTGCCGGTGATCTGTGGGCTATCGAGGTGTAACGAGAAGGATATTCGGACGGCGTGGGATGCGGTGAAGTACGCCAAGCGGCCCAGGATTCATACGTTTATAGCGACTAGTCCGATTCATATGGAGTTTAAGTTGAGGAAGAGTAAAGAGGAGGTGGTGGAGATTGCCAGGAGTATGGTGACCTTCGCGAGGAGTTTGGGCTGTGAAGATGTGGAGTTTAGCCCCGAGGATGCTGGCAGGTTTGAGTCTTCCTATTTCTCTCTCGATCCAATTTGCATTTCTCTGTTTAGGCTGTTGAACTAGCAGCTATAGGTGGCGATGGAAACTGTGAATATTGGAGAGAAGTGTTTGAACTTGTTTCGTTGATTTGTCATTGGACAACTATAGGTGAATTGAATCTTGCTGGTGAAGATAATTAGTGGTCTTTAGTCCCATAAACTGATTTGGATGCGAGGGGATGTCTTAAGTCTTAACGATTGAAAGATGAGCTCTGTCCTAAAGTGGTGGCTCAATGGAGTTAGAGGGTTCGTTACGGAAGTAGAGTGAATGGAGATAGATAACAGTTACTGGACATTTTTGTTGGCTATAGGTCAAGAATGATCAGGGAGAAATTAAGACTGAAAAAGTTTGCTACTTTGTGTAGCAGAGCAGCAGATTAGTATCAGTAATGATGCGCACTGAACTTACTGTCTTTTTAGCTTCCTTTAGTGGGTTCTCAAGTGTAGTCTTGCTCCTGTTTGCTTGGAGAGGCAACCCTTCAAGCTTCTACTTATCCATTCTCTTTTTGAATTCAACAATCTCGTAGCAGAACCCTGTGTTTTCTACTTCTGTTTGTGGTAGAAACCTGGGCATGTCAATTAATCTGTTCTATTATAGTATCATTTAGTTTGATTGAGGTTGCAAAGGGGAGAATATGTAGGGAATTTTAGCTTTTCCCCTCTATAAGGCATATGAATTTGACGATCCTTAGTTTGAAGCTATCTGAAGCAAAGGCTATGGATGGAATAATCTGCATGAAAATGTAATCCTGTCAATGGTGCTATACCTGCATGTCTCCTCATTATCGCCAACTCTCTTGTCTAATTGCCAAAGGTTTCCCCTGCTTTGGCTATTCATGCTTTTTGGTTCTTGGTTTGGTGCTTTAAGCTTTGTTATTCTCCTTCAGGTCTGACAGGGAATTTTTGTATCAAATTTTGGAAGAAGTGATCAAAGCTGGAGCAACGACTCTTAACATACCAGATACTGTTGGAATTAACTTGCCTAGTGAATTTGGACAACTAATTGCTGACATAAAAGCCAATACACCAGGAATTGAAAATGTCATCATTTCTACACACTGCCAAAATGATCTTGGACTTTCTACTGCTAACACTTTGGCAGTATGTCACTCCTTTCTCTTTTTTATTTTGAAGCGTTTTTTTGGGTACAACCCAACTACATTAAAATCTCAACTGATAATTTCAGGGGGCATTTTCGGGTGCACGACAAGTGGAAGTGACAATCAATGGCATTGGAGAGAGAGCTGGAAATGCTTCACTGGAGGAGGTACGTTTTGAATTTTGCGCAGAATGTGATGGCACAGAACAGAGATAATGCCTGCAGTTACTGCAATTCTCCCAGTCAGTAGGCAAGTTTAGTCTGAAGGGCATGATCCCATTCTGTCTCCAAAATCCTGAAATATTCAACTCACTAGGTGACCTGAATGACTGCCTGTTTTTGTGCCTTTGGATTGTTCTCTTGGCTATATTTTTCTTACCCAATTGTTATTTTGTTCTTAAACTCTTGTTTGTGATAATTTATGCAGGTTGTAATGGCCATAAAATGTCGCGGAGAGCATGTGTTAGGAGGTTTGTACACTGGGATTAACACCAAACATATTACTATGGCAAGCAAGATGGTAATTTTCTTTATAGCTCTCTGTATGTATATAATTTGTTTTTTGCTGTTTAGTAAATATGGCTCCTGGTTGCAATGTTCCTTTAGGTGGAAGACTACAGCGGATTGCAAGTGCAGCCTCACAAGGCAATTGTTGGAGCTAATGCTTTTGCTCATGAAAGTGGGATACATCAGGTTAGCTTGCAATTACAATTTACAACTCGTTTTCCAGCTTGGATTGATCTTTAGGATCCTACTTTTGTTGTGCTAATATTCGCCATTTCAAGTAGTTTCTGGGATATGATGTAGAGAATGTAGAGTAAAATAATGGCAAGTAGTATCAGCATATTGTTTGGAAGGGAAGATATTGATTAATGTTAGTTTAGTGTGATAAAGCTTGTAGTGGGGCAGCCAACACATAGTTGAATGGGGTGAATGTGTGGGAGAGCGAGGCCTAGAATGATGAATAGTGATTCCTTTTTACTCTGAAAATTTCTTTGGTGTATTTGTTTTTCACATAATTTTTTATCTTATGGCTGTGTTGAGGACTTATTTTTCCCCTTTAATGAAGCAGCTCTTAAAATCGCCTTTGTCCTTGTGCGAGTAACTCGAAATTCGTTATATTTGGTCCAGGATGGAATGTTAAAGCATAAAGGGACGTATGAGATTATAGCTCCCGAAGATATTGGTCTTGAGAGAGCCAATGAGGCCGGTATTGTCCTCGGGAAACTTAGGTATCATTCATCTTATCGCACTGTGTGGAACACAGTGGTATCTGGATTCATTTACTGCCCTGCTCAGTATCACATTGGATTGAGCTGTTTGGATAGAACTTTTGAAGTGCAGAGTTATGAGAGATTCGATAATTACATATAATAAAGGCCATTGTCTAGTCACAGCTAACTGTTAATTTTTCCCCATTTGGTCAATGGTTGAGCAGGGGAAAACACCATTTATCTTCCTGAGTTACTTTTGTATTTGATTCCTTCGGTTAGGCTGCATCACTTCTTATCATGTCATTTCTTCATTTTGATTTGTTTGGAAACTAATTCCAGCTATCAATAACATCCTTCGTGTAATCTCTTCTTTCTTTTTGTTGAAACAGTGGGCGCCACGCATTGAGAGACCGGTTGAAGGAGGTATTGCTAGTACATGTTAGACTTGGTTCAGTTATGCTAATCTTTTGCTTGACAGAGCATTTATACTGCCTTCACCCTACTTTTTGTAGCTTGGATATGAGCTGGATGATCAACAGCTAGGCAACATCTTTTGGCGCTTCAAGGCAGTTGCTGAACAAAAAAAGGTGATAAATGCTTCATTTCTGCTTACCATCCACCTTATTGCAAAACTATATATTCACTCTTCCTCTATCAAGAACACTTGTTTGCCATAACTGGACCTTGGTCAACTAAATTTATGTTTTCGGCAGCGAGTCACCGATGCAGACCTTATAGCTTTAGTCTCAGATGAAGTTTTCCAACCAGAAACTGTTTGGAAACTTCATGACTTGCAGGTTAACTTTCTTCTCTCTCTCTCTCTCTCTCTGTGTATGTGTGAACTTGGTACAATTTGTATGAAACTGAAATGACCTTGTTACTACACAGGTCACTTGTGGAACACTTGGTCTATCCACTGCCACTGTCAAACTCACTGATGCTGACGGGGAGGAGCATATCGCCTGCGCTGTAGGAACTGGTCCAGTCGATTCCGCATACAAAGCAGTTGACCTCATAGTGAAGGTCTGAATTCAAATCTTACTCGGAAATTTTTCCTGTCAGAACTTTTCACTATAGGACTGGTATAGGTAGCAGAGAAGCATGAACCCATTAGTGAGCGTAGTCGAATGGGACCCAATTCATATTTTGGGTTGTTGACCTTTCACTAGACTGTGATTCTGATATCTGATCGCCATTAAGGACTGTTCAGTATTTTCATTTTTGTGTGTTGATGGATGGTTCCAGGAAGAGGCAACACTGATGGAGTACTCCATGAACGCTGTTACAGAAGGGATCGATGCAATTGCAACCACCCGAGTCCTAATCCGTGGGGAGAACAAGCACACCCCTACCCATGCATTGACCGACGAGCCTTTCGAGCGCACATTCAGGTAATGCCAACTTTTCAAATTCGACTCTTGTTAAACTCTGGTAAACAATACACATAAAAGATCGACACAATGCATCAACTGGAACTCGTTTCTTTCGTTTTTCTCTTCGTGACCAGTGGTTCCGGGGCTGGAATGGACATAGTGGTGTGCAGTGTGAAAGCCTACATCAGTGCCCTGAACAAGATGCTAGCATTCAAGCGACGGGTGCCAGCAAAGGCAGCATCATCTTCGCCAGACAGAACCCCGGTTTCGGCTTGACAGAGTTTAGAACTGCTGCTGTACTGCCTCCCTTGCTCTATTACTTTTGTTGATATCTCCTAAAAGGAACTACCTTACTTTTGTGCCTTTGATCAACTGTTTATAATGCTAAGATCAAAACGTTGTGGGATTTTTCTTGTTTATGTTTGTGATAGCTATAACTTGCTTATAAAGAAACAACTTTTCCATGTGGGAGTGGGAGTGGTTCGGCCTAGAATAAGATTGAATCGCTCAAGTAGTGGATCAACAAATAAAGAAAACTACCTTATTTTGGTAAGAATTCCTAAAATCAACGCTTTTGCTTATGGTTCCAGTGGCTAACCATGGACGAAGGAAATGAAGCGTTAACGTAGCTAGCAAGTACTAGTACAAGGCCCGGCTTGATGGTTATATAATTTGTTTGGTATGATGTGTATTTTGTTTGTCAATAATAACACTCACCACAAAAGTAAATGAACTCGAATGTCACTTAATACAACCACTAAATTCACGTCTAGCTCCCCACTTTTATTTATACGTAGAACTTTATCTCATTTAACTATTTAGTTGACACTTATATCGGATATATCATTTAAGTTAATTTGTATAAACACATGATGTAACTTAGGACAATATGGACACCATCAGGTGTACTTGGTATCACAATTAACTAAATGTGTACACACAATTTCATGGGCGGACCCAGGAGGGTTTAGGGGTGTCCCGGGACACCCCTAAATTTTGGAAATATGATTAATCAACCTCTGGTGGCAATACGTATGGACAAAAAATTATAATTAATAGTCCGGGACACCCTGGAATTTTAAAAAAAGACTATCCTACTCTCGTTTGTAGTTTGCGTATGAGAATATAAGTGGTGGTTTGGATAATTCAAACCGGGGACACTACTATTATTAATAAATATAATTTCCATTAGGCTACAAATTTTTTGTTGTTCTATTCTAAACACTTTGTAATAGCAAAATCCTTATTTTCAAAACCTAACAATTAATCTAATTATAAGCTACTCTTAATTTGTATTGATTTTATGGTTGTACGACAAGTGCTGAAAGTGTCTTTTCAGTTTGAGTTACTTCAAGAACAAATTTAGAGGTCTAATATGCGTCAGTTCGTGAATGAGCAGTGTAGACACCAAGAGTATTTTACAATTTTTTCAGAATATGAAAATACATCATAATTTTTTTTAACTTGTACGAGTTGGGTTTTTTCTTATTTAATTTTAATTTTACTTTATTTTTTGAAAGAGGACACCCCTATGTAAAATTTCTGGGTCCGCCACTGCCCAATTTCACGTCTCAAATTAGCAAGCACTCTAACCAATCTAGCTATATCAAGTTTTGATGAAAAGTTTATTAGCAGTCACTCACAAACAACAATAATGTAACTTCCAATAAATATATAAGTTCACAAAGAAACATCTAAGCAATCACCATAAACAGATTCATCAAATCTAGCCTCAAATTAAGATCAAACGTGTAAGGAATAAAACACCAAACATATAAAATATGGTACTTGAAATAAATGAACCACTTACACTAGTAATAGCTAATATACTTATCTTACTTGTAATTAATTTAAAAGATAATTATTCTCATATGGTTCATGATTCTTGGGACATAATTCAAATATTATCATTCCGTGATGGGGAAGAGAATAAAATGATATACATGTTAGGCCTCTAAAAATAACTGTGAGATAACCTCTAGATTGGCCTACAACCACTACAAATTTAGGCAAAATACACTTTCATAGCCATAACTTTCGCGTTTGTGACAATAATAGCCACTTTTGGAGAAATACCAAATATAGCCACTTCCGTCCAATACTTTAACGGTGTCATCTAACAGTCTGACTGGACTAACAACAACCATTGACGTGGCATATTTTATTCAATTTTAATGCTTAGGTGGAAATCATTAAATTTTATCCTTTAATTTTTAAGTAAATTAAATAAAAAAAATAAAAAATACAAACAATAATCTCAGAATGAATACCAAAACCCCTTTCCACGTGGATGAGAAAAAAATAAAAAATGATCATACATTAACTAATGAATTTTTTCAGGATCAATATGTGCGTCCCCTTCTCTCTCTTCCAATATCATCTCCCTCACCCGTGCCCCCAAATCTCAATCCCTACCGCAAAACACTCTTGCCGACACTACAGCCCACAAACACTCAAACGCGCCGGAGCTCCGAGCAATCTAAAACTCTCTTGCCCACGACGGAGTTCCCGACCAGCAGATGGATCTAAACATCTACTATGATGCTAAGCTTACCAGACTGAATGGGGAATCTCACTGCAGCTTGGTTGTGTTCATAGGAGACGAGAGCAGGGGAAGAGTAGGGGCCCGTGATCGGCTTGAGGAAGAGTTTCAACATCGCTACTGCCGACCGTGGAATTGGCGACTAGGGCGAAAAAGCAAGAAGCTAGCATTTGTGGCGGTGTTGGCTTCTACTTCTTCTTCTCTACTCCACTACGACGGCTTCGTTCAATCCGCCATCAGCCGGGCCTTCAATACATGAATCAAAACCCCGAACCAGGGTTCCCAGCGGCGCTTCGTTCGAGCTTTGAGGAAGGACTGGATTCCAGCCGTTTCGAGATCGGGAACGAAACAATCAGGTGCAGATCTAGTATCCGCAGAAGCCACACATCAAAGTCGCCTCACAAAAAATGAAAGCGGGCCAAGACTACTTTCTCCTCGCAATTTCGGCTAATCGTGGCAGTGAAGCATAGAGGCAGAGTAAGGGTAGCAGGTGTGGCGGCGACACTGCTTTTTCGGTAGATTTGGAAAAGTGGAGAAGAGGTATGCAGTTCGTAGTGGACGGAAGCAGCGACGGTGGTGGATTGCGGTCGGTGAACTCCACCTCTCTGTTTCTAGTTGTTGGCATCTGTTATTAGAGAGCAGCAGACCGACAACATACTAGCAGATCTGAACAGATCTGTTATGGGTCGGGAAATCCCAAATCCCTCGCCGGCCCGAGTCTTCCTGATCTCTGCTTCTATTCCCCCCTCGTTTGTTAGAGACATGGGATCAACCTAATATGCATGTTTCTCCTTCAATCGATCTCTATTCTAAGCACCATATAGTTCAAGAGTTGGTGAAAGTGCACGAAGATGAAGACAAGAATCAAGATGATGATGATGCGAGTTGAAGCTGGCGATGATTGTGTAGCAGGAAGTTCTTCGATTATGAAGGGGATGAGAGGAAAAATCGATTTTCGTTTTGATTTTGGAAGCTTCAAAACCAGCGAGATTTGTAAAAGGGATTGCCAGATTTTTTTAATTCAATTTTGTGATTAAATAAAAATAAAAAAATTTCATTTCAATTTTTAATTAAAATAACACGTGGCGTCTAGGTGTCATCAACGGATGAGTTGTCGCTGACGTGTGTGATGATTTGGAATCCTAGTCAGCCTAATGTTAACCTAACTCACGAAGTTTCTAACTCCGTCAAAGTTTGTAATGGAAATGACTATATTTGTCATGAAACTTTCAAAATTCTGGCTATAAGTGGTATTTCTCTAAAATTGGCTATTATTGTCACAAACGCAAAAATTTTGGCTATACAAGTGTATTTTGCCACAAATTTATTAACACATCAAAACTTGGTGAAAATGAACCGTACATCAAATCCCGCGGGCCGATGATAGATTAATTTGGGCCTGCTGCTCATGAAAGCCCGCGGGCTTATTAAAACAATCATATGGGCTTCGACCACTTTGATCATTTCGCCTTACGATTTTCCAGCCCAATACTTCAATCTGAACAGAAGAATTTTGAAAAGGGAAAAAAGAAATTATTTCAGGGGAAAGATCTGTTCCGCGTTTGTTTGTTTGTTTGTTTATTTTTACACGGTCAGATTCTTCAGTATCGACGATTTCCATGCTTTTTCCTTTCTTTGGTCTCCAGGTAACGAAACAGCTAAGCGAAGCAAACCCCCTGGCAGTTAAGGCCGTGTTTGGACGACGAGAATGGAATATGTCAATGATGGAATTGATTATTGAAGCAGGCCACGGTTAAGGTGTATAGCTGTGTGCTGTGAGGAGATGCAATCGAGTAGTGCTCTTGGCTTTTGCCATATGGATATGATTATGGTGATATTGATGATTGAATTTGTATGCACACAATATATCGATATACTACAATAAGTGTAATTGTGTAGTCTTCTAGCTTTTTAATTCAGACGTGGTCATATTTGCGAGATTTACAATTTTATCTCATTACCCGATCCCAATATTTAGTTTCATTGGTATTATTATTCCTAGCGTGTTCCCTGCATGATTTTGACATTTAACCTGAAATCCTTCTTTTTTATTAGTGCAGGTGTCTATACGAATTTAGTAATTAGTGTTAGCCCTTTCTCTTGATTAGTTTCGATGTCCTCGTCGCTAGCCTCCAGACCTCCAACCTCGAGCCAACACTCTCGCATCATCCAATTTTCCGACCGCCTCGGCCTCGGCTCATATCCTCCTCCTCCTCCTTCGTTCTCGGCCTATGTGCGAGCTTTCTAGCTCGCCTTCTGTGTTTTGGCGATCGGCCTTCTCCCTTCTTGTTATGATCACCAAACACGCAAAACAACGATGACAAACACAAGACTTAACACTCTTGGAGTTCTTGCCACTAACCAGTGAGCAAATGTGATCTCGTCAATCCTCCTAACCCTTGGTCTTTCTGTGAGACATCCCTCCTACATTGATGTGCAACATCAATGACTTACTTAGGGTTAATTGACCTTATTTGTTTGTTCTCCCTTTCTGACATACTATTGATTTACTTAATCTTCAAACACTTTGGTTAGTCTTGTCATAGATTATGCTTGAATTATACTATTAACAACACGAGTTACTAAATTATACTCCACAAACTTGTAATCTATAAAACTTTCAAGTACACTTGTCGACATTTTACCTGCTCTACTAGCTTAAGTAATTCGACCAACCTAATAATAAAGCTTATATCATTCACATCAACAAACCCAAACTTGGTCTAAATTTGTTAAACAAATAAAACTCATTTGAACTTTGAAGTGCATAACATCAAACACCAACCAACCACTATCATATTCACAAAACCATTTTTTTATGTTCTCAAAACAAAAACTTAAAAGCAAACAATGCCTAATTCTCTCTCTACTTATATATAACGAAAATATTCCCGCAATCGGTTACACTATCTCTCTTCCCATTAGCCGTTTCTCTATCGTCTCTTTCTCCTTCGCTCCCCTGCCGCTCTCTCTCTCCCTCTCTCTCTCCTCTTCCTCTTTACAGACAATTCCAACGAATCCAGCACCTCTCGTCCCATCCCCGTTTGGGAGAGAGAGAAGAAGACGAAGGAAGAAGAAGCACAGTAGAAGAAGAGGGAGGAGAAGCAGAGCAACCGAATTCTCCTACTAGAGAAAGAGGTAGAGACAGAGAGGGAGAGAGAGGTAACCTCGGCGCCATAGAAGAGAGAAAAGCAAATCAGCCTACAGGTAATCAAACCCTTTCCCTTGCCCCATTTTCACTCTGTTTCCATCGAATGGTTCCTTGTTTGCCGTTGCGATCCAATGGCTAATCCTCGATTCTGTTACGACACCTCTTAATTTTGGGCGTTTTCCCCTTTTGTAACCTCGTTTGTCCCCCTTCCCCTTCTCCATTCCATCCCCTCCACCTTTTGCTGCAATCCGCCCAGCGATTCGGCGCGTCTCGCCTCCTTCTCCCCTGTCTTTCCTTCCCCTTCCCTCCTCGGGTTTCTCTATCGATCAGTGTTTGATGGAGGGGAAGGATTGCAATTCACGTCACCTTGTTGCGGTGAGGATTGCCCTTTCCAATTTGACTGGCTCCGTGTTCTGAGAGGTGGTTCTTCATGTTGTCTGGTTCGGTTTTATTGAAATCTCAATTGGGCAGTTGTGAATTTCTCGATTAGGATGCTGTCTGATGTTGTAAATGAATTGTTTGCGAGGATTAATTCGTTGTTCGTGATGTATTCATTTCAAGTTGCTTTCTTTGTTGTCTGAAATGGTGTGGAAGAAAACTTGACCGGGGTGTCGATTGGTTTTGATTGAATTGCAACTTCCGAGTTGTGATTGCCCATGATTAGTCTCGTGGCTGCAGGATGGGTTTTCATGCAGCTACAGCCTTTTCCAGTTATTAAGTACCTCATTCGGGATTTTGTTCATTATGTTTGAACCCTGATCTAAAGGCAAACCATTTCATTTACATCCCTCAGTTTATAATGAGCTTAGTGATGCGGGTATGATTTACCCAAGTTAATTGTGTTGTAGTGTATTCATCTTGTTTTTGCTTTCTTTGTTGTTTGAAAGTGGATAAGAGATACGCAGTCAGGGTATTATACTTGGTTGAATTATTAGTGCCGAAGGGTGGTTACCCATGATTAGACTCGTGGCTGCTGGATATGTTATCCAATTCTCAATCGAAACTTATTAGTTCATTATGTTTTAACCCCTTTGATTTGAAGGCTAACCATTTCTATCCCTCATCTGCTTGAATCGTTTGATTATTGAACTCTCTATAAGCTTGATGATGAGGGCATGAGTTAACCAAGTTCATTTTGTTGGATATGGTGTGTGTTTTGGTGATGTTGAACAGACACATGCACCTTGCCCTGCCCTCTTTATTCGCTTGGATAAAACAAGGTCTCAAGACGATTTAATTTTGAGGAAGAGAGACAAGATGCGTCGATGGCTGTGCTGCACCTGTCAAGTGGAGGAGGCTTACCCATCTCATGAGAATGAGCTGCTAAGAAGCCCAAAACACCATAATGATGGTACATTTCTTGTCATTTTTACTTAATGAATGTGATTTTGCGCTGTGGATAGAAGGAAATCTGTGTCTTCTTGTCTTTGTTTGATACAATTGGACACCTTATATAGCACCAACTTTATGTTGCTGATAATGCATAACATGACTATTGTATTGTGTCTGACTTTCTGTTTTACTTTTGTGAATGCAGTAGATTATTAGTTGCCTGACTTTTGGTTTTAAAATTTATGCTGTTTCTTTGTGATTTATATGTATTGTTGCTTGTCTAGGTAAAATCTCGTTTTTATCCTTCTGAAGTGCATTTTCCATTCTTAGATAGTTATCAGTTAAATCATTCGATACCCTAGTGCAGCGATGCTGGATCGGAGGTAATCATTGTAGCTTATATTTTTGTTGTTGAAGCTGCATGTTTGCTTCTCATAATGAAGATGAATCTCTCGTGTTCTACATTGGTACTATGGCACTGTCCATTGTGGGGCAATTCAAGCAATCTGTGTGAATCCCACCCCTACTGTTAATGTGTATATAAACCATATAACGTGTTTTATTGATGTTTTGTTAACATGAATTACAGATCTACAGCCAGTATAATATGGTAACCGTCCTATTTTTGTTATTTCATTGGATAGGGCATCCAAAAGGTGCAAATGCATCAGCTCTTGTCAAGCCTGAAGTACAAAAGGAAGCACCGCCTATTCAAGTGCCGGCTTTGTCATTGGACGAAATGAAAGAAAAAACTGATAATTTTGGGTCAAAGGCTCTTATTGGTGAAGGATCCTATGGCAGAGTGTATTACGCAAACCTAGATGACGGAAAAGCGGTGGCTGTGAAGAAACTTGATGTATCCAGTGAGCCAGAAACCAATAACGAATTCTTAAATCAGGTTTACTTTATTTAACGATTTATTCAGTTTTATTCAAGTTTCGTAATTCAGCTCTACATTCTGTTCAATTTGGTTTTGTTTGCAGAGAAATTGCTATTACATTATTAATATTGGTTTTCTTTTCCCCCCGGTTTCAGGTTTCTATGGTATCGAGATTGAAGCATGAGAATTTTGTGGAATTGCAAGGTTATTGTGTAGCAGGAAATCTCAGAGTGCTAGCTTATGAATTTGCAACAATGGGATCTCTTCATGACATATTGCATGGTACAATTACAATGTATCTTCACATCTGTGATAAAACGGATGGAGTATTTATCTTTTAAGCATATTTTTTACATTGGCATTTCTTATGCGTTGTGTAACAGGTCGAAAGGGAGTTCAAGGGGCACAACCTGGTCCAGTGCTGGACTGGATGCAGCGAGTCAGAATTGCAGTTGATGCAGCAAGGGGTTTGGAATACTTGCATGAGAAGATTCAGCCTGCCATAATACACCGAGATATCAGATCAAGCAATGTGCTTCTCTTCGAGGATTTTAAAGCAAAGATTGCAGATTTTAACCTATCAAATCAGGCTCCAGACATGGCTGCACGCCTGCATTCCACTCGTGTTCTGGGAACTTTTGGTTATCATGCTCCAGAGTAATGCTTAATCTTTTCCCTTTATTTTCTTTTTTCGGGGGGTTGTTATTTCTACATATGAGGGGCTTGTATGCATGGATTATTGTCGGAGTTGCACTTGCACCCATTCATTGCAGGAGACATAGTTAACCATGCTCAAGTGGCCTGTGTTTTGTGAAGGCGGGTATTGTCAGGTTGGTTCAGAATCTGACATAATCTGCATAGGCGGAGATAGAATTAAGGAAACTAAATCTGCATGAAATCAAAACAAAATGAAGTCTTGCTTGGAGGATTGAATCTGAATTGTTGCCTACCCCTAGTTTTAGGATTGTTTTCTATCTTATGTTAGTTCACATAGTTTCCCGTATCTTCTTGCATCTTTTTTTGTTTTTGTTTTCCTCTGTCTTTCTTTTTCTGAGCAACCATTTGATTGTTATGCAGCTAATATGAATGGGACTTTGACTTATTTTGTAGGTATGCAATGACTGGACAATTGACACAGAAGAGTGACGTCTACAGCTTTGGTGTGGTTCTCCTCGAACTTCTCACCGGAAGGAAACCAGTCGATCATACCATGCCCCGTGGGCAGCAGAGTCTAGTCACCTGGGTTCGTCATCTGACAATGCCCTTTTCGTATTTTCTTTGCGTCATTGTATATCTACAACGCAGATAGTTTATATTGTATCATATTTCCCTTTGGTCAGGCTACTCCAAGATTAAGTGAAGACAAAGTGAAGCAGTGTGTGGATCCAAAGCTGAAGGGAGAGTATCCACCAAAGGGAGTAGCCAAGGTACTTGCTCAGACATCCGTATTAAGCTTGTTCTACTTGTAGATGACGACATTACATATGATACATGGGGAGCGTCTTTCTTTTATTGCAGTTGGCAGCTGTGGCAGCATTGTGCGTGCAGTATGAAGCAGAGTTTCGGCCAAACATGAGCATCGTCGTGAAGGCTCTCCAGCCACTGCTGAAGTCTCAAGTGCCTCCTGCTGCTGCTGCACCCGCCGCCCCAGAGTCCTGAAGGAGAGTCAGAAACAACGTAAGGGAAGAGCACGACAGGAGTTGAATACCTTTGATGTTTGGTTTGGAATGGTGTAATAATACTCCGGAAATCGTCAGATTGCAGCAGCTTGTGTTTGGTGTTTGAGATGTGCTCTAAGGATCTTACAAAGAGAGGGGCTGTATCTGATATATTTTTTTCTTCCTTGATTGATGATGATGTAGAGAGAATCGAATTGGGTTTGTAGTTTTGGGGAATATGGAGCTCTTTAACTGCTGGTGATTATAATCCGTTGCTTTGGACTTTGGTTTTCTCTCTCTCTCAGCCATGAAACGTTCTTTTAGCAGGAAAAAAATGTTAAGATATGCCCAAAAACTCTGTTGTGGCCCTTGTGTGTTACTCTTCGGCTCGGCCCAATAAAGCCCAATTCCTCCGTCCGACCTGCTGGCCCAACACTATGAAATCTGAGCCCATCTAGCAATCTCCAATTTTATTAATTTTTCTATAAATAACTAAATTCAGTCGGCATCCCCTTCTTAAACCCTTTCTTCTTCAGTCTCGTCGGACGTCAGAGCTTTTAATCTCTCTCTTACTCGCAAACAATCTCTCTCAGTTTCGCTCTTCATCTCTTTCCGCCAATCTCAAATTACTCGCTGTGGAATTGACCATCAAAAGAATGGCTGAAGCTATGGATTCTGATTCCGGCGGATGCGCCCTTCCCGCCGTCCGCTCAGAGGAAATCCCCGAATCTTGCTCTCCGCTTCCCGCGATGAAAGATTCGCCCCAGCCATTATCGCCCATCGTCGCTGGTCCATCTACTGCAGCCGAAGAAGATGGTCGTTTGCTTCTTGAGGGCAACAATCCCAGTTCTCATCCTCTCGAGAAGGCTGGATGCGTAGTTTGTGAAGAACTGGTTGATGACCATGCTCAAGAAGCGCTGGTTCTTGGTCCCTGTGGAGGCAAGATGGTAACTTGTCCTAATCCGATTTCTGGGTACTCCGACGCTGCTGAAGATGTCGACGGTAGAGTGGAGATTTCGGGCGGGGAGAGTTTGTTGGAGGCCAAGAAGAAAAAATTGCTGGCTGACCTTGAAGGTGGAGCGATCTTTAAAGGGAAAACCTTCCTGGGAAATGTGGTGGGTGCTTCCAATGGATTTGAGGAGTCTGATGGACCTTCTCTCAAGGTTCAAGTAATTGATGATACCGTGCTGATCGAACCGGTTGCTGTATTTCGAAACGTTCAGAACGGGAGGCAGCAGGTGAATGGGGGAAACGGGAAGAGGAATGGGAATCAAGGTGCTGCTGATGGGAAGAAGAAGAGGCCAAGAAAGAAGGGGAGAGATTTGATTAAGGGGAACATGAATCAAGATTTTGTGTCTGAAAATTGTAGCGCTGAAGGATTGTATCCGGCGAATGGAAAGTATTCGAGGAAAGATTTGGAGGAGATGAGGTTTATGAACATTGTGGAGCAAAGGAGAATCTGGAGAAGTATATACAATGGATTAGGGGCTGCTGTTGTGAAGGAGTATGAGGAGTTGGCTTGCTCAAGGAGCCAGAAGAACTTGCACCACCGGAACTTTGATTCCTCCAGGCATCCACTCTTTGGAAGTCAAACTGCTGCTGCTGGCGCGTCAGGTGTTCCTGGTGAGTTTTTCATGCTATTTTGATAAACAAGAATGAATCTTCACTTTGATAAACTGCTGTTTCTCAGTTCATTATGCATTGACAAGAAAATGTCTGCTTGTTTTTCACTGCGTGTTCTGCTTATTGCTTTGTCTTTGATGGCTTCTTGCTCCATGATTCAAGCTTGAATCAGTTTTGAGTGGTTTATGGAACGATGGAAATCAATAAGGAAAAAGGGCAGGGGGAAGGAGATTCAGTTATTTGTTTGTTAAATGCTCAAGAAAGGAAATAGGGGAATCAGATGAGAATCATCTTTTGGATTTTGATACTCTCGGTTGCTTGATTGAGTTGTATGATGAAGAAAGTGTTTGATGTGCCAAATTACATGCAGTTCTGCAGCCTTAGTTTAGTAAATGCTTCTGGTTGACTTATGAAGTGCATCCATTTGTTTGCTCGGGTGGTATTATAATTCTCTGTGATTTTCCTCTTTCGTTAGTGTTTACAGCTTTGGGTTTATCTTTCTGTTGCAATTTAAACTACTGGTAGACATTCGTTTCTGGGTTGATCTAGTAGGCAGCACATGTCCAAAGTCAAAGAATGTGTAGAAGGTTTTTAGGTCGAACATTTATGCTAAGGGCGATTCATTGCTGCAAAATGAGGTGGAAATAGGTGTAGCACAGACCATAGGCCTAATCTGTGTATGAACTTGATATTTTTGAACTAGATGAACAGCAAGGTATTAGACTTTAGTGGAGGAGGAAGGATGTCAAGCGATTGCAAATAGTTTGAGTTATCAACTCTTCTTTCATGCTCAATAGGTCTTTCCATTTTGTTGAAATCTCATCTCAACCCTATATTAAAGGAGAATGGCTTATAGATCATTACGGTGACATTCAATGTCCAGAACTCCATATCTGGTTCCATACTGCTTATACCATGCCCTTGCCGTCTCTCATTCTTGTCAATACTCTCATCAAATAGTTTGATGTTTTGGATTTCCCCCTTGTTACCTTCTTCTTCTAGAATTACCTGGTTCTTATTTAACCATGCTTCACTAGTTCTTCTTCTATCTATCCTCGGTTGTCAGTGTGGCTTCTACTAGGTCTGATCCTCTGTTCACTAAGACACCACACTTTGCTGAGCCCTTTTCTTCCATTTTGGCGGTCTTTCTTCTTTGCTGCTTCCCTACTTCCCAGCTGGATTTGGGGCCCTATTGTTGTCAATTTGATGGGTTGAGTTTTGTGTTCTGGACAGGTTGTGGTGCTGCAAGGGGAAGATGGAATCATGTGAATGTATATGTACCACTGAAGAATGGGCTAAAGAGCAACTGAGCTGTAGATTTGGGAAATAAGTAACCTCAATGTTTTTTAGCAGTATTCATAGGCAACTAAATGGTTTTGTAGTATAGAAACACTGTACATAGGTGTTTCCAGGCTTCCAGCCATTGGCTAACCTACTTCGTTATCTTCTGTGTGCATAGAAGCACTGTACATAGGTGTTCTGGCCATTGGCTACCCTACATCTTTAGCTTTGGTGTAGGCTTTTCTTGTGATAGAATCTGTGCTGTTGTAGTAGATAATACGACTTGCTAAAAAACTGTGGATGAATGTAAAAAATGCTTGTACACAATTCATTTACAGTTCATACAATGAATGCCATTTCTGATTTTTGCATTATCTTTGTGGACCAAGTATGTTTGCGATTGATAAATATGTCGAGAGTTCTAAAATTCCTATTGTTTCAGGGGAAGAACAGTCTTCCAAAAATGGTGGTGATGACTTAGAAAACTTGGAAGAAGTTGATAGAGAGAATTGTAGTTCGGTTTCTTCCTGCAGTCATGATATCGCGGGTGGTCAAACTCCAGATACAGTTGCTGAAGGGCAATATGATGAAGAAGATGATAGCGATGATGATTATGCTAGCATCCAAAAACCAGCTTTTCATATAGAAGGAGAACCGGATTTCGATTCTGGACCTCCGGAAGATGGATTAGAATATCTAAGGCGTGTTAGGTAACAGTTTTACTTCCATGTTCTGCAACTTAAATCATGAATTGAACTTATCATTCTTTGGATTTCAGTTTGTAATTTACCCGTTCCTGTTCTTTTTATACAGGTGGGAAGCTGCTCGTATTCCGAAAGTCAAAGTCGCCAAGCTTGATCAGCATAAGATTCAGAAAGAGCAAAGTGTTTATATGCCTCAGATACCCGATATTCCCAAGTGTCCAGACCATCTGCTGCCTTCAAAAACTTGGGAAGACGCATTCCTGTCCGACTTTTCACAGCTGCGACTGGTATGTTACTGAGAAATTTACCTTAATTTCAATTGTTAATGCTTGCTTCACAAATAGTTAACAGCACATGGCTTACTGTAATGAGACTCTTACTAAGTTTTGCTGAGCATTTAGAGGCTACATCATCCTAAATTCTTGAGAAGTTTACAACCTAGCATTCTGTCCTGACATTCTCATGATCTCTCTCTCCCTCAGTTGTTGGCAAGAGATGAAGAATCTGACGATCTGATTTCTCATAAGCCTCCGTCAGTCACCATAGGCCACGAGCAGGATGATGAAGCTCAGTTCCATCTGCTTACCGAGAACATCATTCTCGAAAATGTTAATCAGCTCTATCCAGAAAGCCTCGATCCCAATGGTCCCTCTGAGGGATCCATTCTCGAGAACGCAGCTGATCATGTACCATCAGTATCGCAAGCGGTCACCGACGAGGTTGATAAGCCACCTGCAGCTTCTCCCACTCCAGCAGCTACCACAGCCAGGGTCAATGAGAGTTCAACCAGTCACCCAACCTTATCAGCGATCCGAGCAATGGACTCTGTGGTTCGAATCTCCACTCTCAAGAAAAGGATCAGCTCTGCAGAGAGCGTGACGACAACCAGTTTATCGAAGAACGACTGCCTGTGGCTGTTTGCTCTTTGCGCAGCAGTCGATACTCCGCTGCTCGCTGATACCAGCGCTGCCATTCGTGGGCTTCTCCGCAAATGTGCAAGCCTTCGAGCTGCCAAGTCCGAGCTGGACGATGAGGTAGTGATGTTGAATATCCTGGCGACCATCTGTGGCAGATATTTTGGGCAGGCTGAATGCTGCTGAAACACACTATTTCAACAGATAATCAGTTCTTTGTCAGATAGAAGACTCAGCTTGTGCTTGTGCCAATCTCAATAAACCCTAGCTACTATAGAGCCTAGAGTCGTTGAACCAATTGGTTCAACTTTCAATAGTTCGAGTTGTGGGAAAAAAATCAATTATAAAATCTTGTACTATGTTTTTTGTTGTTGGTAGAAAGACGGACGAAACTCGTCCTAGTTCATACTATTAACCAAACGGGAAGTAGAAACTCCCAAAACATCATACAACATCCAATATTCGAGCTGAGGGTCGCACACATTGAAATTATGTGTGCCAAAATCCATTCAATGTGTGCCAAAATCCATCTCATGCCCCTTAGAAGCTAAAATCCGGTCCATCAAGCTCCAATAAAAATAAAGTCGCTTACACAATAATAAAACTATTACAAATAGTGATTTTAGGTAAGATATAAAATTCATAATTTATATTCTCTCAACAACTCAAATTATTTGGGTCAAATAATTTATAACCCGACATCATAACAATATTTGACCAAGAAATAATCAATGTGTGAATATCCACAACTCGATTTAACACAAAGTAAAAGGAAAATGTGCAGATTGTAACTATTAGCGACTAATATTTCAAGTGAGAGCCTCATCCTTTGAATTTTCGCCCTACATTGGATCACAATCACATGATACATGACTACGTGCGTATAACAGAAGGAAATAATTCATCGAACTAAAAAAAGGAAATTATTCACAGTACAATCACAGATTTCGGGCGATTTATTTGAAATGCGATTTTCTTTCGATTCTGAAGGCTACAGATCACAGGAATCAGGCCGAGGCTATTCTCCACCGATAATGAAGTCTATTGATCCTATTCTCCACGGATGATAAGTCCGTTAAGCATCGATTTGGGCCAATTTATTTTCGGATGACATTTTCGTAATTTCTTGGGCGACGAAATGCCATTTTCTTTGGGTATTGAAGGCTACAGATCACGGATTCGCCCTGAGGCTATTCTCCAACGATGATTGAGTCCATTAAGCACCAATTTGGGCGGATTTATTCCGGGTCAATTTTTGGCAGATTCCAAAGGGGTACCATCACAGATTTCGGACGATTTATCCGAAATGCCATTTTCTTTCGATTCTGGAGGCTACAAAACACGGAATCAGGCCGAGGCTATTCTCCACCGATAATGAAATCTATTGATCCTATTCTCCACAGCTGATAAGTCCGTTAAGCATCGATTTGGGCCAATTTATTTTCGGATGACATTTTCTTAATTTCTTGGGCGACGAAAGGACATTTTCTTTGGGTATTGAAGAATACAGATCACAGATTCGGCCTGAGGCTATTCTCCAACGATGATTGAGTCCATTAAGCACCGATTTGGGCGGATTTATTCCGAGTCAATTTTTGGCAGATTCCAAAGGGGTACCATCACAGATTTCGGACGATTTATCCGAAATGCCATTTTCTTTCGATTCTGGAGGCTACAAATCACAGAATCAGGCCGAGGCTATTCTCCACCAATAATGAAGTCTATTGATCATATTCTCCACGGATGATAAGTCCGTTAAGCATCGATTTGGGCCAATTTAATTTCGGATGACATTTTTCGTAATTTCTTGGGCGACGAAAGGCCATTTTCTTTGGGTATTGAAGGCTACAGATCATGGATTCGGCCTGAGGCTATTCTCCAACGATGATTGAGTCCATTAAGCACCGATTTGGGCGGATTTATTCCGGGTTAATTTTTGGCAGATTCCAAAGGGGTACCATCACAGATTTCGGGCGATTTATCCGAAATGCCATTTTCTTTCGATTCTGGAGGCTACAGGTCACGGAATCAGGCCGAGGCTATTCTCCACCGATAATGAAGTCTATTGATCCTATTCTCCACGGATGATAAGTCCGTTAAGCATCGATTTGGGCCAATTTATTTTTGGATGGCATTTTCGTAATTTCTTGTGCGACGAAAGGCCATTTTCTTTGGGTATTGAAGGCTACAGATCACGGATTCGGCCAGAGGCTATTCTCCAACGATGATTGAGTCCATTAAGCACCGATTTGGGCGGATTTATTCTGTGTCAATTTTTGGCAGATTCCAAAGGGGTACCATTAGAGATTTCGGGCGATTTATCCGAAATGCCATTTTCTTTCAATTCTGGAGGCTACAGATCACAAAATCAGGCCGAGGCTATTCTCCACCGATAATTAAGTCTATTGATCTTATTCTCCACAGATGATAAGTCCGTTAAACATCGATTTGGGCGAATTTATTTTCGGATGAAATTTTTGGAATTTCTTGGGCAACAAAAGGCCATTTTCTTTGGGTATTGAAGGCTACAGATCACGGATTCGGCCTGAGGCTATTCTCCAACGATGATTGAGTACATTAAGCACCGATTTGGGCGGATTTATTCCGGGTCAATTTTTAGCAGATTCCAAAGGGGTACCATCACTGATTTCGGGCGATTTATCCGAAATGCCATTTTCTTTCGATTCTGGAGGCTACAAATCACGGAATCAGGCCGAGGCTATTCTCCACCGATAATGAAGTCTATTGATCCTATTCTCCATGGAAGATAAGTTCGTGAAGCATTGATTTGGGCCAATTTATTTTCGGATGACATTTTCGTAATTTCTTGGGCGACGAAAGGCCATTTTCTTTGGGTATTGAAGGCTACAAATCACGGATTCGGCCTGAGGCTATTCTCCAACGATGATTGATTCCATTAAGCACCGATTTGAGCTGATTTATTCCGGGTCAATTTTTGGCAGATTCCAAAGGGGTACCATCACAGATTTCGGGTGATTTATCCGAAATGCCATTTTCTTTCGATTCTGGAGGCTACAGATCACAGAATCAGGCCGAGGCTATTCTCCACCGATAATGAAGTCTATTGATCCTATTCTCCACGGATGATAAGTCCGTTAAGCATCGATTTGAGCGAATTTATTTTCGGATGACATTTTCGTAATTACATGGGCAACGAAAGACCATTTTCTTTGGGTATTGAAGGCTACAGATCACGGATTCAGCCTGAGGCTATTCTCCAACGATGATTGAGTCCATTAAGCACCAATTTGGGAGGATTTATTCCTGTTCAGTTTTAAGCAGATTCCAAAGGGGTACCATCACAGATTTCGGGCGATTTATCTGAAATGCCATTTTCTTTCGATTCTGGAGGCTACAGATCACAGAATCAGGCCGAGGCTATTCTCCACCAATAATGAAGTCTATTGATCCTATTCTCCACGGATGATAAGTCCGTTAAGCATCAATTTGGGCCAATATATTTTCGGATGGCATTTTTCGTAATTTCTTGGGCGACGAAAGGCCATTTTCCTTGGGTTTTGAAGGCTACAGATCACGGATTCGGCCTGAGGCTATTCTCCAATGATGATTGAGTCCATTAGCACCGATTTGGGCGGATTTATTCCGGGTCAATTTTTGGCAGATTCCAAAGGGGTACCATCACAGATTTCGGGCGATTTATCCGAAATGCCATTTTCTTTCGATTCTTGAGGCTACAGGTGACGGAATCAGGACGAGGCTATTCTCCAGCGATAATGAAGTTTATTGATCCTATTCTCCACGGATGATAAGTCCGTTAAGTATTGGTTTGGGCCAATTTATTTTTGGATGGCATTTTCGTAATTTCTTGTGCAACGAAAGGCCATTTTCTTGGGGTATTGAAGGCTACAGATCAATGATTCGGCCTGAGGCTATCTCCAACGATGATTGAGTCCATTAAGCACCGATTTGGGCGGATGTATTCCGGGTCAATTTTTGGCAGATTCCAAAGGGGTACCATTAGATATTTCGGGAGATTTATCCGAAATGCCATTTTCTTTCGATTCTGGAGGCTACAGATCACAAGAATCAGGCCGAGGCTATTCTCCACCGATAATGAAGTCTATTGATCTTATTCTCCATGGATGATAAGTCCGTTAAGCATCGATTTGGGCGAATTTATTTTCGGATGACATTTTCGTAATTTCTTGGGCAACGAAAGACCATTTTCTTTGGGTAATGAAGGCTACAGATCACGGATTCGGCCTGAGGCTATTCTCCAACGATGATTGGGTACATTAAGCACCGATTTGGGCGGATTTATTCCGGGTCATTTTTAGCAGATTCCAAAGGGGTACCATCACAGATTTCAGGCGATTTATCCGAAATGCCATTTTCTTTCGATTCTGGAGGCTACAAATCACGGAATCACGCCGAGGCTATTCTCCACCGATAATTAAGTCTATTGATCCTATTCTTCACGGATGATAAGTTCATTAAGGATCGATTTGGGTCAATTTATTTTCGGATGGCATTTTCGTAATTTCTTGGGCGACGAAAAGCCATTTTCTTGGGGTATTGAAGGCTACAGATCACGGATTCGGCCTGAGGCTATTCTCCAACGATGATTGAGTCCATTAAGCACCGATTTGGGCGGATTTATTCCAGGTCAATTTTTGGCAGATTCCACAGGGGTACCATCACAGATTTCTGGCGATTTATCCGAAATGCCATTTTCTTTCGATTCTGGAAGCTACACATCACGGAATCAGGCCGAGGCTATTCTCCACCGATAATGAAGTCTATTGATCCTATTCTCCAAGGATGATAAGCCCGTTAAGCATCGATTTGGGCGAATTTATTTTTGGATGACATTTTCGTAATTTCTTGGGCAACGAAAGGCCATTTTCTTTGGGTATTGAAGGCTACAGATCACGGATTCAGCCTGAGGCTATTCTCCAACGAAGATTGAGTCCATTAAGCACCGATTTGGGCGGATTTATTCTGTGTCAATTTTTAGCAGATTCCAAAGGGGTACCATCACAGATTTCGAGCGATTTATCCGAAATTCCATTTTCTTTCGATTCTGGAGGCTACAGATCACAGAATCCGGCCGAGGCTTTTCTCCACCGATAATGAAGTCTATTGATCCTATTCTCCAAGGATGATAAGCCCGTTAAGCATCGATTTGGGCGAATTTATTTTTGGATGACATTTTCGTAATTTCTTGGGCAACGAAAGGCCATTTTCTTTGGGTATTGAAGGCTACAGATCACGGATTCAGCCTGAGGCTATTCTCCAACGAAGATTGAGTCCATTAAGCACCGATTTGGGCGGATTTATTCTGTGTCAATTTTTAGCAGATTCCAAAGGGGTACCATCACAGATTTCGAGCGATTTATCCGAAATTCCATTTTCTTTCGATTCTGGAGGCTACAGATCACAGAATCCGGCCGAGGCTTTTCTCCACCGATAATGAAGTCTATTGATCCTATTCTCCACGGATGATAAGTCCGTTAAGCATCGATTTGGGCCAATTTTTTTTCGGATGGCATTTTTGTAATTTCTTGGGCGACGAAAGACCATTTTCTTTTGGTATTGAAGGCTACAGATCACGGATTCGGCCTGAGTCTATTCTCCAACGATGATTGAGTCCATTAATCACCAATTTGGGCGGATTTATTCCGGGTCTATTTTTGGCAGATTCCAAAGGGGGACCATCACAGATTTCGGGCGATTTATCCGAAATGCCATTTTCTTTCGATTATGGAGGCTACATATCACGGAATCAGGCCGAGGCTATTCTCCACCGATAATGAATTCTATTGATCCTATTCTCCACGGATGATAAGTTCGTTAAGCATCGATTTGGGCCAATTTATTTTCGGATGACATTTTCGTAATTTCTTGGGTGACGAAAGGCCATTTTCTTTGGGTATTGAAGGCTACAGATCACTGATTCGGCCAGAGGCTATTCTCCAACGATGATTGAGTCCATTAAGCACCGATTTGGGCGGATTTATTCCGGGTCAATTTTTGGCAGATTCCAAAGGGGTACCATCACAGATTTCGTACGATTTATCCGAAATGCCATTTTCTTTCGATTTTGGAGGCTACACATCACAGAATCAGACCGAGGCTATTCTCCACCGATAATGAAGTCTATTGATCCTATTCACCACGGATGATAAGTCCGTTAAGCATCGATTTGGCCCTATTTATTTTCGGATGGCATTTTCGTAATTTCTTTGGCGACGAAAAGTCATTTTCTTTGGGTATTGAAGGCTACAGATCACGGATTCGGCCTGAGGCTATTCTCCAACGATGATTGATTCCATTAAGCACCGATTTGGGCGGATTTATTCCGTGTCAATTTTTGGCAGATTCCAAACGGGTACCATCACAGATTTCTGGCGATTTATTCGAAATGCCATTTTCTTTCGATTCTGGAGGCTACAGATCACGGAATCTGGCCGAAGCTATTCTCCACCGATAATGAAGTCTATTGATCCTATTCTCCACGGATGATAAGTATGTTAAGCATCGATTTGGGCGAATTTATTTTCGGATGGCATTTTCGTAATTTCTTGGGCAACGAATGGCCATTTTCTTTGGGTATTTGACACTCCAAAAACACAACACCTAACAATGGCCAAGTGTAACCAATGGAAGGGACTGCAGTATAGTGGCTCAAGTGATAAATATCGAATCCACGGGTCTCTAGAGTTACTATTACTCAGCTTCAGTTTATTATTTAGCAAACCAAATTAAGATGAAAGAACTAAAACTACTCTAGCAAACTACAGTTAAAGTTAATCTAATTACAGGTTGGGAACTCACTTAGGTATGATTCCCCCTAGCCACTAGCCAGATTAATGATTGATGATCTCTAACCTGTTTCACTTTCATTCACAATGCGGAGAATCCTTGACTAGACCTTGAGTCTCGACTAAAGGAACAAGGCCCTCTTGAGTCAATTGCCTAGAGGGACGTATCCTTCTCTAGAACAACTGATCAAGGCGTTCTGAACTAGACTCCCTCTATCGAAAGAGGTTCTCAATCGATACAAAGCAGTGAATCAACCCTCGACTAAAGCAATCGATCCACTACTATCAATCTATGGTGCTCTATTGACCTAATCAGGTATTCCCTCTCATAGAATCAAAGCAGAATCAATAATCTCGACTAAAGCAGAATTGAATCATGAAAACATGCATAGATTGAATATGAACTCAAGATTATCCAGTCAGAGTACTCATACAATCATCCAATCAAACAAACATAGCTAGGGTTCCTCAATACCTAAGTGAAGGGAAGTTACTCCATAGAGAAGAGAGAGACTGCAGTAAGAATCTTGAGATGATCAGTCTTCAAGTCCGGGCTTGTTCCTCGAGCTTCCAAGGCGAAGAAATCCTCCTTCTCTACTCCAAGAATGCCCTCAAATCGCCCTCTCTCTCTAGGGTTCGTCCCTTGGGTGTTTGGGATCCAAAAACCCAGCTCTCCTCTTCTTTGGTTCGGAATTTGGCTTAAAACCAGGAAATCCCGACTCGCACGGCCAGGGTGCACGGCCGTGCATATCACCATTCTGGCCGTGCAACTCAAAACGCAGCGTGTCATTTAGTCGAACTTAGCCCTCTCGCACGGCCAGGGTGCACGGCCGTGCGAGCTTCAGGGGTTGCCCGTGCGTGTCCTCGGCATAAGGCGCACGGCCATATTGCTCACGTGCACGGCCGTGCAGCCTCCCTGGTCTGCCCGTGCAGCTTGCTCAGCCTCTGTTTAATGCTTCGTTTCTCCCTCGTCCGGACTCCGAATCAATCGCCGTTTGATCCCAGACGCTGGTAGTCTCGTCCTCTTTCGTTTCATAACAAGCTTGCATGATTCTTTGTCCATAAAGTGAGGTAGAAATCCATTCTTCTTCAGGTCATGCCCGAGTTTCTTCTCTCGAATCGTCAATTGATCTCTGATTGACTTGAAACTTGCGCCTATGCTTCACTTTATGTGCTAGGACCTGAAATGGGACAAAGGAATACAACCTAGCATAAAATAGGCCAAAGACGCAATAATTCAAGCTCAAACAATCAAGAAACAAAGGGGAAAACATGTGCAAATACCGAGTCATCAAATCCCCCCACACTTAACTGTTTGCTTGTCCCCAAGCAAACCTAACTCAAACCAATGCAACTCTTCAGACCTCTATAGCAACAAACACCCCAGATCGTAGGTAGAGGATTTCCTAGATCATTTAGCAACTTACGAGGTCAACCGACACACAAGTCATCTCATAGCTTCTTCGGCGAGAGCACTAGTATCGAGTCGGCATCATGGCAAATAGTGAACAGAGGACAAATGAATTGTGGATGCAGAGATTCTCAAAAACAAAGGATCATGGACTCACATTTTTCAAGGTGCTCTATTTTCTTCTTGAAGATGGTTGGAACCCCTTTTCTTTCTGTTTTGCTTGTTTTCTGTTATTTTTTCCCCTTTTTTTTTCTTTCAAGGGTCCCAACCTGCTCTTACCGGCCATGCCAGGAGCGGATGTCTCGAGCCTCGTGCGGGGGAAAGACATGTAAGGGGGCTGGAGGTAGTAGGTGGAAATTGGGAACGAATTCCCGTCTCCCCTTACACACTTTCGCCCTATTCGCACGGGAGACGTTATTTTGAAGCACATTTTCGAGCACCTGTTACTTTCAAAACATGATACAAGAGTCCATGACAGGTAGAGAATCCAAAACACCACACAATTCAAGGGTCCTAAGATCACTAATTCACTCAATCAACCAACTCAATATGAAGAAGACATGAGACTTCTTAAATGCATCAACATCCTCCATAGTGCTACACTACCTCCCTAGGTTGCATATTACTATAGAGACTGTCAATTCAAAGCATACTGAGCAGGCAATTGCAAGGAAACACGTACTTGGAGCCCTCAAATTTAAAAATTTGGACAGTGGACTAGGCTCCAAGCACACAAACAGCCAAACATTCACCCGCATACATAATCGAACACCCCCCCACACTTAAGCACGACATTGTCCTCAATGGAGGAAAGATAAGGAGGGTAGAACGAAGTTACCAGATCAAGGGTGAATGATGATGAACGGGTCAGGCGGTGCATTCCAGAAAGAGAGAGTAATCAGAACACAAACACCACACAAAATCTCACAAAGGTTGAGTTATTGACTCTAAAATCAAATAACAAAACTGACTCAACCGAGGAGAAAAAGAGAAAGAAATGCAAACCGACTGGTTGGGTTGCCTCCCAACAAGCGCTTCTTTCACGTCGTGAGCCGGACGATGGCTCCTAAGTTTCGGTCCATGCTAGAACCTCCTTGAAGTTGAGGTTCTCGTCGATGAGGTGGAGTCTCAAGTCACGAGCATGTGGTGTGGCAGGTGATGAAGGCTCATGTACTTGATGCAGATGAAGTCTCCACCCTCGAGACCTCTTCTTCTCTTCTCTCGTCTCATTGCCCCAAACCAGATATGACAGCATCGATTGGCCACCATCGCGTCCACCAAGAGGGACCGATGTCGATGTGGCCTTGGTCTGGCAAAGAGAGACTGCAAATGGGTCCTTGCCAAGCAGCTCCTCGAAGTTTGGTGGAGATATTACATGTAACTCATGGCCGGTGCAAGCCTCTTCCACCTCAACTTCGTCCTCAGCCTGGACTCCAATTGCTTCTTCAACCTCCCTTCCTTCTTCATGTGGTATCACCCCTGGGAAATGATCAAGAACTCCTCTAGCTTCACTTTCGTCATCCTCCACAACTTCTTTCTGCACCCTTTCTTGCTCTTCTTCTTCTAGCACGGATTGGAGAGCAAGTTGCCAAGCAATTTCTTTCATGAAATCTTCTTGCATCTCCTCACTCATGCCCGCCTCTTCAAAGCTCAGTTTGGGATATGGGAAGGTGTGGTCGGCTACGACATGACAGGCCTGATCATGATCATCACGGGAGCTCTCCGTGACAACTTCAGTGTGTTCCACAATGCCCTTGTAGCCTTCTTCTTCCTCCTCCTCTTCTTGTATGGTAGCAGAAGGGTGATCTGGAGCAGGTTGCGCCCAAGATCGCTCAAGATCATCGACGCTCTTCTTAAGGCTCAGGAGGATCTCATCTGTTTCACGATAGGCCTGGACACACTGATCCATCCTGGAGCATGTTCTCTCACAGTCTCGAGCATACTGCTCCATGAGTAACTCCAGTGCCGATGGCCCTTCTGGTTGTGGGAGAAATTCTTCTTGATAATGAGGTTGTTCTTGATATGCCCAGGGGTCCGGCTGTTCTCAGTAGTAAGGGGGTTGGTACTGGAACCCGAATCCATAGTCTTCTCCGCCCTGATTGCTCCACGGAGTCTCGGGGTAATACCACCCAGATGGTGGTGGATACCCCCAATGATTGGAGAAGCCATTAGGATCCATGATTCAGATCTGCACCAACAAAAACAAAAACACCCAAGTGAAAAGCAAGGGTGGAAAAGAAAAGAAACGAAAAACGCTAAAGTAACAAACTTCTGCCTTTCCTAATACTCTAGAAAGTCCCCGGCAACGGCGCCAAAAACTTGACACTCCAAAAACACAACACCTAACAATGGCCAAGTGTAACCAATGGAAGGGACTGCAGTATAGTGGCTCAAGTGATAAATATCGAATCCACGGGTCTCTAGAGTTACTATTACTCAGCTTCAGTTTATTATTTAGCAAACCAAATTAAGATGAAAGAACTAAAACTACTCTAGCAAACTACAGTTAAAGTTAATCTAATTACAGGTTGGGAACTCACTTAGGTATGATTCCCCCTAGCCACTAGCCAGATTAATGATTGATGATCTCTAACCTGTTTCACTTTCATTCACAATGCGGAGAATCCTTGACTAGACCTTGAGTCTCGACTAAAGGAACAAGGCCCTCTTGAGTCAATTGCCTAGAGGGACGTATCCTTCTCTAGAACAACTGATCAAGGCGTTCTGAACTAGACTCCCTCTATCGAAAGAGGTTCTCAATCGATACAAAGCAGTGAATCAACCCTCGACTAAAGCAATCGATCCACTACTATCAATCTATGGTGCTCTATTGACCTAATCAGGTATTCCCTCTCATAGAATCAAAGCAGAATCAATAATCTCGACTAAAGCAGAATTGAATCATGAAAACATGCATAGATTGAATATGAACTCAAGATTATCCAGTCAGAGTAATCATACAATCATCCAATCAAACAAACATAGCTAGGGTTCCTCAATACCTAAGTGAAGGGAAGTTACTCCATAGAGAAGAGAGAGACTGCAGTAAGAATCTTCAGATGATCAGTCTTCAAGTCCGGGCTTGTTCCTCGAGCTTCCAAGGCGAAGAAATCCTCCTTCTCTACTCCAAGAATGCCCTCAAATCGCCCTCTCTCTCTAGGGTTCGTCCCTTGGGTGTTTGGGATCCAAAAACCCAGCTCTCCTCTTCTTTGGTTCGGAATTTGGCTTAAAACCAGGAAATCCCGACTCGCACGGCCAGGGTGCACGGCCGTGCATATCACCATTCTGGCCGTGCAACTCAAAACGCAGCGTGTCATTTAGTCGAACTTAGCCCTCTCGCACGGCCAGGGTGCACGGCCGTGCGAGCTTCAGGGGTTGCCCGTGCGTGTCCTCGGCATAAGGCGCACGGCCATATTGCTCACGTGCACGGCCGTGAAGCCTCCCTGGTCTGCCCGTGCAGCTTGCTCAGCCTCTGTTTAATGCTTCGTTTCTCCCTCGTCCGGACTCCGAATCAATCGCCGTTTGATCCCAGACGCTGGTAGTCTCGTCCTCTTTCGTTTCATAACAAGCTTGCATGATTCTTTGTCCATAAAGTGAGGTAGAAATCCATTCTTCTTCAGGTCATGCCCGAGTTTCTTCTCTCGAATCGTCAATTGATCTCAAATTGACTTGAAACTTGCGCCTATGCTTCACTTTATGTGCTAGGACCTGAAATGGGACAAAGGAATACAACCTAGCATAAAATAGGCCAAAGACGCAATAATTCAAGCTCAAACAATCAAGAAACAAAGGGGAAAACATGTGCAAATACCGAGTCATCAGTATTGAAGGCTACAGATCACGGATTCAGCCTGAGGCTATTCTCCAACGATGATTGAGTCCATTAAGCACCGATTTGGGCGAATTTATTCCGGGTCAATTTTTAGCAGATTCCAAGGGGGTACCATCACAGATTTCGGGCGATTTATCCGAATTGCCATTTTCTTTCGATTCTGGAGGCTACAGATCACAGAATCAGGCCGAGGCTATTCTCCACCGATAATGAAGTCTCTTGATCCTATTCTCCACGGATGATAAGTCTCTTAAGCATCGATTTGGGCAAATTTATTTTCTGATGGCATTTTTGTAATTTCTTGGGCGACGAAAGGCCATTTTCTTTGGGTATTGAAGGCTACAGATCACAGATTCGGCATGAGGCTATTCTCCAACGATAATTGAGTCCATTAAGCACCGATTTGGGCGGATTTATTCCGGGTCAATTTTTAGCAGATTCCAAAGGGGTACCATCACAGATTTCAGGCGATTTATCCGAAATGCCATTTTCTTTCGATTATGGAGGCTACAGATCACGAAATTAGGACGAGGCTATTCTCCACCGATAAGGAAGTCTATTGATCCTATTCTCCACGGATGATAAGTCCGTTAAGCATCTTTTTGGGCCAATTAATTTTCGGATTGCATTTTCGTAATATCTTGTGCGACGAAAGGCCATTTTCTTTGGGTATTGAAGGCTACAGATCACAGATTCGGCCTGAGGCTATTCTCCAACGATGATTGAGTCAATTAAGCACCGATTTGGGCGAATTTATTTCGGGTCAATTTTTGGCAGATTCCAAAGGGGTACCATCACAGATTTCCGACGATTTATCCGAAGTGCCATTTTCTTTCGATTATGGAGGCTACAGATCACGGAATCAGGTCGAGGCTATTCTCCACCGATAAGGAAGTCTATTGATCCTATTCTCCACGGATGATAACTTTGTTAAGCATCGATTTGGGCCCATTTATTTTCGGATGACATTTTCGTAATATCTTGTGCGACGAAAGGCCATTTTCTTTGGGTATTGAAGGCTACAACAGATCACGGATTCGGCCTGAGGCTATTCTCCAACGATGATTGAATCCATTAAGCACCGATTTGGGAGGATTTATTCCGGGTCAATTTTTGGCAGATTCCAAAGGGGTACCATCACAGATTTCGGGCGATTTATCCGAAATGCCATTTTCTTTCGATTCGGAAAGCTACAGATCACGGAATCAGGCCGAGGCTATTCTCCACCGATAATGAAGTCTATTGATCCTATTCTCCACGGATGATAAGTTCGTTAAGCATCGATTTGGGCCAATTTATTTTCGGATGGCATTTTCGTAATTTCTTGGGCGAAGAAAGGCCATTTTCTTTGGGTATTGAAGGCTACAGATCACAGATTCGGCCTGAGGCTATTCTCCAACGATGATTGATTCCATTAAGCACCGATTTGGGCGAATTTATTCCGGGTTAATTTTTCGCAGATACAAAGGTGTACCATCACAGATTTCGGGCGATTTATCCGAAATGTCATTTTCTTTCGATTCTGAAAGCTACAGATCACAGAATCAAACCGAGGCTATTCTCCACCGATAATGAAGTCTATTGATCCTATTCACCATGGATGATAAGTCCGTTAAGCATCGATTTGGGCCAATTTATTTTCGGATGACATTTTCTTAATTTCTTGGGCGACGAAAGGACATTTTCTTTGGGTATTGAAGACTACAGATCATAGATTCGGCCTGAGGCTATTCTCCAACGATGATTGAGTCCATTAAGCACCGATTTGGGCGGATTTATTCCGGGTCAATTTTTGGCAGATTCTAAAGGGGTACTATCACATATTTCGGGCGATTTATCCGAAATGTCATTTTCTTTCGATTCTGGAGGCTACAGATCATGGAATCAGGCCGAGGCTATTCTCCACCGATAATGAAGTCTATTGATCCCATTCTCCACGGATGATAAGTTCGTTAAGCATCGATTTGCGCCAATTTATTTTCGGATGGCATTTTTCGTAATTTCTTGGGCGAAGAAAGGCCATTTTCTTTGGGTATTGAAGGCTACAACAGATCACGGATTCAGCCTGAGGCTATTCTCCAACGATGATTGAATCAATTAAGCACCGATTTGGGCGAATTTATTCCGGGTCAATTTTTGGCAGATTCCAAAGGGGTACCATCACAGATTTCCGACGATTTATCCGAAGTGCCATTTTCTTTCGATTATGGAGGCTACAGATCACGGAATCAGGTCGAGGCTATTCTCCACCGATAAGGAAGTCTATTGATCCTATTCTCCACGGATGATAACTTTGTTAAGCATCGATTTGGGCCCATTTATTTTCGGATGACATTTTCGTAATATCTTGTGCGACGAAAGGCCATTTTCTTTGGGTATTGAAGGCTACAACAGATCACGGATTCGCCCTGAGGCTATTCTCCAACGATGATTGAATCCATTTAGCACCGATTTGGGAGGATTTATTCCGGGTCAATTTTTGGCAGATTCCAAAGGGGTACCATCACAGATTTCGGGCGATTTATCCGAAATGCCATTTTCTTTCGATTCGGAAAGCTACAGATCACGGAATCAGGCCGAGGCTATTCTCCACCGATAATGAAGTCTATTGATCCTATTCTCCACGGATGATAAGTTCGTTAAGCATCGATTTGGGCCAATTTATTTTCGGATGGCATTTTCGTAATTTCTTGGGCGAAGAAAGGCCATTTTCTTTGGGTATTGAAGGCTACAGATCACAGATTCGGCCTGAGGCTATTCTCCAACGATGATTGAGTCCATTAAGCACCGATTTCGGTGGATTTATTTCGGGTCAATTTTTGGCAGATTCCAAAGGGGTACCATCACAGATTTCGGGCGATTTATCCGAAATGCCATTTTCTTTCGATTCTAGAGGCTAAAGATCACGGAATCAGCCTGAGGCTATTCTCCACCGATAATGAAGTCTATTGATCCTATTCTCCACGGATGATAAGTCCGTTAAGCATCGATTTGGGCCAATTTATTTTCTGATTGCATTTTCGTAATTTCTTGTGCGACAAAAGGCCATTTTCTTTGGGTATTGAAGGCTACAGATCACGGATTCGGCCTGAGGCTATTCTCCAACGATGATTAGGTCCATTATGCACTGATTGGGGCGGATTTATTCCGGGTCAATTTTTGGCAGATTCCAAAGGGGTACCATCACAGATTTCGGGCGATTTATCCGAAATGCCATTTTCTTTCGATTCTGGAGCCTACAGATAACGGAATCAGGCCGAGGCTATTCTGCACCGATAATGAAGTCTATTGATCCTATTCTCCACAGATGATAAGTCCGTTAAGCATCGATTTGGGCCAATTTATTTTCGGATGGCCTTTTCGTAATTTCTTGGGCGACGAAAGGCCATTTTCTTTGGGTATTGAAGGATACAGATCACAAATTCGGCCTGAGGCTATTCTCCAACGATGATTGTGTCCATTAAGCACCGATTGGGGCGAATTTATTCCGGGTCAATTTTTGGCAGATTCCAAAGGTGTATCATCACAGATTTCGGCGATTTATCCAAAATGCCATTTTCTTTCGATTCTGGAGGCTACAGATCACGGAATCAGGCTGAGGCTATTATCCACCGATAATGAAGTCTATTGAACCTATTCTCCACGGATGATAAGTCCGTTAAGCATCGATTTGGGCCAATTTATTTTTGGATGACATATTCGTAATTTCTTGGGCGACGAAAGGCCATTTTCTTTGGGTATTGAAGGCTACAGATCACGGATTCGGCCTGAAGCTATTCTCCAACGATGATTGAGTCCATTAAGCACCGATTTGGGCGGATTTATTCCGGGTCAATTTTTGGCAGATTCCAAAGGGGTACCATCACAGATTTCGGACGATTTATCGGAAATGCAAATTTCTTTGGATTTTGGAGGCTACAGATCACGGAATCAGGCTGAGGCAGTTCTCCACCGATAATGGAGTCTATTGATCCTATTCTCCACGGATGATAAGTCCGTTAAGCATAGATGTGGGCCAATTTATTTTCGGATGGCATTTTCGTAATTTCTTAGGCGACGAAAGGCCATTTTCTTTGAGTATTGAAAGCTACAGATCACGGATTAAGCCTGAGGCTATTCTCCAACGATGATTGAGTCCATTAAGCACTGATTTGGGCGAATTTATTGCGGGTCAATTTTTGGCAGATTCCAAAGGGGTACCATCACAGATTTTGGGCGATTTATCCGAAATGCCATTTTCTTTCGATTCTGGAGGCTACAAATCACGAAATCAGGCCGAGGCTATTCTCCAACGATAATGAAGTCTATTGATCCTATTCTCCACGGATGATAAGTCCGTTAAGCATCGATTTGGGCCAATTTATTTTCGGATGGCATTTTCGTAATTTCTTAGGCGACGAAAGGCCATTTTCTTTGAGTATTGTAAGCTACAGATCACGGATTAAGCCTGAGGCTATTCTCCAACGATGATTGAGTCCATTAAGCACTGATTTGGGCGAATTTATTGCGGGTCAATTTTTGGCAGATTCCAAAGGGATACCATCACAGATTTCGGGCGATTTATCCGAAATGCCATTTTCTTTCGATTCTGGAGGCTACAGATCACGAAATCAGGCCGATGCTATTCTCCAACGATAATGAAGTCTATTGTTCCTATTCTCCACGGATGATAATTCCGTTAAGCATCGATTTGGCACAATTTTTTTCGGATGGAATTTTCGTAATTTCTTGGTCGACGAAAGGCCATTTTCTTTGGGTATTGAAGGCTACAGATCAAGGATTCGGCCTGAGGCTATTCTACACCGATAATGAAGTCTATTGATTCTATTTTCCACGGATGATAAGTCCGTTAAGCATCGATTTGGGCCAATTTATTTTCGGATGGCATTTTCGTAATTTCTTGGGCGACGATAGGCCATTTTCTTTGGGTATTGAGAGCTACAGATCTTGAATTTGGTCTGATGCTATTCTCCAACGATGATTGAGTCCATTAAGCACCGATTTGGGGGGATTTATTCCGGGTCAATTTTTGGCAGATTCCAAAGGGGTGGCATCACAGATTTCGGGCGATTTATCCGAAATGCCATTTTCTTTCTATTCTGGAGTCTACAGATCACGGAATCAGGCCGAGGCTATTCTCCACCGGTAATGAAGTCTATTGATCCTATTCTCCACGGATGATTAGTCCGTTAAGAATCGATTTGGGCCAATTTATTTTCGGATGGCATTTTTCGTAATTTCATGGGCGACGAAAGGCCATTTTCTTTGGGTATTGAAGGCTACAGATCCCGGATTCGGCCTGAGGCTATTCTCCAACGATGATTGAGTCCATTAAGCACCGATTTGGGCGGATTTATTCCGGGTCAATTTTTGGCAGATTACAAAGGGGTACCATCACAGATTTCGAGCGATTTATCCGAAATGCCATTTTCTTTCGATACTGGAGGCTACAGATCACGGAATCAGTCCGAGGCTATTCCCCACCGATAATGAAGTCTATTGATCATATTCTCCACGGATGATATGTCCGTTAAGCATCAAATTGTGCCAATTTATTTTCGATGGCATTTTTGTAATTTCTTGGGCGATGAAAGGCCATTTTCTTTGGGTATTGAAGGCTACAGATCACGGATTCTGCCTGAGGCTATTCTCCAACGATGATTGAGTCTATTAAGCAACGATTTGGGCGGATTTATTCCGGGTCAATTTTTGGCAAATTCCAAAGGGGTACCATCACAGCTTTCGGGCGATTTATCCGAAATGCCATTTTCTTTCGATTCTAGAGACTACAGATCATAGAATCATGTCGGGGCTATTCTCCACCGATAATGAAGTCTATTGATCCTATTCTCCACGGATGATAAGTCCGTTAAGCATCGCTTTGGGCTAATTTATTTTCGGATGGCATTTTCGTAATTTCTTGGGCGACGAAAGGCCATTTTCTTTGGGTAATGAAGGCTACAGATCACGGATTCGGCCTGAGGCTATTCTCCAACGATGATTGAGTCCATTAAGCACCGATTTGGGTGGATTTATTTCGGGTCAATTTTTGGCATAATCCAAAGGTGTACCATCACAGATTTCGGGCGATTTATCCGAAATGCCATTTTCTTTCGATTCTAGAGGCTACAGATCACGGAATAAGGCTGAGGCTATTCTCCACCGATAATGAAGTCTATTGACCCTATTTTCCACGGATGATAAGTCCGTTAAGCATCGATTTGGGCCAATTTATTTTCGGATGGCATTTTCGTAATTTCTTGGGCGACGATAGGCCATTTTCTTTCGGTATTGAGAGCTACAGATCTTGAATTTGGTCTGAGGCTATTCTCCAACGATGATTGAGTCCATTAAGCACCGATTTGGGGGGATTTATTCCGGGTCAATTTTTGGCAGATTCCAAAGGGGTGGCATCCCAG